TCTTAGTTTTTAATGTATGAGATATATTATCTACTTTTGGAAGTAGGTCATAGAAAGCTTCTTAGACCAAGTAGAAATTCACCTTTAAATATTGCATTGGTGCTTTACTATTCTGAACCATGTCACGACTACTTGGGCAAGGCAAGCATGAGAATGTTGCATTTCACGAGGCAGTGTTGCACAAACGCTTCTACCTAAGTCAGATCTTAATATTGGGTGAGCAGTCAGGTATTTAATGAAACAAAATAAATAATTATTTTATTACGGAAATAAAATCAAAGGCTAATAGTTTGAGCAAATTATAAACTAGGTTTTTAAGGGCAGCCCATGAAAAAGATTTCTAGGTTTGAGCTCAGAGCATCTTTAAATGGTGAAATGATTTTCCTGGTTTGCAATTTGAAGGTCTTTGGTGATGTCATCAGATGTTCTGGTGAACTCTCTGAGTAGCCACACAGCAACAGGCATGAAGTTTCCATCAAGCTGTACAGCTTCAGCTTGGAGGGTGGGGAAAGAGCAGTTAAAGGAAATAAGAATGTTAGTTGGGAGTGTCCTAACAAGATATTGGAGGAAACTAGAGACATCCTGATCTGATCAAGGTTACAGAGAGGTAACAAAACCTCAAAGATAATGGACAGGGCAAGAATCTGAGAATGGTACAGTATAGTTTTCCATGGAAACAGCTTTTCTTTCTACTGTTCACCCTCACTTCTGCCAAAGAATCACAGTAAAACTGATTTGCTTATAAAATAATTTTGGTTCATTAAACTGGGCCTGATTATTTCCATGTTTGGCAAGAATAGTGACTCTGCACATTTTCGAATATGACATTCCAGTCAAAGCTTTGATAATATCTAAGAGGTTTTATTGGCTCCAGAGAGTCAACTCAGTCCCTTAAAGCTTTCTGATTTTAAGGAATTTCAGATTAGACATTTAAAACTCATTCCAGGCCAAGAAGCCAAAGCCAAGGATTTATACAACTGTGTCCTGTTGCAAGGAAAACAGATTCTTACTGAGCTTATTTTATAAATATTTATATTGCCATGAAAATAAAGAATACTTAGAGTTTATGAATTCTGGAATAGTCAGGTAGGGAGAAAAAAAGTTTCCATTTTGTTTATAAAAGCATACTTTACCTGATTGCTATTTGTTATGGATCCTTTAAATCTGGAAAACTAAACATTGAAGAGCAGATATATTTCAGTGTCATAAAAATTATAATTGTCCTCACCAGTGCACTAAGTACCCTGAGATTCTCGATCAGGATTGTAGCCTCATGAATCCATTAGCTTTCCATTAGAATTCTGGAAATTGTTACCCAGTCCAATGGTATGATCTTAAAGTTATCAGAAAACTATTTGCCAAAGCCTTTTCCGTAAATTGTGCAATCATAGCTGATTGCAAAAGCTTTCTGGAAGACACCAGGGTAAAATAACTTTGTGAATGATGGAAGACTTAAGGCCGTGGTAAAAGATTGAATGGGAATTCATTATAATGCAGTAGACAAGGAAATTTGGTTGTTTCTGCAACAACCTTGTAAAGTAACTGGAATTACGACTGATGACATTGTACTAGGAGCTGTTACATTTTTAAGAATTTCATAGTTTCTAGAATACTTGTTGATAAAGTGTTTATGCAAAATAACATTAAAAGTGCTAAAAATGACTTTCATTTGTCAGTGCTTCCCATGTAATTTAACATCTCATATAAGCCTAATTAGTCTCACCTTTGCTTTATAATTCTTCCCATGCAAATAAGCCCAATTAGTTTAACCTCTCCTTTATAAGGAAAGAGAACAAAATCTTTTGATATTTTTGAGCCTCTTTGAAAGATTCTCAGAGTTAGTCTGAGGACAAAGAGACTTCATCCAGAATTAGTGTTTTGAGAAGTTTGTGAAAAATGTCAAAATATTGAAAACACTTGATTAAACTGGATCACAGTATTTATCCATTTAATCATTTAAAGTGACAAAGATTTCACAAGCAAATAGGGAAAAACATATAGTTGTAAAAAAAGAAGACAAAAGAAAACAAACCAAAAACCAAAACTAACCAACAAACAAAAAAACCCCTTGATTCTTTTAATTGAAGAGTTTAAGTAATCAAAGACCTGACAAAGACAACATGAGGCACAGGAAATTACTGACAACATAGAATATTTCCTAGGAAAACCACTCAAAAGTTCAACCAAAACTTTTCACACTCTGTCACACAAGCACAGACCCATACTCCCAAGAAACATTTGTCATTTTAACAGAGAGGAACTTGAATTCTAGTTTTGCATCATTTTGAAATTAATGATAATAAATTCATTTAATTTTTTAGCCAGCTTGACCACACAAGATTCTTTTTCTCCCTTCCCAACTTTCTATAGCCATTTGTTTTTGCTCTGTATATGTCATACCTTTTTTTAACTGCCATACTAGCATAGTGTAGTTTGGCAAATAGAGAGCATGTTTCTTCATAGTATACTTTTGCAGTGTAGCATAGAACATATTTACTAAAAATATCTTTTATTTCTCTGTCCAAAAAGTAGATAAACTATTTATATTCAGCATTTAATTATTCACTATTTTATCTTCTGTGGACTTGTGTCCACTTAATTTACTTTTTTTTTTTGGACAATTGCACTTGGTTTACTCATGAAAATTTCATGAGACACTAAATAGCTAACCATTATCTTAAGTTACTTTTCTTGCTGAGAAATCTTGTAACAGAGATAGCATGAAATTATTTTTAATAAGTGTCTGTTACCTGAGCTTATTTGAGTAGTAAACCTGGGAAGAATGAAAGTTGTATGTCTGCATTATATTTAATGCTGACAACTCTGAAGGCATATCCACCCCCCTTTTTTTAAAAAAAGTAAACCAACAGTATTTTTATTTACCAGATATTACCCAAGTAATATACCCCTGAAAAGCATTTGCATTGGTTCTTATTTTTCTGAGTTTTAGAAATACTTAATGTATACAAATACTTGTTTTTTTCTACTTATGTCTGTTTAACATATATAAATATACACAAATAGAAATACTTGGGTTTCATTAAAATTTTTTAGCCATGTGTTAGGTATAATAATACAAAACTTCCTAGTTTATAAAAGAAGCTGAATCCATGTGCCTCTGGCAGATGGAACAAGTCAAGGTTATCAACTCAGAGTGTTAACGGTGCCAGTGCAGTCTGATCAGAAGACTTCCAAATTCTTTGTGACCCACTGGGAAGAATCCATGATGGGACACATTGATATAAAGAGAGTTTATTAAAAGTTATGGAAGGGCAGTACAAAGGGGAGCATGGTGGGTGCAGGTGGAGTCTGCCAGCAGAGAGAGAGAGAGAAGAGAGAAGAGAGAAAAGAGAAAGAGAGGAGTCCCGAATTTTCCCTACTTCTGGCCTGCCTCAAGAGGGCCAAAGACTTTCTTTGAAATATTTTTCATCTCAGTACTATTAGGATACTTTTAGAGAAGCTGTTTTTGAGTCATTTTGTTTTGAGAAGCTTCTTGCATACAAATCAAAGAATACATTCATTGTCTCTGAGAGTTTCAGGATCCTTTCTTTTCAAGGACACTGCTAAGATGGTCTGTCTTATCTAAGTTAGCAGTTTCTAAATTACACTAAAAGTGTTCACTATAATTCTAAAGTATATTTTTAAAGTTCACCCATTTTTTTCCCTCTGAAAACATAGAGTCCATTTTAGACCAAGTGGAACCCATCTTTGCCTTAGATTCTCAAAGAGGTCATAACTGTGAGAGGTCCCATTTGAACAGCTGCTTTGGAACACAATCACTCCTTTTTGAGCAGAATCCAGTGACCCACTGGATACTTCAGCAAAGGTTGCTCAACATAATTGGAGCACTGATTCTCTTCTGCTGGACTGCTGCTTGTCAAGGGTCTATCATACAGACCCTTGGTTTTGTGTCTCTCCTTTAGTCTTTTAGTTATCCCAACTCTAAGAGTAACAATTATATATCCATAGTATGACTTTGGAAAATATATAAAAATACAAAGAAGGAAATTAAAAAAAAACCAACAAACCAAAATCCCCAGGAATCCTACTGCTTGTGTATGCTGTCACAATCAGAACTCAGCAGTGAGTTACTATAACAAAGCAGCATAATATAGGAAAGAAGACAGACTTTGGAGATACACCTGGTTTTCTGCTCCACATGTTCCACTTACTAGCTGTGTGACTTTGAGCTAGTTTTATTTAATAGGAATTTTGATTTTCTCTTATCCAAAATGAGAATAATAATACCTGGTAGGTAAGATGTTTGTTAAATTTTAAGTGCTTAGCAAATGTTAATTCTCTGATGCTTCCATTTTAAAAGATGCTTCTGTTTTTCATATTCCCTGTCTTTTTAAAATGATGAAGACAGTAAGATCTGATTTTCTTTTCTTTTGAAATGCCTTATGTCCTGCATGAACCATTCTCTTTTATTTTCTAGTCAAGTCATTTGTACCAAAATTTCTTTCATTTTTGCATTGCTGAATGTTACTTTTTTTTCATTTGGAGTAGCATTTTCTCTCATGTTTCCTTCCATGGGTAAAAGTAAACCTTGTTTACAATAGAAAATTAAGGAAATACAGAGTAGCAGAATTACCCTGTGAAATTACAAGCTCTTCTAGTACACTTAATATTTGGCATGTTTATTCTTTTTGTGTTTTAGTTGTAGATGTGAATCTACTATTCATGACATTTGTGTTTTGAGAAAAGATTTTCATAAAATTTGACAGATTTTCTGTGCCTTAGAAATAATGCTTGAAAAATTCAGGGTCTGGGATCTGTGCACTCACATTTGTTTTTATCTAAAGATAAAACATTGTCACAGTGGTTCAGACATGCCTTACTTTTGGGCATCCTGAGTTTGGTTTTGAGAATTGGTTAAAGTAAACCTACTTTTTTTCTAGTACCTAAAAACATTTGTATCACTTGAACCTTGGTCCTGTTTTTATTTTTAGTATATTTGAAACTGTTGATAAATTCATTTTATACCTTTTTTATTTCAGAGTTTTCTTTTTTTGATCCTAATGATGCAGCATGCCAGGAAATTCTCTTTGATCCCAAAACTTCAGTCTCAGAATTATTTGCCGTTTTAAGACAGTGGGTTCCTCAGGTCCAGCAGAACATCGACATTATTGGAAATGAGGTAAATAATCCTTCCGTTTTAAGTTTTGCATTACTGGAATTGTTAATGAAGTCGATTTCGATCTGAGTGGAAAGATGAAGGAGCTGTTGTTGTTTTTAGCTCTGGTTTCCATGGGCCCTGGGTTGGTACTGAGTTCTCTCCCGATATTCTCTCATCATACTTTGCACTTCTTACACCCAGGTCTGGAACTGTGATCATTCTACCTATATCTCCTGAGTAGGTAGGATTACAGTTGTGTAATAATTGGTTGAGGTGGGGGTATTGCTAACTTTTTGCCAGGGCCAGCCTCGAACCATAATCCTTCCAGTCTCTGCCTCCTGAGTAGCAGGGATCATAGGCATGAATCACCTTGCTTGCTCTAATCACATTCAAACTATACTTTTAGAAGATTTGGTAAAGACCTAGTATTAAAAACAATTTTTAAAAGTTTGATGTTTTGTGGGGATTGTTTTTTGATCAACATGTCATGTTGTAGGAAGAAAATAATAACATTACACCTGTTGGAAAAAATAATTTTGCTCACTTTTGAGAGAAAGGTATTTGGAGTAACAGATTTCCTTGGAGTAATCTTTAAGAATTTCTTCCCTTCTGATGACAAGTTCAATGTTCATGATTGTTGCTGAGTGCAGCATTGAGTATCATTCAGGTGAGATGCACTAACCAGCTCCTCAGCTTTGGTACTCCAGTAGTCACACTATGGTTGCATCTCCCCTGTCTTTCTCAGATCCTGAAGAGAGGTTGCAATGTGAATGATAGAGACGGGCTGACGGATATGACTCTTTTACATTATACTTGCAAATCTGGAGCTCATGGTATTGGTGAGTGTGTGGTAATCTTGTCACTTGCTCTCATTATCTGCATTTGTGCTCATACAATCTCCTGTGTGCCCCTCAGAGAGCTGGGTGGGCACCCAGCTGACAGTAATAATACAGCCAGGTAGGTGAGGATTCAGACTTCAGGAAGTCTCACACCCTCTTGTATTTCTGAACTTCTGTGCCACAGGCTTCAAGCCTTACCGTAAGCTCGGTGAGCCTAACTGGCACTACCCTAGAATCTTCCTGAGGGCTTATCGCAAGGCCAGCACCAGGTCAATTTTCTACTAATCCCTGCAGTTCCCAGGCTCAGGTTCTTACAGAACCTCTGTGCTTATTTTTCAAAGCTGATGCTCCCCTATGCTTTACCATTTTGTAAACCTGCCTCTCTCACTTAACCATGTGTTGTTATTGTCTCTCCTTGTTTCAGTGTAGAACTTACACTATTAGTGTGAAGGACTATTTTTTCTGCAGTCCATCATGGACTAATACTTTTGTAAGACAAAAATGACTTTGCATTGTAAAAATGAAATGGCAAAAATATAAGCTGAAATATTTTAAAAAGTCATGCAGTTACGTTTCAGTTATAAATCACAAGAAACATTAAATAGGGGAAAACAAAGAGAATTACAAAAAAATACAAACATATCACAGCTTGGAACTGACATTGTCCACAGAACTTGGAGTAGTACTGATCCAACACATGGTTTTTGATGGCTCTGTAGTATTTCATAATATGCATGTCTGAGTTTGTGTAAATGATTCCTATTGTCATACTTTCAGGTTGTTTCAGAAGTTTGTTCCTCACGAGTATGCAGTGATGACCAACTTTAACACAAAAAGAATTTGTTCACATCCCTGAATATGATTGTTTTCTTAAAATAAATTCTTGAGTGTAAACTTTTGGGCTGTAAACGTATATTCAGTGTGTTGTTTGCTTTGTTTTTTTAAATGAGGTAGTAGATAGCTACCCATTGGGACTTACATTTGTACTGTAGAAAAATAATTCAGAACATGTTCTTTAGGTGATGTTGAGACAGCTGTCAAATTTGCAGCTCAGCTTATTGATCTGGGAGCAGATGTTAGTTTGCGGAGTCGCTGGACAAACATGAATGCTCTGCATTATGCTGCTTATTTTGATGTCCCAGAGCTTATACGAGTAATTTTGAAGACATCAAAACCAAAAGGCAAGTATTTTTAGATCACTGTTAGGTGTTATTTAGTTGGACGCTTTGAGAATGAAATAAAAATTGTAGGTCAAGGAGATTTTTCTTTTAATACATTTTCTTTCATATGCCTTCCTACTCCATTTTATTTTACAGAGTTTAAAAAATTTTTATGAAGATTAATTACTATCCTTTAACAAAAGGCAGCACAAAGAATTGCAAAATAAAAGGAGTATTCTCTGGATTTTCCCCTCTCTGAAAAATTATCTGGTAGAATGCAAATTTTTGTGTAATTCATTCTATGTGCGTTATGATTCTTAGGTCTTGTTTGGGTAGCTCGCAGTAAAACAATAAAGCCTTTACAGCTAGTCATTGAAATGATAAAGCTTATTTCTTTTATGAAATTCTGTGATTCAACTTAAAGGGTAAAATTTCATGTTTTTTTTTTTTTTCTTATTTTGATGGTGATATCCTAAAATTTCTGCCTAAATCCCAGTCCTGGTATTTTCATTTTTTCTCTAGTTCTCCTCTTGGGTGTCAGTTTTCTTCTGAGAAAAATACAAAAGCAAATGAAGAACATTCCTTTAAGGTAGAGGGAATGTACAGTGTTGTCCTTATTCCAAGAGACATGTTTTAGAGATTCAATAAACTTCTCAGAACATTAGTTTCTAACTTCGAATTTTCATAGTTGTCCTTCTTCTCTTTAAAAGTTCTACCTTTTCACTTTCCAAATGATGTTGGGAAGAAAGCCTCTACTGTTCTATGTCTTTAACAGTGTTAGAGAGTCTGTGGTGAGCAGGTCTGGGTTGCTTGCAGTTGCAGGTAGGTAGGTCATGCAGGGTGGTGTCATGTAGATTAATGTAGGATTTACAGAACCAGAGGTATTTTAAAAACATTCAAAATAGGATTCTTAAGTCTGGATAATTTCCTGTGTTAAGTAGAACATGATGATTTATTGAAAGTTATCAATGTGTCCTTAGAATTGCAAGATTCCTTTTCTTATTATGAAGTCCAAAATCATTTGTTGAGTAAAGCATTATGAATCAGTATATATGTAAGCATTTATATGTTTAATTATTCTTTAATTGGTTTGAGGATTCCCTCATTGTTTTACATAGTAGGGGTTGGCAGTCTTTTTTCTGGTACAGGTCAGATAGTAATTAAGTATTTTAGACTTTTCAGACCATACGGTCTTTGTCACAACTGCTCAGTTCCGTGAGAGTAGCCACAGAGAATGTGTCAATGAATGAGTGTCCTGTGTTCCAGAAAAACTTGAAAATAGATTGTGGAATGTACTTGGCTGATGGGTCATAGTTTGCAGATTCCTGACCTAAACCCTGCCTATGGTGGTGTAAGAAATGTAGTGAAGAGGGTATGGGAAGCCAGTTACCTTTACAGATATGAGTTACTGCTGTTCGTTGCTTTTAATTTTGCCTTAGTTTGTCATAACTGGAAAACGCATGATAATATCACCCCATTTCATAATCAGTTTTACTGTACAGGAAAATAATCAATTGATTATTCTAGCTAGACTCTCACAAAGATTTTGTTCCACTGTGAAATAATGCTTCTGGTGGTTTGGTTTAATTTCATAAAAAGCTAAAGGTATTCCCCCAAGACAAAGCTCTGATCTTGTTTTAAGTTGTGATTGCTCACTTTAAGGTTTCAGTTGATAGACTTACGATGTTTGATTGCAGATGTGGATACCACGTGCAGTGACTTTAACTTTGGGACAGCACTGCATATCGCAGCGTACAACCTGTGTGCAGGTGCCGTGAAGTGCTTACTGGAGCATGGAGCAAACCCCGCGTTTAGGGTAGGAGATGGAAGTAAAATAATTAAAAAGTTTTATGTTACCTCCCTGGAAAGAGTTGAATCTGGATGCTGTTATTCACATAAGAATCCTTAGATGAGCAAGTAATTTATCTCATATGAAGAGTGTAAAGAGTATGCAGTAGAGAGTATATAAAGACATACAAGGAATGTGCTGATATTCTTTATCTTAAATAAATAGAAGGCATAACAGTGAGTTTTGGTCCTCTTATATTAGGTTTTATTAAACTTCCATTCAGGAAAGTAAAATCCTCCTTAAAGGGTCATAATCTTTGAGTTTAGGTATCTTTCATTCAAGCTTTTTGATATATTTGAAATGTTAGCTGTTAGGTGCAAATGCATGTATTAAAGTTATGTTTTTCTATTAAGTAATCCTTTAAATTCTTTTGAAAAGAAAAGTAATGCCAAAAGAAAAAAGTTAAAATAAATATACTTTTAAAAATGAAGTAACCTTTGAAACCAAGTCACTGTGTAACTTGGCAAATAACTATTGGGCCATACTTTGATAGCTACTATGTCAGAAGAAAATGAAATTCCACGATTAGTCATAAATAGGCCTTTTTTGTTAGGAAGACTTCATTGTTGTTACTTTATTATGTTGCTATTTTGTTTTGTTAACAGAAGTCTTGGTTGGTAAATTTCATGCAGAAGCATGAAACCTAGTTTTAAAAGTGAGACATAATAGAAGTATAACAGGTCTGGTGGAGTGGCTCAAGTAGTAGAGTGCCTGCCCCCCCACCAAAAAAAAAAAAAAACAGCAACAACAATAACAAAAACCAGTCTAAGGATAGCTTACAACTTACCAGTACAAGTATTTCTGTTAAAAAATTTATTTTACCCTACATCTACAGGTCTCTTCTTTTCAGAGTGCACATTAGTGCTGTATATACATTCATTATATGTTGTATTTTTTCTTTGAATCTAAGATTAAATTGGTCTATTACAATCATCCCAGAAACCTGATAGCCCATCTTCCCTCCAAACTGACTTGAATTTTTCCCCCAATACTTGGATTTGAACTCAGGACCTCACACTTGCTAGGCAGATGCTCTACCACTTGAACCAAGTCCCCAGTCCTTTTTCCTTTAGTTATTTTCTGAATAGGGTCTGGAGTTTTTGTCCTGATCAGCATGGACCATGATTCTCCTGTTTATGCCTCTGTGTAGCTGGAATGATAGGCCTGGACCACCATGTCCAGTTTAGAGATTGAGAGGGGTCTCACTAACTTTTTGCCTGGACTGGCCTCCTGATTTCTGCCTTCTGAGCAGCTGGGATTACAGGAATGAGCCACTGCCTTTAACCCCCTGACTTGACTTTTAAAGCAAAAATTAAAAATTTCAAAGCAAACGTTGGTGTGCTCTAAAAGCATCATTCTTTTCTCTAAGTGGGCCATTTTGAAGATGGCCAATAGTGGAGAAGAAAGGAGAAATAAGTTCTTCAGTTAGCAAAACAATCTTGATTTGTCTTGTTAAAAGAAGATAAAAACCAGGATTCATTTCCAAGGTTTTGGTTAGGGAACAACTACTTCTGGGCCCATGTTCTCCATTCTCCTTCTGTGCTTTGTTTTCTCTGTGATACTTACTACTGTTTAATATGCCAGATAACTTACGTGTTGGTTTATAGTCTGTCTTTTCTACCAGAATATGTGCTGTTTGAGGACATGGCCTTTTGTTTTCTTCGCTGTGGTATCTATTGCCTCAAATGGTATCTAGCATAGACTAAGTGTTCAGAAAACATTTTTGAATAAATAAATAATGAATGTACATATGACTGTCCAGTGCTCTTAAGTAAATTAGAGCTGAAAAATTTCTCTTGTTTTTATTGTAGAATGACAAAGGACAGGTCCCTGCAGATGTTGTTCCAGACCCAGTGGATATGCCGTTAGAAATGGCTGATGCTGCAGCCACTGCTAAAGAAATCAAGCAGATGCTTTTAGATGCGGTGCCTTTGTCATGTACTGTCTCAAGGGCCATGTTTCCAAATTATGATCATATTACCAGCAAGGCCATGCTTACGTCTCTTGGGCTGAAGTTGGGGGACCGTGTTGTCATTGCAGGACAGAAGGTACAGTAAGTAACTGCAGTCCCTGAAGCTCGGTCCTCATTTCCTAGTCCATCTCTAAGAGTAGGTGTTGCATGAAAACACAGGTTTAGCATGTAGAAAGATACTTGATCAAAAATGTGAAATTTAGATGTGAGTTTACTATGAAGTACAATTTAAGATCATAAACTGTTTGAATATGATAGTGAAGAGTTTTATATTTGCATGGGAAAAAGTGGAGTAGAGGAAAACTATTGAGTGAATTTAGTAGAATAATCTAGCCAGTTGTGTCCCCTGCCACCCCATCACACACAGACTTGAAAGTCTAGGACCAAGAAGTCATGGTGCCACTTGCTGTTGATCAAACTGTTGGGCCAGCCCATATTCAATGTGTGCATTACATGTGTGGATCAGAGAAGCATGCAGTAACAGGAGAAAGTGTCAGCAGACATATATACAGACAGTTGACCACAGTCAAATTTCCTGTCTTTGTTGAGGCTTTCAGTCTGCTCAATAAAAGTGAAGTTAGATTTAAAAAAAAATTCTGTGGAAAGAGAACTCCTTCCCAAAAGTGTTCCAGGTATCTTTTTTATTTTATTATTTTATTTATCTTTTAATCTTCTAACTAAGCTGGTTTAATTAATTAATTTTTCAATGTTCCATATTTATTATTCATATATGTATAGAAAGTTTTCTTTCTTTCTCTCTCTCTCTTTTTTCTTTCTTTTCTTTCTCCCTTCTTTCGCCTACCCTTCCCATGTGGGAATTTTTTTGTTTTGTTTTTATTCTTTATGCAGTGCTGGGGATTGAACCCAGGGTCTTGCACATACTAAGGAAGTGCTCTTCCATTGAACTATATTCCCAGCCCCATTGGAGGTTTTCTTTTTGCTTTTGTTCTTAATTTTGAGGTTAACAGGGAGCTTAGTGTAGAAAATGGAACAGGGTAATGAACTTCACAGTATTGCTACATCTCAATATTTGGAAGGATTTGTGAGGAGGCTAATGTAGGTTTGTCAGAAAATACTGAAATTTAAGAGGGTTGATTTATTGAGGAAAATTGCTTCACAAAAGAATCAAAGCTACAGACAACTATGAGGTTAGTGGCATTCACCCGTTTCCAAAATAATCCATTCATAGGATGCCTGTGAGTTTTTTAGTCTTTCACATTTAACCTTCACAGTTCTCCAACAACTGTGTTTGGGAATGGATGCTTAAAAGAGTTATTCTATTATCTTGGATAACTTTAGCTATACTAAAGTAGAAGCATCCACAGTGAACATGCATGTACTTATCAACTAGGATTTTTTTCTTTCTCCTATCCTTTCATTGTTTTTACATTGACTTACATGTGTGTACATTGTTTGTGCCATCCCCCACCCCAGGGGGGTCAGATCCTGTTCTGCCCTCTTCTGTGATTTTGTTCAATAGAAAACATAAGAGATAATAAGAAAGACATAGCGTTTTTGCTAGTTTGAAATGAAGATAGCTATAGAGAGATTCTTAGTGTTGCTTCCATGCACTTGTGCATTGCAACCTACATTGCTTCAGTTCTACCAGACCTCTTCTCTACTTTCTGGTCCCCTTCCCATAGTGGCCTTTGCTATTTTAAGATTACTTTATTTGCTGCTCAACAGTGAGCACATCAACTACATCAAGTTTTAGGTTTCCTTTCCTTTCCCTATTTCTCTCGTGTGCATTCTCTCCTTAGCGTGTGATCCATGTCCAATAATATTACTGCATTTGTTTTAGGTCTATAATCCACATATGAGGGAGAACATGATTTTTGGCCTTCTGAGCCTGGATAACTTTGCTTAAGATGGTGTTCTCTAGTTCCATCCATTTACTTGAGAATGATAAAATTTCATTCTTCTTTGTGGCTGAGTAGAATTCCATTGTATATAAATACTACATTTTCTTAATCCATTCTTTAGTTGTGGAGCATCTTGGCTGTTTCATAGCTTGGCTGTTGTAAATAGTGCTGCAATAAACATGGGTATACAGGTGTTTTTGTCATAACCTGAGTCGCATTCCTTCAGGTATATCCCTAGGAGTGGTATTGCAGGATCATATGGCAGATCTATGTTTAGTTTTTTAAGGAGCCTCCATATTGTTTTCCAAAGTGATTGTATTAGATTACATTATTGCCAGCAGTGTATGAGGGTTCCTTCCCCCCCCACCCCCCACCCCCCTGAATCCTTGCCAGCATTTGTTGTTGGTGATGTTTTTGATGATAGCTATTCTAACAGGGGTGAGGTGGAATCTTAGTGTGATTTTGATTTGCATTTCCCGTATGGCTGGGGATGGTGAGCATTTTTTTTATTTCCTTTATTCATATGTGCATACAATGATTGGGTCATTATCCCCCCTTCCCCCCTCTCCCTCCCTTTCCCCCCACCTCCTCCTCTTGTCCCCACCCCCTTGCTTCCAAGCAGGAACTATTCTGCCCTTATCTCTGATTTTGTTGAAGAGAGAGTATAAACATTAATAAGGAGGACCAGGAGTGTTTGCTAGTAAAGGTAAGGATAGCTGTATAGGGAGATTCCTAGTTTTGCTTCCATGTGCATATGTGTTACTTTCTAAATTGATTCTTCTTGAACTAACCTTTCTCTAGTTCCTAGTCCCCTTCTCCTATTAGCTTCTGCTGCTTTAAAGTTTCTGTATTAGTTCCTTTGCATTGAAGACATCAAATGTCATTTTTTTTTTTTACCTACCTATCCTCATACCTCCCTTGTGTGCACTCACCTTATCATGTAATCAAAGTCCTATCCCCTTGTTGTGTTTGCCCTTGATCTAAAGTCCACATATGAGGGAGAACATATGATTTTTGGTCTTCTGGGCCTGGCTAACCTCGCTCAGGATGATGTTCTCCAGTTCCATCCATTGTTTGTGAATGGTAAGCTTTCATTCTTCTTCAGGGCTGTGTAAAATTCCATCATGTATAAATACCACATTTTCTTAATCCATTCATCAGTAATGGGGCATCTTGGCTGTTTCCATAACTTGGCTATTGTGAATAGTGCTGCAGTAAACATGGGTGTACAAGTACCTCTGGAGTAATCTGTGTCCCATTCCTTTGGGTATATCCCCAGGAGTGGGATTGCTGGATCAAATGGCAGGTCTATGTTTAGATTTTTAAGAAGCCTCCAAATTTTTTTCCAGAGTGGTTGTACTAGTTTACATTCCCACCAACAGTGTATAAGGGTTCCTTCTTCTCCACATCCTCGCCAACACCTGTTGATGGTGGTGTTTCTAATGATGGCTATTCTAACAGGGGTGAGGTAGAATCTTAGTGGAGTTTTGATTTGCATTTCCTTTATGGCTAGAGATGGTGAACATTTTTTTGGCCGTTTGTGTTTCTTCCTTAGAAAAAGTTCTGTTGCCCACTTATTTATTGGTTCATTAATTTGGGGGGGCGTTTAGTTTTTTGAGCTCCCTGTATATTCTGGTTATCAGTCTCCTTTGTCTGATATGTAGCTGGCATATATTTTCTCCCACTCTGTGGATGGTCTCTTCAATTTAGAGACCATTTTTTTTTGTTGTGCAGAAGCTTTTAAATTTCCTGTCTCATTTGTCCATCCTTTCTCTTAGTTGTTGGGCTGATGGAGTTCTACTTAGGAAGTCCTTGCCTATTCCTTTTGTTTCCAATATGTTTCCTGCTCTTTCCTGTACTAACTGCAAGGTTTTGGGTCTGATATTAAGGTCCTTAGTCCACTTTGAAGTTTATCAACTAGGTTTAACTCTTAGCAACTTATGGCCAATCTTGTTTCATTTATATTTTCTCTCAGTCTGTTGATCATCTTTTATTCTCTTGAAAGTATCTTCCAAAGAACAGAAGTTTAAAATTCTGATAAGTCTAGTATATTAACATTTTTCTTTTATGGATTGTGTGCTTAGTATAATAGCTAAGATAATCTGTGTTTTCTTCTAGAAGTTAGGTTTAGGTTTTACATTTAGTTTTATATTTACTTTTGAGTTAATTTTTGGCAGTACTCAGTATAGCTTGAGGTTTTTTTTTTGTTTCCTTTAAACGTGGTTGTGTAACTCTTTGAAAAAACCCCTCTTTCTGTTGAGTTTCTCTTGCGCCTTTTTCAAAAATCATTTGATAGTATACGTATGGATGTTACTTCTGAGTTCTTCTCACTCCATTGGTACTGATGACACCTTCAGAGCTGTCATGACTGCTGTTGCTTGCAATCAGGTAATGAGTGTTATGCTTTAGTATTTCTTCCAGAATTGTTTTGACAATTCTAGTTCCTTTGCTTTCCATGTACAGTTTAGAATTAACTTGTAGATTTTTATAAAAAATCCTGCTGGGATTTTGAATTGAGTGCTGTTGAATATAGGTCAGGATGAGTAAAATTGACATCTTAAAAATATCAGTATCCACAAAGTATATCTCTCTATTCATATAGCTCTTTGGCTTATTTAACCAAGTTTTTTTTTTTTTTTTTTTGTACTGGGGCTTGAACTCAGGGCCTACACCTTGAGCCAATCCACCAGCCCTATTTTTGTGAAGGGTTTTTCAAGAAAAGGTCTCATGGAACTATTTGCCCAGGCTGGCTTTGAACCATGATCCTCCTACCCTTTGCCTCTTGAGTAGCTGGGATTACAGGCGTGAACTATTGGCACCTGGCTAGTTTTAAGTTTTAAGCATTTAGATATTACACAGGCTTTTTTAGAGTTATGCCTAAATTTTTGTGATTTTTGGTGTTGTAAATGGTGAAATTGTTTAAGTTTAATTTTCTGATGTCCATTTGCTAGTATATGGAAATATAGTTGATTTTTGTGTTTTGACCATGTTTCCTTTAACCATGCTAAATTTATTAGTTCTCTTAGCCTTTTTACTTTGTGGATTCTTTGGGATAGCCTATGTAAATAATCGTGTCGTCTGTGAATAGAGACGTTTATTTCTATTTCTACTTCTGCTCTTGCTCCCCGTTCTTCTTCCCTTCCCCTTACCCCCTCTCTTGCTATCTTTCTTCTCCTGTGGTCTTACTATGTTGCTCAGACTGGCCTTGAACCTGCAGTCCTTCTGCCTCATCCTCCCAGGTCGTTGGGATTACAGACACATACCGCCATGTCCAATTTATTTGTTTCTTTTAAATCTGTATGCATTTTGTTTGTTTTGTCTTGCCTTGTTTTATCACCTGGGATCTTCCGTAAAATAAGTAGGAATGATAAGAGTCAATAGCCTCACCTTGTACCCAGTATTAGGGAGCTAAGTCTCTTACCTTATCACATGATGATTGCTAGTGGTAGATTTGTATAAATGTCCATCAGGTTGAAGAAGTTCCCAACTATTTCTACTTTGTTGAGTCTTTCTTTTAGAAACTACTATGAGAGGATGTCAAAATTTGCCAAGGCTTTTCCTGCATCTGTTGAGATACCAAGTCTTTTTTCCCCTTTAATCTGTTGATGTAATGCATTGCTTGATTAATTCTCCAACACTGAACTAGCCTTAGATTCCTGTTGTAAATCTCATTTTGTCATCATGTATTACCCTTTCTGTATATTTGATTTGCTGTTTCTTTATTGAGGATTCTTGTGTTTATATTCATGAGAGATGCTGGTCTGTAGTTTTTTTTCTTTTGCCTTTGACTTGATTTTGGTATCAAGGTAATGTTGGCCTCATAAAACAAGTTGGGAATAGACCCTCCACTCTTATATTCTAGATGAGTAGAATTGCCATTATTTTGTTCTTAAATTGTTTGGTAGAATTCACCAGTAAGGCCATCTGGACCTGGACACAGTTTTTCTTTTTTAGGTTTTTATTTATTTATTTTAAATTATTCATTTATTCACATGTACATACATTGTTTGGGTCATTTCTCCCCCCTGCCTCTCCCCTCCCCCCCGCCCACTCCCCCCTCCCCCTCTTTTTTAGGTTTTAAACTATGATTCAGTTCTCTGTTTATCTGTCTTTCAAGGAATTGTAACATTTTATTCCATTTGTGAAATTTATGGGCAGAGTTGTTCACAGTATTTTCTTGCAGTATTTTCAAATGGTCTGTAATGATGTTCTTCTTTCATTTGTGAAGTTGGTAAATTTGTGTCTTTTCACTCTCTTTAAAAATTTGGTTCTAGCTAGAGGTTTGTTACTAATTTTTTGTCATCCAAAGAACTTGCTTTTGGTTTAACTGATTTTTCTGTTCTCAGTTTTTTTTTTTTTATTTTATTTTTCTGGCTTTGTGTCTTCACTTTATAGTTTTCTACAGTGGAAGTGTAGATCACTGATTTGAGGCCTTTTCTAAAACAATCATTGGATTCTGTGAACTTGTCTCTAAGCACTGCTTTTTGGTGTATTCCACAAATTTGATATTATCCTTTTTTACTCAATTCAATATATTTTCTAATTTCCCTTGTGATTTTTTTCTCCTTCACTTGTGAGTTATTTTGGAGTATATCTTTTTAATTTCCAGATTAAATTCCAGGGATTTCTATAAATTTTCCAATTTCTAGTTTAATTCCATTATGGTCTGAGAACATATATGTCTATTATTTTGCATTTATGTTCTTCTGTTTTGGAAGGATTGTTCTGTAAATGTCAGTTAAGTCAAGTTGGTTAATAGTTTGCCTAATTTTTCTGAATTCTTACTATCTTCTGGCCCACATGGTCTATTGATTACTGAGAAAGTTGAATCAAAGTCTCTAACATTAATGTGGATTTCTGTTCTCAGTTCTGTTGGTAAAGAACTTTGATGTATTTTGAAGCTCACTTATTGGGTGCATGCACATGAGTAGGATTCTTGGGTGGTCTTGGTGAATTGATTCTTTTGTCATTATTTAATGTACTTAAAAAAAAACTTTGTTAATGTTTCTTATTCTGAAGTCTACTTTTGGGAGAATAAAAAAAAACTTCCATGGTAATGTAGCCAAAAGTAGGACACATAGAATTACCAATAATACTAAAAATTACTTTGATTTATATTTTCTTTAGGTTGGGACATTAAGATTTTGTGGAACAACTGAATTTGCAAGTGGGCAGTGGGCTGGCATTGAATTAGATGAGCCAGAAGGAAAAAACAATGGGAGTGTTGGTAAAGTCCAGTACTTCAAATGTGCCCCCAAATATGGTAAGTTTGATACTAAAGTAGCTTAATATGAGTTACCTAAAAGTAATCAAATTTTACTCTGTAAAATAGTTTATTTTTGGTAGTGTTGGGGGTTGAACCCAGAGCCTGACACATACTAAGCACATTTTCTACCACTGATCTGTACCCCCAACCTTTTACAGTTTTTAAATAAAACTTTTTCTGGTTACTTATATAGTGAATGTTGATAGAAATATTAGGTTGGGGGTATATATTCTCAGTATTTTGAAAGTGATACTCTGTATATGTGCATTACAGTTTGGCAATGAAAAGAATTTAGAAAAAGAACATGTAGTCAAGGAAAATCTCATAGGTAGGCAGCATGAGAAAACTGCAAATAAGTTTTTTTTTTTTAAAGACAGGAAAGTCAGGGCAAGGTAGTATAGAATCCAAAGGAGGAAAGAGTTTCAAGGTTTGCAGAAAATTAATGCAGCTGGCACTTTTTAAAAAATTTATTTTATTTTATTTTTTTAATCTTTTATTCATATGTGCATGCAGTGATTGGGTCATTTCTCCCCCCTTCCCCCCAACCCCTCCCTTTCCTTCTGCCCCCTCCCTCCCCCCCCCCCTCGCTTCCTGCACCTGGCACTTTTTAGCTATAAACATACTCACTTGTATTGTCTTGAGCATTTCTATACTGCTTTAAAACAATTCATTTTTAATATATTACACGTTAGTCATAATGTGTATTTGTTAGGTTGTCAAAACTCAGAGTATATTATACATATTATGACTTTATTTTCTTTTTAAAATTGCATTAGTGAGATAAGTTTGTCATTTATAGTCCATGTTCACTATCTTTAATGTCTGTGCATACTTATAGTGGATGTGTTATTGCCTGGATAAGCTCTGTTTGAATGGAATTTTATACTTGTAGCTGCTGTAGACAGGTCACCCTTTCCCCTGCCCTGCATACCTCCCCTCCTCAACACACACGGTATTATTTCTCATTGTCAGGAATTGAAGGCTAGACCTTTGGGAAAGATTATATTTTATAGTCAAAAAGATTGATTATAGCTCTGCAGTGAGTCAGGCACTGTAGTTAGATACACTTGGGGAGGGCAGAGATGAGTAATGCTTGCATTTGCCTTTAAAGGGTGTGCTGTCTAGAAGAGAAGATACGGATACGAAAGGCCTTAATGTTGGGAAATACAAACCCCAAAGAGATATAAAGTGACATGGAAGTATAGGTTTTTATACCATACAGTGCACTGTTGTTTGCCAACAGCTTAGAAATAATAGAACATTGTTACTTTATTCATTTCTCTTTCCCCTGAATTTCACTTACACAACTGTGTGTCTTTTGTGTCACTCTTAAATTATTATGTGCATTAGTCTCCACGACTAGACCGTAAGCTCTCTGAGGGCAAGTACCATGTCTTTCTTTCTTTGCTGTCTGTCACTATAGGACATATAGTAGGCTCTAAAAAAAGAACTTAAACATGTGAGTAACTCTCTTCAACAAAATGAGAGATAAGGGCAAAATAGTTTCTGCTGGGTAGCGAGGGGGTGGGGGGAGAGGAGGGGGGAGGGGGCATGGGGGGGCAGGGGGGGAGAAATGACCCAAGCCTTGTAGGCACATATGAATAATAAAAAAAAAAAGATGTGAGTGAACAGTTACACTTGCCCTTTTATTTGAAATGCTCTTAATTGTTTAACATTGACTAAAATTGTACATTTTCCCTCAGGTATTTTTGCACCTCTTTCAAAGATAAGTAAAGCAAAAGATCGAAAGAAGAATATAATACATACTCCTTCCACAAAAGCTGTGCCTCTCATCAGGTCCCAGAAAGCTGACGTAGCTCATGTCACATCAAAAGTGATCTCTGGTGGGTCAAACCAGGTTAATGATCTCAGAATTTTAATTTTATTTGTGGGATCCCTAATCTTTAGAATGTTTTGGGTTTTTTGTTAGCTCACTGTGAAACCTCAAATTTAATAAAACCTGCATCTTTATCTTTTTAAGTCTCAATCATGATCAATGACATCAGTTCCTAACAAGAAGATTTCAGCTGCATATCTTCCTTTTCTTTCCTGCTGTTTCCATACCTTTAATACCTCATAATTACCCTCAGAGCTGGATTTCATACCTCTAGTAAGTCTTTATGAAACACAACTAGCTTTATGTTCCTGATTGATTCAGGGATGCTGAATGACTTCTTCTCTATCAGAACGTGTCCTTGAAACTACCAAAGACCTCCTTTATTTAATATAGTCTCTCTCTGCTTCCACAGTTGAACTGTGGCTGCTATCTCTCTTCCTTGTCTTTTGCATACATGTTCTCACATCTCCCTTCATACCTTGTCTCATCCTATTTGTCTTGGTGCAAGGCTGTGACTTTTGCCTTTGGCAGTCTTTGCCATTCCTCACCTCCTTAGTCAGACCTTGTTTCTCCATGAGAACTTGCTCAGTGACCCCAGCATACTTTAAGTTCTTAATTCTCTAACTTTGTATGTACTTTTTATCTCTGCTGTCCAGTTGGTATTTGTTATCTTCTCCACTGATTGCTTTTTGTGAATCTTTTGTTCTGTCAGCAGACTTTTGAACTTTAAATGGACTGTGAGAATATTTTGCACTTCTGTATTCACTGTATCACAAAGCAAACGATAGGGCTAAGTAAATATCTGTTGACATGTCAGTAGCTGAAGCAGTGAGGCTTTCTACCCATACTGGAAGGATTGTGTCCAAAAATTTGGTTTGCTTTTCTCTTCTGATTGACTGTCCTTGTGCTAACACTGTACTTCATAATTACTGTAATTAAAAGAAATCTTGGTATCTAGTAAAGGAAATCCTCCTATCTTATTCTTAAAGATCGTCTTGCCTATTTTGGACCCTTGTAAGTCATATCTCCTTCTAAATTTTAGAGTAAGCTGTTAAGTTTCTTTTTAAAGAGAATCTCTTGAGGTTTTAATTGGTATTACATTTAAACCTTTAGTCTACCGAAGAGAACTGACATCTTTTTAATCATGAGCTTAGAATATTTTTCTTTTTAATTAGTCTTTAAAAATATTTCCATGTGATTGTATAGTTTTTTTTTCTGTAGAAATTTTCTACCCATTGGCTAGATTTGCTCCTAAGTACTTCATATTTTTGATGATATATTGTAAATGATGTCTTTAGAACTTGAAACCTGGAAGTATAGACTGAAAGCTGTAAGAGAAGCCCTCTGTTTCCACTCTGAGAAGCAGGAAAGGGGTTTTCTACCTGACAGAACTTAGAGGAAATCCTGTTCTTTTTCTGCCCTACACTTCCTCTCCCCTGCCCCCTTTTTTCCTCTCACAGCCCAGTTCCCAGGATTGCTGCATGGGGCAGGAGCAGCAGGGAGGGAGGTAGGTGGGTTGGGGAGGCAGACGCCCAAACTCCAAGGAAGGGCAATCCTTGTCTCTGAAGGGAGAAACTGTGGTCCCAAGAACATGGTGGAATCCCCATTGGTCTTTCTTCTCCACCTCTTGGTTTCAGAGTCAGAGTCAGTCTTAGGAGATGGAATTACAGAGCAGGGAAACCAAAGGCAAGGCATTGTACTCAGAATCCCAGAAAGGGGGTACCTTAGAATTGTCAGGGAGACCATGAGTGGAGGGAACTGAAGAAAGTGGCCTCCAAATGTTGGATATAAACCTGATATCAGGTTGTGTGTGCGTGGGTCTGACTGAAGGCTTTGGTCTCCTTGGCAGGACCACGGCAGGCCCCATCTGACCACTGGATAGCATAGGAAATAGATTCAAATACTACTGCAAAAGCTTTGGAAACTCAAGTGAGCGAGAACCCTAGTGCACAGAAGGTGGGCAGGAATTTGTAGAACTTCTAGCCGGAACCTGACAGGTTGACTACTGAAACAGCTTAACCAACCAACAAAAACTAAGACTCTCTGTAGGTCTTAAAGTGATATCCTAGATACCCAAAATGATTCAAAATATGAAAAAGCAGGAAAATCTCTACATTTTATAAGGATGAGGACAAAGGACCCTGAGATGACAAAGACATCGCAGTTGGCACACAAAGACATGAAAGAGTATAACCATGCTCCAGTACTTAAGGGTGTACATTCCTGAAACAAATGGAAAAAATGTTTCATCAGAGAATTAGAAGATATTAAAAAAAAAAGAACCATATTCAAGAGGCAGAGGCAGGAAGATTACAAGTTCAAGGCCATCCTGGTCTACATATAGCAAGTTCCAGGCCAGCCTTGGTTATATAGTGAGACCCTGTCTCAAAAAACAAAACACAAAGAACTGAATGTTGTATACCTGTGTATCTACACATGCATGCACATACACATACACATATGTGCAAGTGAATGTAAGTAAACCTGGGCAAGTTGAGTAGGATTGATAGGTTATATCAATATCAGTATTCTGGTTGGGGAAACTGGGCAAAGTGTACAAAGGGATCTTTTAAAATCATTTTTTATAACTTCATATGAGTTAAATTATCTTGATAAAAATTCAAATAAAACAGAGCCAAATGGCTGTTTTAGAACTGAAAAATGTCAAAATTAAAAAAATAAGAAATCCTCTCTGCAGATTGCTTTCTCGTTCTGTTTCTGCTGTCCTAGTTCAGTCTGTAATAGGTTGGTTGCTGTAATAGCTTCTCTTGGCCTCTGATTCAGCCTCTCCTCTGGTCCACAAGACCTTCCTACTAGAGAAATGTTATAGAACTAGAATTCTGCTTGGGCCAGTCCTTCTTTCCAAAGCTTGCTTGAAGCTTATTTTCTATAGGAGGGTTCCAGAGTAGAGTCTAGTTCCTTCCTTCCTTTTTTTCTTTGGGCAGGGGGTAATGCTGGAGATTGAGCCTGAGGTCTCACACATGCTAGGCAAGTGCTCTGTTACTGAGCTATACCCTTAGCCCCAAGTTCTGGTTCCTTAGTTAGATGCCATCACCTTCCAAGGCTTACTGTTACCTATCTGTTTCAATTTACTTCTGTGTCTCAAAAATCCAGCCAAGCTCCTTACCATTCTCTCTTTCTGTAAGGCTTTCTTCTGTCCATACAGAATTCTCACCTTCAGTTCTTCCTGATCCTACTTTCAGGATTCTGGGGAAGCAGTCCAACCTCAAGACCCACCTTAGAATGTAATCTTGAGCAGCCACAGTTTTCTCCTCTCCTGCTACTGCATTAGTGCTTATGATGAAGAAGGTTCTCATGTTTTAGTTACTCATATTGATGACTGTCTGCTATACTAAATTGAAAAAATTGTCCTCAGAGCTAGGACCGTGTCTCATTTGTGTTTGCAGTACTCAGAGTCCTAAGCAGAGTTCTTCATGCAAAATAGTCCATAAATGAGCAGAATTGGAATAGGTTCTGATGGAAATTAAAGTTGGATGTAGCCATTCGATTTCTTCTTTAAATGACTTCTGTACAGGTGGGCGGGAAGTGTGACTAAGTGGAAGAGTGGCTGTATAGTAAGTGCAAGGCCCTGAGTTCAAACCCAGCCCCACCCACTGCCTCTCCTCAGCTCTGTGCAATTGAAACAAGTCTTAATAAGCAGACTGTTAACTGAAGAACTGTTTCTTTTCCAAAGTGAGTTTTTTGTGTGAATTGGTTGTGGTAGCTATTCTACCACTTTTAGAGTACCAATGGAATGGCAGAGTACAGGATTTCTTAGTATCTGAACTCTTGCTTAAGTGAATAGTAACTAAAATAATCGGTAATTTTTTTAACCCCAAATTCACTGTTCAATTAGAAAATCCGCTTTGAGAAATTTGCATGCACACCAGTGAAATCATATATGTTGTGTGTAAGTGCCAAAGTGTAGCAGCTATTTCTCCACTGTGACAGGTTTGCTGTACCTGCCAGTGTGGTGCAAACACATGAAACATGTGCGTTAAATACTAAAACAGCTAGGCAGTAGCGTGTCACAGCGTTTTATTATTTAGAAATCTTTAGTGGGTTATAATATTGGGGTTTTTACATGTGCTAGAAGTGATTCTTTCTCCTTTATTTTTTATTTTTATTTTTGTAGTGCTGGGATTTGAACCAGTGTCTTACACATGCGAGGCAAGGACTGTGCCACTGAGCTACATCGTTAGCCCTTTCATTACTGAAATATTGGCTCCATATCTGTGAAATTATTATCCAGTATGTGTTCAGAAGTGGTTAAGGTTTAGATAATGAGGGATACATTGTGTTTAAAAAACAAATACATTTTTACCCTTACTGTTAAAACTTGTTTTTACTAAAAAGTGTTCTGTTTCTGTGTCCTAGGATTGATGACATCAAAAAAAGAGAGTGCTTCTGAATCTGCACTTGCAGTGCCTCCTAGTGAAGAGTTGAAAATGGCAACAGAGAAAGATGGTAATATAATTTATAACTTCTGTTTCTCAAAATTCAGTATACTGATGAAACTTTCAAATAATACAGTGGAAAACCAGCTTATATGGGGGTTTTTAAAGTTGGTAAGGGAAAATCATTATAGTAAAAATTGCCCTTGAAAATCTCTTAAGCAGCTCACAATAAGTATATAATTAAAAAATAAAATCTTGTACTGAGTTTCTTAGGTATGATTAGCAGACTACTGGACTAGATTACAAGAGGGAATGAAAGGGAATTCCATAGTACAGGTGGCTTGGCAAAAATGTGTAAGTTTCCTTAGCTATCAAAATCATTGGGCAAATAGAACATGAGTATTCCTGCTGTCTTCAGGTTTAACCCAAAACATTTTAATGTTAAGCTTTGTCATCTTAAAACATAGTAATAGCACTTTTTGTTTTTTGCATAAAGATGGAACTTTACTTTCTCCCCTAAGGGGTGAGTGAGTGATGGTGTTTAGATTGGATAGTTAACATTAGTTGATATGGAAGCATTCCCTATGTAAGATTGTGATGTTATAATGCGAATCCTAAAAAAAAAAACAACCTATTGCTTGTGTTATAAAATCTTTTATGTAAAAACTACAGTATGTTTGGATGAAATCAGGCCTTTAATTTGACACTAGATAATCCACAGTTGCAGAAGCTAAATGGAGTATTTCAGAAGGATTTGCCTGGAAAGGTTTCTTATTGGCCTACTTTTTATTTTATAACCTTTTAAGTATTATTCTTTTTTCTTCTCTATTTTAGTTACCCTGCATGGATCCGTCAGCAGCTCCTCCTCCACATCTTCTTTGGAACACAAACAGAGCTACCCCAAGAAATTGAATGCAAGTAACAATAGCAAGAAGACCATGAGCAAAAGCCCTTCTCTCTCATCCAGAGCCAGTGCTGGTATCTATGGCTTTTTCAACCAGGCTTTCTTGGTGTTTTTAATCTTGGTTTGTTTGTAAGTAGATTTGCTCTTTTTAAATGTGTAGAAGGAACCCTTTACTTCAATCAGATTGAACTACTTGTTTCTCTTTCCTGCCTCCCCATGAACCTTAAGTGAGGTTCAGGTCTCTTCGTGTAGCTGTTGGATATATGTGTTGCGTTTATTTTCACCTAACTTATAGTCAGCAGTTTTATCTCATCTGAACTTTTATTTTTTGCATCTTGTGTGTTAGCTTTCTCATGTATCTTTGTGTCTTTCTTCATATTTATAAAGCATGTTTTTAGGCCGTGGACATGGTTCAAATGGTAGGGTGCCTGCTTAACAAGCACAAAGCCTTGAGTTCAAACCCCAGTAGTGCCACCCCTACCATAGAAAACCCAAAACAAACTCAAGACAAAAACCAAACCAACCCCCCTCCCATTTTCTCTGTTCTTAATTCAAATTATGGTTTAAAACTGTGTAGAAGAGGGTTGGAGGGTCCCTTTCCAAGATGACTGTGATAGCCTATTCTCACAGGCTTTTTAACTGGCCATGGGTTCTACATAACCCCTTCAGTCCACTGTTCTCCAGTTCTGTGTGAGGATACATAAAACACTTTGTCAAACTTCATACTGAAATCAACATAGATTGTGTATATTGTAGCTTACTTATTTACCTATATATGTAAACTTGTTCAGAAAGAAAGTGAAGCCATTTTGGCATAAATTATTCTTAACCTTCATAATAATTACCAGATTTTTTTTCTAATACTTCTATTGAACCAATATTTTCTTACAGAAAATGTTCATGACAGGATTTTTTTTCTTTAACATACTTTATTGGTGGGGGACCTCTTCCCTAGTAGTAACATTGATATAATAAACTTAAAAGCAAGGATCCTACAAGTCAGGAACTTGGAGATTTGACCTGGAATTGTTTATCTAGAATATTTGTTTTCTGAATAGCTTACCCTTGTTATACCCCAATCAATTTCTCTCTAATACTTTGAGGAGTAGAGGTGAGAAGGTACAGTGATGCCATAACCCCTCCTGTCCTTGCTTATATTTCAAGGCCCCTTTCATTTGGCATTTAGACTTTTGAAATTTACTTGATTTTAAAATTAATATATGAGTATGGAATGCCTATTTTTCCCTAAAACCTTTTATGACAAGTAGTTCTAGTGTGCCTATATACTTAAATTTTTATTTTTATAAAACAAGGATTGGCAAACTACAGCTATTGGTCAGAACTAATCTGGCTTTGTAAACAGGGTTTATTGGACACAGCTATGTACGTTCCATTATGTATTATTTGCTTTTATGCTTGAACAGCAGAGTTGCATTTTTGTGACAGAGGAAGTATGGCTTGAAAACTTAAAATATTTGATATCTGATTCTTCACATGAAGTGTGTTCTAGCAGAGCTGCACCAAACAATCCTGGCAGAATTGATTCTTCGTCAGGAATTTGGTTTTGTGAATTGTGGAATGCAGTAATTTTCTCAGGAAACCCTTCATATTTCCTTTGAGTGCCTTGACCTTTCATGTTAGGAATGTAATTGTAGAGGGTATATATAATAAAAAACATTGTGTCAAAATCTATAACTAATGAGACTAGTTAGAATACAGAGTTTTTTTTTTTTCACTAATATGCTTTTAAAGCTTCTTCTCCATTAGTTTTCCTTCCTTTTTATTCTGTTCTTCTACTGCTTCAACAGGTTTGAATTCTTCAGCAACATCTGTAGCAAATAATACCCGTCATGAAGGAGAACTCCACCTTGGAGAGAGAGTGTTGGTGGTAGGCCAGAGAGTTGGTACCATTAAATTCTTTGGGACAACAAACTTTGCTCCAGGTAACTCACCTGAATATTCTTTGCTCAATTTGAATTTTTTAGAATATGAAAAGTTTAAATTTTTATAGGTAGATAAAATTTAATCAGAGGAATTCTTAAAGTTCTGTGGATGATAGCAGTGGCACAGAAAATGTGAAATAGTGATACAAATTCAGTGGCTGTACTCTGATTGGTGTCCATTGATTTTTCTTGTTCTTGTGTTTTCATTTATGTAATGCTAAAATGAGTTATTTCTGAAGTTTATTCTGATTGCTGTGCTAAATGATAGGGAAAGTATTTCAGGATTAGGTTTTTTTTTTTCTTTACCAAGGATAATCTTACAATGTGTAGGTAATGAGTAAATGTATAACCTTTATTAGGGTGGCTTGGAAAGGAAAGCAAAGGAAGATAAGAAAGCTGTTGTGGCCCCTGGGACCTTAAAAATACATGTTTGTGTGTCTTTATATTCATTCCAATCTACTTAATACTGTGTTTCCAAAAGTAAGGTTTATTTTCTTGCGCATTTTTAAAGATTATAATTTTGGATAGATGCTAGTTGAAAGAATCCCTCTCTGTTTTTAAATAGCAATGTGCTGTTTTAACACATGGTGGCATTGCAGCATTTTAGGAAAAGGTTGCTTACAACATTGATTTCTTTAAAAAAAGTTTGTACTGTAGTATCTGTCAAGAACCATGAAGGAGCTGAGATTTTACCCTGTTTGCAAGCCAGCAAACTAACCTGTCACAATTTCATAGATGTTGGTGGAAGACATAAAAATCCTAGGTCATAAACAAAGGACTTTAATATTCACAGTAATAGCAGTAGCCAGAGTATTAGCATTTTTCTGTGCTGTTCCCTGAGCCCTGGTCTGGGGCAGAGAGGGTGCTAGGTGTCACCTGCGCACCCAGTAGTGTATATTCCAGAAGAACTGTGAGTTTAAGGAATCTGAACCTTTACACTGAAGTGATTGCTCAGCATGCCTGTCTTTTGCCCTGAAGGGAGACTGTCCTCCCATTTGATCCTCTATTCAGACACCCATGCAAAGAGGGCCAGGAACAAAGGTAGTCAGTGCCTCTGTCTGTAGGACAGTTGGAAACATGAGAGCACTATGGAGAATTGTCTCTCAGCACATTCTTGTTTCCTTACTACCACTTTTAATTGCAAGCCAGTGAATCAATTTGAAATGGCTTATATGTTTTATGTGTAATTCATAACTTCCTTAGGTCTCCAGGTAGTAATCAAGATTCATTAGGACATGTTAAACCTACCACAGGTAGGTTTATTTTTCACGTTTACCAATATCTTTGGAGTTGCCTTTCTCTGACTATATTAAACAAGGCTAGGATGGTTTGATTCTTTGGATACGAGTCATCATTTTTAGGTTGAGTTTTAATTTTTAAATTCCTAATGTAAATCATTTAGAAATTTGTGAAGTAATAAACAAGCACACTTGGAAACTTTTGTGTTCATGTTTACCTTGTCAGGGAAGTTGTAGTATATATTTCTTGTGCCATCAGAATTTAGATCAGTGATTTCTACAGAACCATGGTAATGTCAAGACTTTTAATAGACTTGAGACATGAAAGGTCATGTTTAGCTACTCTCAACATTTTTATCAGTGTCACCTTGGGAGACAGTATTTTAATGGGAAGATATCCACATCACCACTTGAGTATGAGTCATATTGCTGACACTCATCATAATGTATGTATTTTTGCTGTGTGTTACATGCTTTCAAGAGTTATGATAAAACATGTAACAGTATACATGGTAAATAAATGGGAACTGCAAAAATTACATTGGATGGTTTGATTCTTTGGATACGAGTCATCATTTTTAGGTTGAGTTTTAATTTTTAAATTCCTAATGTAAATCATTTAGAAATTTGTGAAGTAATAAACAAGCACACTTGGAAACTTTTGTGTTAATGTTACCTTGTCAGGGAAGTTGTAGTATATATTTCTTGTGCCATCAGAATTTAGATCAGTGATTTCTACAGAACAATGGTAATGTCAAGACTTTTAATAGACTATGAGACATGAAAGAGGTCATGTTTAGCTACTCTCAACATTTTTATCAGTGTCACCTTGGGAAGACAGTATTTTAATGGGAAGATATCCACATCACACCACTTGAGTATGAAGTCACTATTGCTGACACTCATCATAATGTATGTATTTTTGCTGTGTGTTACATGCTTTCAAGAGTTATGATAAAACATGTAACAGTAATACATGGTAAATTAAAATGGGAAACTGCAAAAATTACATTGGAAGATATCAAAGGCAGAAGGAAATAAAACTTGAAAAATCTTAACTGTGGTACTCAGAGAAATACCAATGCTAACCAGAGTAACCTGGTTTAGGATGTTCAGAAAGGTTATAAGCATTTTTAGAGCATTAGTTAACCAGGAGTTCTGTGGGCATTACTTGATGGGAGTAGGGACAGACAAATATGAAGACATGGTGTGCTTTAGTCTTTTCAGTCTAAACCCCAGTGTCTGGGAATGGACCCAGGTGCCATCTTTTTGAGGAGAAGGGGAAAAAATTAAGAACTTCAAGGTTGACTTTTTTAGAAGTCTTTTAACTGACTCTCCATTCTATTAATCTGAAAGAAACAATGTCTTTTTAGACCACAAACGAGTGAACTTTTAGACACTGTAGCTAGTCTTGGGTACCCTCAACCCTTGTGCTAGAAGTAAGTCCAGTTGCCTTATATTGGCGGAAACACATAACCTTGCCACTTCAGTTTTAGGCTCTCTAGAAGAGGAAATCCTATCACTTTCCTCAGACTATAGGTCTACAGGTCTTTAAGATTTCTGTTAGATAACCTAAGTCTTTCATTTAGGTTAAAAATGATTTTTCTTTCCATCTTAAGATAAAAAATAGAGAAAGAGAAAGCAGAGTCACCAAATGTCTAGTGGCATTTTCCATATTATCTTTGTCGTTCTTTAATTATTCAAGAATGATTTGTGGTCCTATATTGGGAGAGTAAAGTGAAAAGATTGCATGTTCATTTTAGGATTTATGTATCTCAGTGTTATGCTTCTCTCATTGAAACACACTGTATTAGAGTCAAGGACAGTTTCCTTTTCACTATAGTTTTAAGATATATTTTGGTCGTGTTCTACTTGCATGATAGCTAATCCATTTTATTTTCCTCCCTTAATGTACTGCTCTGCAATTATGTTGGTAAAATGTTTTTCCTACTTTTCAAATTTTCAAGTTTTATTTTATAATTTTATCATTTGATAGCTTAATGTACATGATGATCTTCCATCATTTCGGTCATTTGTAAAAATGTTAAACCATCGAGACATGGGTTCGTATAATAGCCTGACGATTTTGAATAAAGTGCAGATGCTTTTAAAATGCAATATTCATGTTCTAGGGTATTGGTATGGTATAGAGCTTGAAAAACCCCATGGGAAGAATGATGGTTCAGTTGGAGGTGTGCAGTATTTTAGTTGTTCTCCAAGATATGGAATATTTGCTCCCCCATCCAGGGTGCAAAGGTGAGAAAAAATGGAACTTATGTTTATTCACACAAACTTTTGTAATTTGCAGTACTGCTCAGAGACCCTAATTTTATCTGGATGATACGACTGAATGTAGCTCATGCCTTCTTTCAAAGGGTTAACCCACCACCTTCCTTAGGGGGAAGGCTCATGGAAAGCTAAATTTGCCTTTCTGAGGATTTGCAATTTTAAAAACCTCCTTTCTTCCTCATTTGCAAACCCTATGAGTATGTGCAGGCTATTAGAAGTGGCGTTTGCAGCTAAGAACAGTGAGAGTAGCAAGCTTAATCTGTCATGCAAACAAAAGTAAAAATGCTCTCTGATTGCTTCAGTCATATCCTAACTACATTAAATTTCCTGCCAGCAGGCACCCATTCATTCTCCTACAAACCTAATGGAACCAAAATGGCTTTTTCCTCTGATTTCTTTAGTTTTCAAAAATAGATAGGCAGTAGATCTTTGGGGGAAGTGAAGTTTCAAGGATTTATATATAATAAACCACCTCAGTGTTTCTTTGTAAGATAGTAACTTGTGTACCACCTCACTCTGATTTTAAAAACATAAGTTGAGCAGAAAAAGTCCTCATGAAATTCCAGGTAAAATGTGAAGTGACTTTTCTCTTGTGCTGGAAGAAGCTGGCTTGGTATGCTTTTCGGTGGCAGGGAAATGGGACACTGGTCTTAAATAAGAGATAACACACGTGATGTAATGATATTCATGAGACTAGAATGCCAGTGACAGTCTGGGAGTCCCTTACAGCTAGATTGACTGCTTCTGGGCAAATTAAGTTTTTTATACCCATTTTCTTCCTTAGTATGTTTTTCTTGTTGGAAACTTACATATGCTTTTTGTATTAATTTCATTTTACAGTGTACTTGATGTGTGTATCTTCTTTATGAAAATGTAGCATTCAGCATATAATTCTTTGTAGGTCATAAAGTATTTGCACTTAAATATTACTTCATTTGATTCTAGTAAGTATTTGGCCAGGCAAGCTGGAAAAGAACCCTCAGTATTATAAACCTTTATTGAGCATTTGATAAGTGGTAGCTGCATACTTTATACAGAGAGCCATAGGCTGTTGTGATCATTCCCATTTTGCAGGTGAAGGAAATAATTTTCAAGAGATAAAGTAACTAAGCTAAAGTCACATGGCTAGTTAATAGAGGAGTTGTATTCATCCCAGGTTTGTTATTTCCTTGTTTTTCCCTTAGCCCATACTTTCAAGCACTTGGCTCTTTTTTCTTTTAGTCATTTTTTAAAGGAAGAGAAGATGGAGCTAGCTAATGAATATGCACTTATACCCACTGGGCACTCTTCACAACTCTCCACATATTAACGGTTTAGTTTTCTGCAACAATCCTATGGGTCAGGCCCTGTAATTATCCCTGTATCACAGATGAGAAAAGTAAGGTCCAGAGAGCTAATGGGAGCTGTGCTCTCCAGTGGGTCTTTGAACCCTACAAGTCTGGAATCAGAATGTTCTTCACTATAACCCTTACTGGTTACCAAAGCATCCTTGACTCTCCTTGGGACCTGTGTCTGGCAGATGACTGACTTGGGAGTGTATTCCAGCTGAGTCACCTGCATTGGTGCCTTGTTACAGGCTCATACAAGTTTTATTTGTCTGTAGTCATGAGGACTAAGGTTTGCTTCATGTTCGATGACTCAGAGTACAAAGTTTGGCGTATTTTAGACACAGTAAATATATCTGATTCCCAGGTCAGAACTTTTTGTACTGAAACAGCCTTTTCTCTTTATAAATAATATGAAGCCACATTCTTTCTCATAAGTTTAATTTTTTCCCCTCTTGCTTTGTTTATGGGGCACACGTTTTTCACTTTGTGTTTTGCTTGCTTTCTCTTTGGTCTTCTTTAAGGTGGTGCATTTGAAAACAACCCCCTCTTAAAAGAAACAGGGCTCTTTCTAAATGAAGTGCTGTCTCTATCCAGCTGTCTTCCTGTCATCTTCTGATTGTCTCATTCATCATCATCAAATACTATTAAGTGTCTTTTAGCAATTTGTGCTGTGCTAGGCATTCTATAAGCAAATAAAACAGACATAGTCTCTGGTTTTGAGGATTTTCTAACCTAAACCAGTTTTGAGCTTTTTAAAGACCCCACTGATCTTCAGTATAGAAGGATTTTAATCCAGGGTCGTGCTTGAGGAAGTCTTAATAAGGCAGTGACTAATTATAATGTGACTTTGCATGTCTCCTCCTCAGGACTGTAACTGGTCTTTTATTTCCCCCTTTTCCACTTTTAAAATGTGCCTCCTATTACAGAAGCTTTGCACACATTATTCCCTCTATTTGGATAGCTTTTTGGATCCACCTATTATTATCCAATGCTGATTTAATATTTTTGTTTTAGTATTTAATTTTTGGTCAGTATAAAATCAGCATTTCTTTAGAGAAACTAAGAGTAGATCAAATCTAATCTCTTTCTTTCTCTCTCACTCTGTGTTTCTTACACACAGCCTAAGATAATCTTCATGAACATAGCATTCATTCTCTTCTTACCATTAGGTACTTATTTCTAATGAACTGATCACTTCTAGGATTAAATTTCTTTCAGCTGTCCATCACCACTTCATTCAAGTAGCTGTCCTGTTCATCAGGTTGTAGTCTTCATGTTCATCAGTCCTTCATTGATTGTGGTGTGTTGTATATAATATAAAAATGATGCATCTCAGTCGCAAGATAAAACTGCAAATACTGCAGAGAGTTGCAGGATTTCTTGATAGAAATAAAGTATGTTGGAGGAGTTGATTGACAAATGAAGGCCTTGCAGATTTAGGTCAGCAAACAGTTGAAAGAAAATGAGGTTGTCAGGATTGGCTTTTTAAAAATAAAGAATGATTTGAATATCAAAAAGTGAAAAGAAACCCGTCGGGAAGGTGACCTTTATGATTGTGCTTAGAGTTAAGTAGAAAGGGCCTGGAATTGTATAATACAGCAAGACAGTTTTATCAGAAAAATCACACACATGCACAAACTCAGTTAATACCTATTCTCCAATTTAAGAATTAGTGATATTTTTAACCATTTTAATCTAACACTTGTTAAATTTAATATAAAATAAGTATGGTTTCATAGTCTTTAGTTTCACCTTTGGAGACAAAATTCCAAAGAAATATAAGGTTCCTATTTTAAGTGAATTCATTTTAAGTTGACTGTTTACATGCTGTGCTCTTAGATAGTACTTCTTCCATCTGGTTATTGCCTGTTTCCCACACTAGGTGGAAGTTCAATTCTGGCTCATTTGGGTGCTCAATAAATGTTTGTTGAATGAATGATCAGTTGAGAGAGCCAGTCTTAAATCTGAAGACCAGCTACTCTAATGTTTGTGTTTTGTTTTATTCACAGACTAACAGATTCCCTGGATACTCTTTCAGAAATTTCTTCAATAAACAGAATCATTCTTATCCTGGTGAGATGATAGAATTTCATGTCGGTAATATTCATTGAAAAATTTTATTATGAAGTATATGCACATACATATGTATGCAAAAGAGTGTATGAAATATATTTGTATAGTTCATGTAGTCATGGAGCAGACATCTATACCCAATCCCCAGCTGAAGATAGTTACACGTGTGGTAGAAATCCCTGAGTGCCCACCCCCTCTTGTCTGCTTTCCTTTTCATGTACCCCGTCCTAAGGTTATTGACGCGAACTTTGTATTAGCAGTCTCCTTGACCTTCTTTGTCTTTTGTTACCTGTATAGAGACATGTTAATTAATCATATATTTAGTTTTTATTACTGTTTGATATTTTGTTATTTACAGTTACATTGAAATGCATTATTATTCTATAGTTGATGGTTGTTGGGGATTATATCTTGGTTTTTTTATCATTGGAAATATGCTGTTGTGCACATGGGCAGACATTTCTCCAGGGTTGGCAAGCATGCATGTCCACATCCTCTCCCTTCCTAGGGAGTGCCAAGTGTTTGCAGGGTATCTGCTCATCATCCAGCCTAGAGCTTCTGTTCTCACCTCACCAATACTGACCTTGTTTGACCTCACTTACCTCTCTAAAGCCCTGTTTGCAAGTGCAGTCACATTCTGAGGTCCGAGAGGTTGGACTTCAGTGCATGAGTGAATGGAGAAGGGGGTGGAGCAACACCATTCGGCCCCTAGCAGGCTTATTTGTCATCATTGTATCATCTTAGGTCAGGAGTCTGTTCAGTCTTTTGCCCCATTAAATTGTGTTCGTTACTTTCTTATTATTGGGTTCTTTATATATTTTGAATACCAGACCCTTATCAGGTATTGAAAATATTTTTTCAATGTTTTGAAAATATTTTTTCTCTCTGTGGCTTGTCTTTTCATTCTCTTAATGGTGCCTTCTTCAGAGCATGTGTCATAAATTTTAATGAAGTTCAAGTTAATCCATTATTTTTCCATTCATGGATCATGCTTTTGGTATTGTTAGATCATCACCAAACCCAAGGCCATTCCTGACTTTTCTGTTATCTTCTAGGAGTTTATACTTTTTTTTTACATTTAGGTCTGGTCTACTTTGAATTAAATTTTATGACAGGTATAAGCCTGTTTATAGATTGTTTTTTTACCTGTAAATGTTTAATTGTTCCAGCATATTTTTTGAAAAAACTATCTTTTCTTTATTGAATTGCCTTTGCTCTGTTGTCAAAGATCAGTTGACAGTATTTGTGTGGGTCTATCTGTGGGTTCTTTACTCTGTTCCATTCATCTTTTTGTTTACTTTTCACCAATACACTGCTTGATTTCTGTTGCTTTATAGTAATCCTTCAAATACAGAGTAGTGTCTGACTTTGGTCTCCTTTGATATTGTGTGATTGTATGGGTCTTTTTTGCCTTTCTGTCTAAACTTTAAAATCATTTGGTTGAAATCCACAAAATACCTGTGCTTTGGATTTGACCTGGAATTGCACTGAGTGTATAGATTAAGTCAGAAAGAGTTGACTTTCACTGAGTCTTTCTACCTGTGAACATAGACTATCTCTCCGTAGTCTCTTATTCCAGTTTTGTTTTCTGTGGGATTTGTTACCTCAGTTAACTATGGTCTGAAAATAGTAAATGAAAAATTTCCAAAGTAAACAATTCACAGGTTTTAAGTTGTGCATCATTCTGATGAAATCTCACACTGTCCTGCTTAGGATATGAGTCATCCTTTAGTGCAGCACATCCATGCTGTCTGTGTGTGCTCCATGCCTGTTAGTCTCATAGTAACCCTCTAGGTTATCAGATCTATCATTGAGGTTGATTGTGTTCAGGTGACCCTAATTTTAAATAATAATGGCTCTGGAACACACAAGTAATGATTCTGCAATTGAGATATGTTAAACTTCAAAACCTCCAAAAGTAATGTCATGATCTTCACTTATTCCTGTATGAGCATAGTTTGATCAGAAAGGTAAAAGTAAAAATATTGTCCAAGAAACCTAAACTACAATTACGTTCTGTATATGTACTTACCTTCTTTGCTTTTTTTTCCAAAAAAATTTTGATTGTCAGAAGAACATTTGTAGAAGAAATTGATAAAAGACAACTTTTAATAAGGACTGAAATTTGTGATTTTTTTTCTTCTTCTAACCTTAACTTTCATGTTTAGGTTTTAGGAGAAGTTTCAGCACAACTTCTTTCTTCCCAAAAAGAGATTAACAGGAGAAATGCTTTTGCCAAGTGAGTATTAAGAAGACTTAGAGAAACGCCTTTCAAGATGAACATGGCAGGATTCTCTGAAGGAAGAAAAATGGAATTTTGTATCTGTGTACATTGCTCAGTAGAATTTTAACACGTAAGAGAGAAGGTGTGATCAGTGTATTGAATTCTTCCTCCCTCTTTGCAAGCTCAATTAAAAATGTCACAAATGACTAAAAATAAACAGCTGCATATATTTTTCTTCTAGAGGTTAGTTCTTATTAATAAAAGTTGGGAGAATTTACATTTTGTGTTTTCAATGAGTAGAGTGGATTGATTTAAACTATTTACTGAGCTAATCAGATTTGATTTAATGCAACCTGCAATTCCATGTGGTAATCTTATTATTTAATTATTTTTAAAAAATACTTTACTTCCCCTTGTTTAGAGTATATGCTCAAAACCATCACCAAATTTGAGAGTTTTGAAATTGGTCTCCTTGCTTCAGTAGCTGAAAAAGTTTAGGGCAGTAACTTTATGCTCCAGTTTATTAAAGATATTCGAGAATTCTTAGGCAGAATGGAAGACAAAGAAGAGGACACCAGGATATAAAGGATTCTGAAGGGAGAGAGGTAGGAAAATCAGTGTCCAGATATTGGGGATTGGAAGACCATGATACAGAGAATCAAGGGGAGGAGAAAAAAAGCTGAGCCCTGGGAAGAATACAGCAGCAGGTACAGGTATGCACAAGGTGATTATTGACATGAGGAGGGAATAGCAGCACTTACCTGATTTCTATTAGAAATAAAAGGAAATTAAAGCTTTTACTCATAGTTATAGAGATTGACGCTAGTATCTATTTAGGAAAATAAATATACCTTTACTGAAGATATTAATAAGTTGGTACATGTATTTTTCTACTCATTTATAGCTTAGCATGGTAATACATTTTTCTCAGAACAAAAGACTACCTGATTTCTATAGAAATAAAAGGAAATTAAGCTTTACTCATAGTTTATAGAGATTGACGCTAGTATCTATTTAGGAAAATAAATATACCTTTACTGAAGATATATAATAAGTTTGGTACATTTATTTTTCTACTCATTCTATCTTAGCATGGTAACATTTTTCTCAGAACAAAAGACTTTTGCGTGCTGACAGGGAGTAGGAATCTATCCTTGATCTTTAGGGTAAGAGAGGCAATGCAGTAACCCGACAACTGTGTGTAGAGTTTGATTGTTGTGCTGTTTAATCTGGAAGGGTGATTTATTTGTAATGAGAATAAGTGATACTTTTAGAAGAGAATGTGGAAAACATAATGAAATTCCTTGGTAAGAAACTTTGAAGGACTTGGGGTAGTAGACATGTTTGTCCCATTTGAGTGCAAGGATAATTAGAAAAGGGAGTCATTTCATGAAAAGAAAAGCTTTCATTCTTTCACTGACATTTCACCATCATTTCATGATCAATGATGGACAATGAATGCATTTCATTCAGAGGAAAAAGTGACAGAGAAGGATTGGAAACAACTAGCTTCAGAATTCTATGTATAAATATCTTGTGCCCAGAATGAGAGTACTAAGGAATTGAGCTTGAGATTGTGACATAGTCATACAAAGACGTGATGAAGACTTCACCGTCCTCTCTCACACTATCCATTGGTATTGCTGATTTCACCTCCTCTCCTGCTCAGGAGCCTGTGCTTACAAGTATACTTGGGTCCTGTCTGTGGATCCAGCGCATGGCATAAGGTCAGCCTCAAACTTGAGTGTTTTAGGTAGAACTCCTACAGTCCAGTGCATGAGTTTCATTGTTTTCATGTCACATGTTTATATTTTCTGCTGTCCCTTAAAACTTTTGAATTCTAAAAAGTTGAAGTCCAAACTCACAGGCAACAGCAGACAGAGTCCTTGCATGGTCAGCCACCTGTATGTCTCATGGGGATTTTTTTTTTTTATCACATGTGCATACATTGTTTGGGTCATTTCTCCCCTGTTGCCCACCACCTCCCCCTCGCTTCCGGGCTGTGACTGATTTTGTTGAAGAGAGACATAAACATAATAAGAAAGACAAAGTGTTTTTTGCTAGTTGAGTTAAGGATAGCTGTACAGAGAGATTCCTAGTATTCCCTTCCATGTACAAATGTGTTTAACACCCAAGTTGATTCATCTCTAACTGATCTTTACAAACTGGTTTCCTGTCCCCTTCTCGTGTTGACCGACTCTTTCGCTTTAAGGTTTCTGTATTAGTTCTCTGGAGTGGGGATATTCAAACACTTCATTTTTTGGTTTTTACCTAGTCTCATGGGGATATCTTATAAAAACACCTGCCACTATCTAAACTTCAAACAAAAATTATAGAGTAAACACTTATTTGCTCACATTATACTCCCCTCTCTGTGTTTTTGGTTTGCCCAAGTATCACTTCACTGAAATATTCTCCCCTGAGGCCTTGAAGAATGGAAGAGTTTTTTGCCCTCTTTTATGCACACTCCTCACCTTACACAGTCTCTGTCATACTTTATAACACCATTCGATTCTATGTAACAAATTCCTAGAGTTAGCATCTTCCCTCCCCATTTCTAGTGTTTTGACTGAGTAAACAGAGTTCTCACAACATAGTATTTCCAAGCTTCTGGGCTTTTGAACCTTGAAATAACTTGAATCAAATCACTTCCATTAGAATGTTTATATTTTACCCACGCATTAATTTTTGGTTTAGATAGTTGAATTCACTTATCACTAATGTCTCTTTTAATAAACATTTTTGTTTATGAAAATGATTTTAATAATTATGTTGAAAAAATTAAGGCAAAATAAGATGCAGATAAAGATCATCTGTGACTTTTGTCACCTAGATAAACACTATTAATATTTTGCTATATATGTTCCAGTTTTTCCTTAATGTATGTGCTGAATTTTTTAATAGTAAGATGAGTCATACTCTATATACCCTTTAGAAAACTTTTCCCGTTAATGTATCATGAACATAATCACATATTCTTTTAATATTATTTTTCCTCACTGTGACTTTTGCAGTGTTTTTAAATTCTGCACTGTTATATGGAAACATTTTTATATCATAATAATAAATGAAAAAAATCATATTTTAAATAACAATGCAGACTTTTGAAAAATGCATCTATCTTCCCCTCCCCCTACTCTCCCCCCTGCCCTATTTGTGTGTGTACGTGTGAATGCATGGTTGAGATCAGATAAATACACAAAGTTTGTTTTCTTCAATTCTTTCTTTTAACAAAATTTATGTATTAGCACTTTAATTCACCTGGATTTTTTTTTTTTTTGGATTTTGGGAATTCAAAAGTTTGGAATTTAGCTAAGAATCATATTTATTTCTCCTAAACAAGTAGCTAGTTCTTAAGGCACCCATAATTCAATGGTCACTCCTTTCTCGTTGCTTTGAAGTTTTAATTTTTTTTACATATGAAATAATTATGTACATGCAAAATTTTTCTAAAATGTCTTGTCTGTGTCACTTGAAGCTACATTCTTGTGCCTGAGTGAACCACATTGTTTTTTTTTATTATTATTCATATGTGCATACAAGGCTTGGGTCATTTCTCCCCCCTGCCTCCACCCCTCCTTACACCCACTCCCCCTCCCTCTCCCCCACCCCTCAATACCCAGCAGAAACTATTTTGCCCTTATTTCTAATTTTGTTTGTAGAGAGAGTATAAGCAATAATAGGAAGGAACAAGGGTTTTTGCTGGTTGAGATAAGGATAGCTATACAGGGATTGACTCACTTGATTTCCTGTGCGTGGGTGTTACCTTCTAGGTTAATTCTTTTTGATCTAACCTTTTCTCTAGTACCTGTCCCCTTTTCCTATTGGCCTCAGTTGCTTTAAGGTATCTGCTTTAGTTCTCTGTGTTAAGGGCAACAAATGCTAGCTAATTTTTTAGGTGTCTTACCTATCCTACCCTCCCTTGTGTGCTCTGCTTTTATCATGTGCTCAAGTCCAATCCCCTGTTGTGTTTGCCCTTGATCTAATGTCCACATATGAGGGAGAACATATAATTTTTGGTCTTTTGGGCCAGGCTAACCTCACTCAGAATGATGTTCTCCAATTCCATCCATTTACCAGCGAATGATAACATTTTGTTCTTCTTCATGGCTGCATAAAATTCCATTGTGTATAGATACCACATTTTCTTAATCCATTCGTCGGTGGTGGGGCGTCTTGGCTGTTTCCATAACTTGGCTATTGTGAATAGTGCTGCAATAAACATGGGTGTGCAGGTGCCTCTGGAGTAATCTGTGTCACAGTCTTTTGGGTATATTCCCAAGAGTGAACCACATTGTTTTAACTATTATAACTTTATATAGTTTTAACACAATGGCAATATAAATCTTGCCTGACTATATTTCACCTTTTTCTTATTTGCTGATAACCTGTTACGGCTGTGCAAGAGCCTGGTCTCTGTGTTTGGACGGCTGGGATCCGAGCCCTGCTGTCTCTCTGATCTCAGGCCAACAGCTTAGCTTTTCTGAGCCTGTGTTTCCTCTTCTGAGGAAGGTAATATAAATATGACCTCCTATACCAGTTTGAGTGAGGCTGAATGTTGCAGGAAATGCAAGCTCACTGTCCTTATTTATGTGGAAATTACAGTAATTGTGTGAGGCTACAAAATATCAATTTGGGGTGAATTTAGAAAATTAATAGATGTTTCTAGGACCAGAGTTCTTACATTTGTCTTTTGTGTATGCTTCAGTAAAGATTTATGTTTTTTCTTAAAGATATTACATATTCCTATGTTAAGTTTATTATTGTGTTTGTGCATTTGACATGATAAATAATGATTTTAAAGTATTTTATAATTTGAATTCTATCACTTACTGACAAGCATGTCTTAGGAGAGAAGTCTCTGAACCTCAGCTTCCTATCCATAAAATTAAAAGTACTCTTCCTTTTGTACAGGGTACAGGGTAGTTAAGAGGAACAAATGAGATATAGTATGTGATAATATATTTAAAAATAGAAAATGAAATAAGGATATGAAAAAATCAGGACCCAGGTTCTGTTCCCAATAAGCTTTTCTGAGGTTTAGGAACAGGTTCAGCATTGTTTCTGCTGTGGGGATGGGGAGAAAGGTTTCTTTTGGAGGAGAGGTGCTTTAGGACAGAGAGTAGAAGATTCCAGGTAGTGTTAGTGGTTTCTTGGTAACCATTCTGGAAGGTCTCGGTCAGAGGGTAGTAAGCTCCAGGTTATTTGTGTATCAGGGCCAGGTGCTTCCAGTTGATGATGGTGGCAATCTGGTGGGTGGGAGCCAGTGTGGTTTTGGGCCTGCATTGAGTTCATTGGTGAGTCCCAAGTAGTTTTGTTACCAGGTCAGGGAGGAGCTAGGAGGCATCTGTAGAACATTGCAGGTAATGTTATGTTGTAGGGAAAAGTAAAGGAATCTTCTCAGGGCACCTCAGACCTTCTTTAGTGTTAGTGGCAGTGTAACTGGAGTTCATATTTGGAAGAGACCTGTATCTATTTCTGACTATATCTTCTATATAAATTTATTTTCCATAGTTGTTGTTTAACAGTTTTTAAAATTTGTTTTCATATAGAAACATTTTTAAAGTGAACAGAAGGTAAATTTAATTTATCATAACCAAAATGATAGCTTTTTTCTTTTGCTTTATTTTATAATATTGATAGTAACTAAGTAGTTGTAAGTATAGTTTTTCTAATTGTGATTTTACTGAAAGCATATATATGTGTGTATTGCAATATCTATTTATAAATTGCAAATGAAATCTTAAATCCAGATCAGGATAGTATTAAAATAACCAAAAAATTTAGAATAAAATCAGATTGTGATCATAAATATAATCTCTTACGAATTAAAATAATGAATTCTGAATCTGGCAGTGGAAATGAATATGGTAGGTTATTTATATCATATGGCTTTCCCACCTGAGGATTGTTCTTGTGTTTCCCTCCTGGACAGGTCAAAGACCTCTCTGCGCCGCAGCTGGAGCAGTGCCACCACGGCAGGTGGCCTTGAGGGTAGCGTGAAGCTTCATGAGGGCTCTCAGGTCCTGCTCACAAGCTCTAATGAGATGGCTACCGTTAGGTATGTGGGCCCCACAGACTTTGCTTCTGGAATCTGGCTTGGACTGGAGCTCCGAAGTGCCAAGGGGAAAAATGATGGTGCTGTGAGTGACAAACGCTATTTCACCTGTAAGCCAAATCATGGGGTCTTAGTCAGACCAAGTAGGGTGACCTATCGGGGGATTAATGGGTCAAAACTTGTAGATGAGAATTGCTGAGTTAAACTTGTAGAATATATAAATGAGCTAACATATATGTGTGTATATATAGTTGTGTGTGTATCTGTATATATGTAAATATATATGTATGTATGTATATATGTAAATATATACAGATACACACACATACTTGGTATAAAATAGAGTCCATGGCTACTCTATTTAGAAATTGTTTAAAATTTGAAAGTGCAATATATAATTAGCGTCATAAAAAACATTGTTATAACAAGTCAAAGACCCCAAAGGCCACAAGTATGAACTCTGGGGATCATTGTTCTTTAAAAACAATTTCAAAATAAGCACTTTTTAAAGCTTCTAAAACTGTAGGTCCTAAGAAAATTCTGGGACTCAAAAAATGTGCCATTAGATGATGGGCTGATGCATTACTTTGTGCATTGCTTCATTCCACACGCCATGTTGGGTTGTCCATAGTGCTTGTAATTGTGAAGGCTTTCACTAGCTTTGGTTAACATAATGTGCACATGATGTTTCTGTAGCATTTTTGAAAGTTTTTTCTGTCTATGATTTATCACTAATAAGTATCTTAACGAAATAGTAGCTTAAATGATTGATGTATTTTTTATATTTTGGTAAAATCACTTGGGATTTCAGGAAAGGCTCATGTAAAGCTGTGTTAGATCCTGGGAGGTGGATGAGCCTTGGGGCTGGCTGGCTTTGTCTCTGTCTCTCCCCCACTGCCAAATAATGGAAATGGAGTTCCTTACCTAGTTGGTTAATAGATCTGAGACTGAACGTGGGTCTCCTGACTTGTGTCTTAGTGCTTTTTAACTCTTACACATTGTGTGAGCTTATATTTTCCTTCTGCTGCTAGGCTGCTTCATTTCTATGAACTATAAACTGCCCATGATTAAGGTTTATGAATGAGTCAGATGTTTTTGCACGTACTTATTTAATTGGTTTATTGGATTTATTTGTAACACACACAAAGCACTTTTAAAACATGATGCACTTTCATCTTTTTTTTTTGGAGAATTTGCCATCCTTCCTGGGATGTGAAAAACATTTTTTAAAAATGTATTTAATAGAAGAGAGCAAATTAAGATTGTTAGGAAGATGTGTTGGTTATTTCTGTCAATGTTCATGGTCTCTGGATTTTTTTCTTCTTAATTACGGGCTTGGTGTGATGTTTGCTGTAGCTGCTGTTTTATGTTTCCAGTGTTTATAGAGTTCATTCTGTTAAAGCTACAGAATGTTATGTTTTTGTTTCTTCTTGAGCACTTGTTAACAAACTAAACTTCATAATAGAGTGATGTAATGATGTCACATGTTTGTCTTGTGGATATGTATTGAACTTTTTGTCCTATGTGTGTAAAGATTTATCTTTCATTGTCAATATTTAGACTTTAAATTACCACCAAAATATTGGCACAGTTTGCTTTATAAGATTAAAAGTATCTTTCAGAATGGAGCTTGCTTTGTGCTTAGAAATATAATATGCTGAACTATTTTGCAACATACTGTTTTAAATCTAAATTCTGTTACTTTGTTGCCTTTTTTTTAAAGTGTGATATTTCAAATACTGCTAGAGTTTTATTTTCCTGAAATAGATGTGCAAAATAAGACTGGTTTATAATCAAGGAGTATTTTTATTGATTGAAGAAAATGACTGTGCTGCAATTCAAAGTAAATTTATTTTATTATACAGATTATTTCTTAAAAACTCTATTTATACCTTAATATGAAACCATGACTATACTGAACTTGGGTGTCCATAATTCTTCCTGTTAACTATAAAACACTTGTAAATTACAGTAATGCCAACACTCAATATGCTTTTGAGGTCAAAGAACCAATTGTTTCTTCATATTTAGATTAGGATTATTAAATACATATAATGTATATGTTTACATATACTATACATACAAATTAGTGTTCTCATTTGTGTTTTGCTTATTAAATGTCATCCAAAGTTCACTTATTGAGCATCAATAAAAAAGGGAAACTATTTGGTTTTGGAATGGTATCTTGTCATTTACCCTGCCTGCAACTCTTCTTTTTTTCAGTGACTCAGGTCCCTGTTCTCTGAGTATGAGTATGGGGTCTCCCCACAGTAATGGTTTGAATTTGTCCTGTCCCTGTGAAGAGTACTAAAAAGTATCATGCTTTTTACTCCACAAGTAAAATTATTTTAGCTACTTCTCTGTTAGTATTGTTTTGACAATACTAGAGTGACTTGAGGGTGTATTTCTACAGTTTAACTTTCGTTTATATGGATTGGTTTTATTTGTTTATTTAGAGTAGGATGGGACATTTTGAATTTATTTTTTTTTTCTTGAATGGATTTTACTGTGTCTGTCTTTTTTTCCATATGTACATACAATGTTTGGTTCATTTCTCCCCCTTTCCCCCCCCCCTCCCTTACACACCCCCCCCCCTCACCTCCCTCTCCCCCACCCCTCATACCCGCAGAAACTATTTTGCCCTTATCTCTAATTTTGTTGAAGAGAGTATAAGCAATAATAGGAAGGAACAAGGGTTTTTGCTAGTTGAGATAAGGATAGCTATACAGGGAGTTGACTCACATTGATTTCCTGTGCATGTGTGTTACCTTCTAGGTTAATTCTTTTTGATCTAACCTTTTCTCTAGTTCCTGGTCCCCTTTTCCTATTGGCCTCAGTTGCTTTTAAGGTATCTGCTTTAGTTTCTCTGCGTTAAGGGCAACAAATGCTAGCTATTTTTTAGGTGTCTTACCTATCCTCACCCCTCCCTTGTGTGCTCTCGCTTTTATCATGTGCTCATAGTCCAATCCCCTTGTTGTGTTTGCCCTTGATCTAATGTCCACATATGAGGGAGAACATACGATTTTTGGTCTTTTGGGCCAGGCTAACCTCACTCAGAATGATGTTCTCCAATTCCATCCATTTACCAGCGAATGATAACATTTCATTTTCTTCATGGCTGCATAAAATTCCATTGTGTATAGATACCACATTTTCTTAATCCATTGTCAGTGTGGGGCATCTTGGCTGTTTCCATAACTTGGCTATTGTGAATAGTGCTGCAATAAACATGGGTGTGCAGGTGCCTCTGGAGTAACCTGTGTCACAGTCTTTTGGGTATATCCCCAAGAGTGGTATTGCTGGATCAAATGGTAGATCAATGTTTAGCTTTTTAAGTAGCCTCCAAATTTTTTTCCAGAGTGGTTGTACTAGTTTACATTCCCACCAACAGTGTAAGAGGGTTCCTTTTTCCCGCATCCTCGCCAACACCTGTTGTTGGTGGTGTTGCTAATGATGGCTATTCTAACAGGGGTGAGGTGGAATCTTAGTGTGGTTTTAATTTGCATTTCCTTTATTGCTAGAGATGGTGAGCATTTTTTCATGTGTTTTTTGGCCATTTGAATTTCTTCTTTTGAGAAAGTTCTGTTTAGTTCACTTGCCCATTTCTTTATTGGTTCATTGATTTTGGGAGAATTTAGTTTTTTAAGTTCCCTATATATTCTGGTTATCAGTCCTTTGTCTGATGTGTAGCTGGCAAATATTTTCTCCCACTCTGTGGGTGTTCTCTTCAGTTTAGAGACCATTTCTTTGAGCAGAAGCTTTTTAGTTTTATGAAGTCCCATTTATCTATGCTATCTCTTAGTTGCTGTGCTGCTGGGGTTCCATTGAGAAAGTTCTTACCTATACCTACTAACTCCAGAGTATTTCCTACTCTTTCCTGTATCAACTTTAGAGTTTGGGGTCTGATATTAAGATCCTTGATCCATTTTGAGTTAATATTGGTATAGGGTGATATACATGGATCTAGTTTCAGTTTTTTGCAGACTGCTAACCAGTTTTCCCAGCAGTTTTTGTTGAAGAGGCTGCTTTTCTCCATCGTATATTTTTAGCTCCTTTGTCAAAGACAAGTTGGTTATAGTTGTGTGGCTTCATATCTGGGTCCTCTATTCTGTTCCACTGGTCTTCATGTCTGTTTTTGTGCCAGTACCATGTTGTTTTTATTGTTATTGCTTTGTAATATAGTTTGAAGTCAGGTATTGTGATACCTCCAGCATTGTTCTTTTGACTGAGTATTGCCTTGGCTATTCGTGGCCTCTTGTGTTTCCATATAAATTTAACGGTAGATTTTTCAATCTCTTTAATGAATGTCATTGGAATTTTGATGGGAATTGTATTAAACATGTAGATTACTTTTGGGAGTATAGACATTTTTACTATGTTGATTCTACCAATCCATGAGCATGGGAGATCTCTCCACTTTCTATAGTCTTCCTCAATCTCTTTCTTCAGAAGTGTATAGTTTTCCTTGTAGAGGTCTTTCACATCCTTTGTTAGGTTTACACGTAGGTATTTGATTTTTTTTGAGGCTATTGTAAATGGAATTGGGACACTTTGAATTTAGATAGAAAATAGTTGCCTACTTTCTACCAGAAAAGCTTTGTTTTTATATTTCAGGGTAACTTGGGAGGAATAATTTTAAGTGCTTAAAAATAGATTGCTAAATGTGAACTGAGTAGATTCTTGGTATGAGTCCTGTGCCCTTCTCCCGAGAGCTCCTTATTTCCCTCTTGTGTTTTGCTTTCCTCCTAGCATTTATTGCCATGGGTTATGTATAACTTTTTGCTTGTTGTTTCTCTCCTCTTGCACTGTATCAAGGGGTGGATTTTTGGCTGTTTTGTTCATTGCTGTATTCCTATGCCTAGAATAATTCTTGGCACCTGGTAGATATGCAGCAAATGACTATTGAATGAGCAAAGACATTGAAGGCCTGGTTTGATGGTTTAAAATATGGATATTATGTAGCTAGCATCAGAGAGATGGCCTTGAGAGAATAGGCATGGGACAGGTACATTTTCCTAGATAAGGGAGGAAATAGGACAAGAAAGGTTCAAATCCAGTATCCCAGCTTTACCTTCAAGAGTGACAAGTAAGAGGTAGAAAGATGTTGAGTATCTGGGGGAGGCAAGAGGCAGAAGACACAATGCAGTCACTAATGTGGCTCCCTGGCTGTTTTGCTGAGGCTGACTTTGAATTTCTGTTTTGATACATGATAACTTATAGAACACGGTGATATGTGTGGTCTCATACAGAGAAAGTGAACTGGATCCTACACAATTGTGTACAACATTGGTCTCCATTGTTAAATATTTTCATTTTGAGGCTAAAATGCATGCTAATATTATTTAAATTACATTGACCAATGGCTAGAAAGCTAATGTGTTAAGAATTATTTTTAATTGAGAAATGGATCCTAAATAATTGACTCAGAGACATATATGTATTACCACTTTGCAAGCCAATAATAGGATAATTTATTTTTCTTCATGGCCTCTGCCTCACTATGTTTACTTATAATATAGGTACAGTAGTTAACACAAAACTCATAATATCATGTATATTTTCAGAACTGTTTGTTAATATTCCTTGGTACATAGGCCATCATTTACAAAGTGTCACATAAGCCACCTGAATATACAACAAACATTCCTAATGAAGCTTGTTAATAGGCTGATCACGTTATGTTTTTAGGATGTATTTAATAGTATATAATAGTTGAGTGTGATGCATTTGCATAGGCAAAAAGGTTTTTTTCTTCCAAAATTTTTGTGAATGCTTTTCTTAACAAGAGGGAAAAATTGCATACGATGGAATCAGAGTAGATGGCCACATGTTACTGACATTGATACAGCTTCATTCTGTTTGATGGAAATGAAACTGTTTTCCTGTTTTATAGCTTTCCCTCGAAGAGAAGCACCAAGGGGTTGGAAGAACCTTTTTTCCTCTTATCTTTTTAGACTCTCTTCTAATGGAGTAGCATCTTCATGACAATGTACCTTTCAAATAAGGAATTGTGGTCATGGCACACTGAAGAGGGGCAGGGAGTTCTGAATGATGTAAAAATATTTTAAGTGTTTTATTGAGACTCTTAGCTAAAATAGAGCCTGTTCCTAGTGATCACCAGTGTCATTTAAAAAATCCTCATAAATCTGGTTTAAGTTCAGCTGTAAAATCCTAAATGAACCCAGATATCTGAGTCTGTTGCTACGTAGATAACTACACACATTTATTCCAACACATGTCTTTGTCAGGAGTTTGGTCTCAGGGTTGGGTGTTTAGCTGGGGTTGTTTCATCTGGATAAATGAAATCAAATAGTGAGTCTCAGAAATCTCCGTACTTATTTTGTGCGTACTTTGAATTTTAGGCATTTCTAATATGTAGGAAGTTTGAATATCAAATGCCATGTTGTCCTTGACCTGTGTCAGTCTTACAGAGGTTAAGTTTTTTAGTTCTAGCCTAAAAGGTTTTTCATGCCTTTACTCAAAGTAGATTTGCCTCATTCAAGACCTAATTATTTTTCATATAACAAATCAAATCAGACTGATACAGACTGAATTATGTTAAAATTATATGTACAGCTTCAAGCCATTCTTTTTATTATCCTTTTTCTTATTTGATTTCTGAGATCATCTTAAAACTCAGTCATCAGCATAAATGGCTTTGGCTGCCCCTAACAGCTTGTGTTATGAAGGATAGGTGTTACTGTGCAATGTTTTTTGGGAAAATATCCCCAAATGTGTTTAAAAATGGATTTTAATAGTCATAACAAGTCTCATATTGATGGCAGGGGAAGTAGACCTTGCTTTATAGATAATGCAGAGCTTCATAAAGCTGAAGAGCAAAGCGAAGGAGTATAGTCACCTTTTTTTGAACCTGCTAATAAAATGGATTTCTAATCAGAATAGCAATAGATTATACATCTGTTAAAATATTATAATTTTCCCAAGTGCTTTTTTTCCCTCTTTCTTGTAGGAAATGGGTTTGGAAATTAATAAATAGCCTGAGATTCTTTGTGACCTCACTTCATGCTCCCTGGTGTGTGACAGAGCAAAATCCAACATCATGTTCTGCTTTAGTTTCTTATCTTTTATCACCATCACCAGCTGCTTATTAGTACTTATATACATGAGTAAAAGGAATTTCTGCCTTTAAAATTATTTATTTTAAGAACTTTGAAATACTATATAAATATCACTTTGAAAATCAGGCAAAAAGATTGATTTAAAAAAAACTTTCAGGTGTAGTAAAATGTAGGAAATTTGTGGTTTTCACAATCTTTTCTTTGTGGGATGTTTGAATTAGTCATCTTTTTGGACTCCCCATTTCCAGATGCACAATAAAAATTGCCATCCAATGACAGTGAATATCTCTATAAATCTGAAAAGAGGGCTTCTCTCTAATCCTGTGGTAGCTGGGAGAGAAGACTCCTCAATGAGTTCCCCATCATAATGATACCTGGGCACACTTGGTGAGGAATACCGGAATCCATACTCCTGATCCCAACATTGGGCTCTTTTTGAACTTTGCCTCCTTGCTTTGGTAATGGACACTGAGAGGTGCAAATCAACAGCTGACAAAGTGTATCAGGCATCGTTACATATTCCATGTGGTGGAAGATGAGCTTCAAAAGCTAAGTTTTGTCATTTTTTTTTTTTGCTGGGAATTGAACTCAGGACCTCACACTTACTAGGCAGACACTCTACCACTTGAGCCATGCCTATAGTCCTGGAAATAGGATCTTAATAAAAGCCTTCCTGTTTATTCGCAGTCATCCTTTTTAAATTTCAGGGCACCATGTTGAGGAATTCAGGAGCTTTGGTTTAGTTTTGTGTGTTCACACAACATGGGGAACCATCTGCTGCCTTGAAATTAGCAGTCAAATGGGTTCTTTAGGGACTCATTTAAAAAATGATTAACAAAAGACAGATTGACAACACACTTCATACAACTTTATGAATCTTGTCAAGGGAAACCTACTATTTAGAGTAGTCTGAATCCATAGGCATCTTGTTTTAGGTTTGCAAAGCTCATAGGGATTTTAATACTGCTATATTACTGGAGAAAATCTATTAGAATAGCTCAGTCTTTACAATTTCCTAAGTGGTGTACCCTGTGAATTTTGATATAAAGAGTTCTGTTTTGAAGAATACAGTTAATTTGCAGTTACATAGTATCTTGCAGCCCTGGGTTTACTAAGTATTAAATGGAGATGCCTAAATAGTTTTTTTTAAAAGAATTACTCAGATTAATGAACTGGCTTCCGTTCTGTGCTGCTTATTTTTAACACTTGGATCTTAGTTCTAAGTGGGGCAAAATCTCTTCATTCCTCTTTGGAGCTGAAAATGACTTAATCCTGGTTGGATTCTTGCTGTCATTAAATAAGTGAGGGGTGAAGAAAAACCTGGCACAGATGGGAGAGCCAAAAGGGCCTGAGATGAGTGGCACAAGAACTGCTGAGCTTGAGGCTGGGGATCCTAGACATTGATGCACAACCTGCCTCACAGCACGTGGGAATGCAGAGGTGTAAGAGGGATGCCTGTGCTTTCACACACTTCACACTCTCCCTCAAGTGCAGCGAGGCAGGGATGTTATCCTTCTTTTTTATATGGAAGCGCCAACAAATCAGGTACCTCCAGGGAGCCAGGACACAGACTCTACTTGGTGGAAGAGAATCTAGTCTCAGCTACAAAGTAGAACAAAACTTTTTTAAGGGTATTTCTGCTCTTTTGATACACTTCTGAGGTGCCAAATATTAATAAGGTGGCCATTCCTTACAAATTGCCAGTTTCCTGGTGGAACAGATGTAACCTTTTGATGGATTCTTTATAGATGTGGTATATAAATAATTATACTAGCTTATGGTTTAATTAACATGGCTCCTGCAAACTCCAATTATGCCTGTTTACATTCTAGGTAGAACTTGCTATCATAGTTAATAAATTTATGAGAGCCCAGAGCATCTGTGTAAATTGCTGTAGCCATATGGCTGGAGCAACATGCACTGGACAGTAGTCCAGATGAACACCGTGCTGGTGCCTAGGGGTTACATCGACTTCAATGAAACATCTTGAGGTCACCATAGCTCAGTGTGGAGTTGTTTATTTTCTCATCCATGTATACAGGCTTTTAAGATTTGGCTATCATTTACATGAACATCGATACTAATAAAGACAATTAGAGAAAAGGAACAAATCAGTTGTAGTGATAGTAAGGCACAACCTGAATTTGTAGTTTTTAGAGTGAAAAGGGATACAATTTCCCTTCCATTAATAGCAACAGAGAATTGGGTGTTGAAACACGTGCAGTACTGCCTGCTTAATTGGTTACTAGTGTTATAAATATAAAATGGAATTGTTTTCCCAGTTGTTGGTAGTTCCTCTGTCATCCTTTAGGAGAGTGTTTCTCAAAGTGAGACTCTAGAGCCCCTTTGGGTGGTTTGTGAGCTGGAACACTGCTTATGTGAATATGTGATTACTTTTGCGTCAGAACTTGAACCAAGTTTGGCATGAATCAAAACTTTACTGATTTAGTTATTCAGGGATGGGCTCATGGATGTTTCATCCTCATGCACATCTGATGAAAATATTTTTGGCAGTTAAGGAAAAGTATCCTCTGGAGTACTAGTGCATCCTTAGATGTTCAGAACCACCAACTCTAGGACCAGGCAACTGCCTTAAGAGAATTGAGCAGTTGTCTGGCACTGGAATAGAATGCAGGGGCTCTCATGCACTCACAGTGACACTTTTGATGTAGATGAAACCAAGGAAGTGGGAAGAAAGGTGTGTACACACACACACACACACACACACACACACACACACAGTTCTTTTGCTTGGGAATGCTTCTCACATAGCAAGTAATAATAATAAAAAAAGATGCCCTCCCAAAGAGATCCTTCAGCACACCTACTACCAGGAGCAAACTGGATATATGAATAGAGAGACGGAATCAAATGAAAACTCACAGGTAAAAACATGATTGCATAAGCATGTGCATGAAATATAATGGGTTCCTGATTCTGTTTCATAGAAACAAATTTAATCTGTGAAAACCAGTTTAAGAACTCCTACCATAACATGTCAGTGTCAACCTCAGCTCTCCACCATTCCTTAATTTCCTTCCTCATTGCCACCTTGAGGAAAAATTTTTTGTTTTAATCTGCTATACAAATTATGCTTTGAATATTTCAACATATTTATGTTACCAGTATACCAGGATCACACGATTAAGGGAGAAAGAACTTAGCGGGGAAAAGGAGAGGAAGGGTACTGCGTTTGAACTTTCCTAGGACCACAGGAGGGCCTGTTCCTCCAGGGGCCCAGTCCTTGAAGCCAAAGAGGGGCTTTATTGTGGTGGGCTTCTTGACTGAAGCTGTTATAGGGTTTTGGCCTCAGGTGTATTGACACATACATCCACAAATGGATATGTTTCTGTGCTTCAATGTATCACTGCTGCTTAAAATTTTTGTTTGTAAATGATCAGATTTGAATTAGTGGAAACACTGAAAGTAATTTTAAATCTTGAGTTTTAAAACCAGTAGGAAACCTCACACTCAGGCTTTTGCTTTTAGTAGGATTTTCTTAAGGCATGAGGTATATTAATAGGGTGTTTGCATCGCTGGATCACTACTGGTGTTTTATCGTACTCAAAGCACTTGGGATGTATGTATTTCACTTAGATGAGTATATACATTTTCTCTGTACTACGGGACTACTCACGACATTTTTTTTTTTTTTTTTACAATTGGTGATGAGTCGGAACAATCAGAAGCATCTAACCACCATCTAAATGTGATGCTTTAGTAAGTTATCTATGATTTTTCTCTTCTAAGTAAAGAATGTCTTTCTCATGCTGAATCATTGCAGTTAATTGCTTTATTTCTGTTCCCTCACCCCTCAAATGGTTCATGTCCACATCAACAAGGTAAGGAAGTATCTATGACTCCCACTATGAAACACATAAGCAGCCAGTGCTGACTACATGGAAGCAGAGCACAACAAGTGAAAAGAAGCATAAGGAAGTATACAACAACCATGCATAAAAATCTTATGCAACCAATTGGGGCCTTGCATTTATCACCCGCTTTCATGGTATTTTCTTCTTTTGGAAGAAGAGGATGAACCCATGCTCAAAACCTTTCTAAAGCATTGTGAAAATACAGCTTTTTATGTGGCACTTCAAAACAAGTTGGCACAAAATGAAAGTGACATTTGGTCTCTGGTTTGTGGTGGAGCCATTATGTCTGCCTCCCCAGGGGAGAGAAATGAGTTGTTTGCAGGGCTCAGGGTCCAGGCTGGTTTATGTTCTTGCTTTTCAGAACGGTGTCCTCATAATGACTAGCTCCAGGGGCAGCAGTGGCCTCTAAAGGTAAGCCCTGCTGCTGGTAGCCATAGTTGACATTGCCACAAGGGAAGTGGCGCAGCCTGAACAGAGGTACCTCCTTCATGCTGGCGGTCAGCGCAGATGGCTCTAGGAGCAGTGAGGCCCCTGGAAGTCTGCCAGCAGCCATGTTGGGTGGGACAGTACAGCTTTCTTCTTGGCCCAGGTTCCTCCTCTCATGTGGCTCCTTCTTTGCTGGAAGATTGTTCTTTTTGGTGGGTTTCTCTGTAAACCATGAGCCGTAAGTTGGATTCCACAAGCTGGTTGGCTTATTTCTGGATCCCTGGACCTTGTGCAGCTCTGATGGCGGGTTAGACTGAGAGAATGCCATGTTAACATGTCCCCCTTCCATAGCAGGCCCCCTCGGGACTCGCACAGAGACCTCGGCCGCTGTGGGTTTCTTCACAGCTTTACCAGAGGAAGCAGTGGACAGAGGAGGTGGGGCCGGTGGTGCTTGTTCCTCTCGTTTTGCCTGCTGAGGAGACACAAGGAGAGGAGGCATCCCCTCAGGGTCTTTGGGCCTCATGGGTACTTTCTCCTCCTCTTCCATCAGTGGGCCATATTCTATGGGCAGAGCAGTGTTGATGACATCTGGGTCCTACAGAGGAGAGAGGGATTGAGTAAAACTGAATCACAGAAAATGTTAGAAGACCCCTTTAGAGATAATCACCTCCAAATTTACTTTACAGAGGAGGAGACCAATATGTGCTGATAGTATATTAATGCATAGGCACTGGAGAATAAGAAATGAGCAAGACAGTACCTTGTACTTGAAGGCTTTTGTGAAAAGGGCTGTAATTGTGAGTGTGTGCATGGGAACTATGCAGGGCAGGAGCCCTTTGACCAAATTTTACACATTAATGAATTATTTTTAAAAACATTCTTTTTATCACCCCAGCTGATTCCTAATAAAATCCTCCCAACTTAAAGTCTGTGTGTTTGATTTCATTTGTGTGTGCTGTGGGGATGGGAAGGAGGAGAGGAGAGGAAAGGATGCCATGTTGGCTTACAAGACTTGTCTTTTGTTCTCTTCCTAGCTACCCCACATTTTCATGGTATTTGGGTGAGTAACCCTTGATGATAGTTCTTCCTGTGTTGTATCACATCGTTACATGTACAACTCTCACAATGCATTGTGGTTAGATGTGATGGGTCTTTTGTGGAGACTTGGAAGTCCTGAAATACTATGCTATGAGGAAAACCATTCACAAACACAACTTTGTGCTAGATCATTTTTATAGTAATGCATTGTAACAGAAAAGCAGAAGCAGTTGCTAGAGGTTTAAAGAAAATTTGTGGAAGAAAACTTAACTCTGGGGAAATTTGATTCATTCATGTTTTATGCATATTGGGAAAAGGCCCCCCATTAGTTGAGTTTCACAAGAACACATTGTTCTAGTATTCAACAATAAAAGAGTTTAAGAATGAAAAATAACTACCTTATGACTCTCTTAATCCTTTAGTTCCCTCCCTGTTTATTGTTACTCTTCATAGTGAGTTATTTAAAGTACATATATGTAAACCCACCTGATCCTGAGAGGGATCTTATTTCCTTTGGAGAAACACCTACACATACTTAAGTGAATGTATACCATTTGTGTCACAACACAACCTAAATATCATTAAACTAAGTTTGCTGAAAGAACCCGTAGTAACTTGGTAAATAAAGCCTGTCTACAGGAAGATGCTAGCTTACTGCTGAGCTGAAAGCCTGTGGGGGTGAGATAATGAGGCTAGACGATGACTGTAGTTTGGGAAGGTGTCCATCTTTTGTCCCATTTGAGGGAACTCAGGTTCAAATCTTCTGAAATATCCCCAGAATTAGGAGAGCCAGAAGAGAGGGAAAGAAAACACATATGAGGCAGAAAAAGATATCCTGACGACAAAGTTCAGAGGCAGCTGGTGTGTCACTTGGACAAGGAGTGGAGGCGGTGTGCTGAGTGTGCTGCAGAGGCAGGCAAGAGACAGGAGGAGATGAATTCTCACTCCCTGACCTCTCTGACGAGGTGGAAGGCGCAGGGGTCTGCTGAAGATGAAGCGGAGAAGTGACAATTCAGTTGTGACTGAAGAAAGCAGGAAAGGGGAACTACAAGGACTACTGTGTGACCGGGACAGCCTCTCCAAGCTTAATCCCTCAACTGTAAAATGGGATAAAATGAGCATGGGAGAAAGCAAACCCTCAATGAGGATAAAATGAAAAATGATTTGTGTTGTGTACATCTATACAGGTGCTACTGATGTCAACATTTTCCAGATTACTATGAATTTTCATTCCCTTAATACTTCTAACATATATGGTTGGACACACAATTTGGTAAAAATTGTATATTATGATTTATTTCATATGTTATTTCTCCAGCCAAGCTATAAACTATTTGAGAGAAGGTGTGCTTCATAGTTCTTTGAAGCTGCAGTTTCATCTAACAAAACATAGATATCTAGTAGGGACTTAGTTGGTACTTGTGAATTGAGTTGATTCCCTTCTTCTACTGTCTGGCACTGTATTGTGCTGGTGAAGAAAGTGGGAGTTACTAATACTTACTGTATGAAATGGACAAACTGAGATACCAATCAATTCATCTTAGAATGAACATTCCTTCTTGTGATCATAAATCTTATTCTCTGGCTTAACTTTCGTTTAATATTTAAGCATTTGCCATCTTTAAGACTTTTTCAAATAGGTTAAATGCTGGTCAAGGGGAGAAAATTTATACCTGGGTGCAGTATTCAATCCTCTCCAAAATGATAGCAAAGTTGGGCCTGTCTTCAGGCTGATGCTGCCAGCACTGAGTCATTATTCGGTAGCTGAAAGAATAAGCACAGTGGTTAAAATCAGAAGAAGCACAAAGATGACAAAGCCATGTGTCCCAGCTCTTTTATAAATGAGCAAAAGGTGGCATCTATCTTTGTGGGTGGTAACACACCAAGGGCCCACAACCATTGACATATGTTACCTCCTGCTGATGGGTCAGGGAATTCTGCCCAGTAATAAGGCATTATGATACCAAAGCTCATTAACACAGATATCCTGGGTTTACATTAAATATGGCTCCCCTCATTCCATTCCTGAATTAAAAGCACTTTGGGGATGGGATGTTCTATTTCCCATCTGCCTTGCTTATGGCAAGATGGTGAGGGCTGCTAGACAGGATAGCAGAAAATGCAGGGAACAGAAAAGCTTAAAGAATCCTCAGACATAGGGTGCAAGGAAGCAGGAGGTGAGTCTGAGACACAGATACCTAGGGATGATTAAGAAGTGTAGGCTTGGTGAGGCCACAGCCTCGAGCCAGACAATGGACACCTTCTCTGGGTGTCAGAAAAAGCATTATTATTTTTGAGGGTCTAGAAGACCAGCCCGTCTCACTGAAGTCACAGGCACATTCCTATCTAGGGGCATATTAAATGAGGACAGCCACTGCCCCTTCATCTTAAAGGTGCTTATGTGGCTCCAGATATTTTTTGAAAAGAGAGATGTTCCTTAGAGTCATACACAGGCCCAGGGCAGTTCTTAGGTGGGTCCATCCGTCCTCCACTGGTGACAAACTCCAGAACTTCCTGATTGCTTTTGCTGGGGTATGGCATGTACCCAAGAGAAAATATTTCCCACAGCAGCACTCCAAAGGACCTGGTCACAGGACAGAAGACATGGATATGGATGTAGACACACATGTACACATGCAGGCTTAACATTTTAATTTTTTTCCATTGTATCTTTTTCAGTAATAGAGGACTCAGATTCAGGAAAATAAAAGGAGTGAGAAAGTACCACATGTGATTCTCCATTGAAAAAGCCACTGTTAACACGATTAGTTTTTTTTTTTGTTTCAGTCAAGTTTTGTGCTTAGATTTTTTTGCCTAATTTGTTATATATAATAAGTATGTACCTTAATATTTCTGCACATTCCATCATAGCATAAACATTTCCCCTGCTAATATATTTCATAAACAGAATTTGAAAATGATTGTAAGATATTCCATTGAATAGTTGTGTCATGTTTTCAATATCATAATCTTTTTAATTTTTGAAATATTTAAAACTATAATGGACATCTTTGTGCATTTTTAAAAGTAGTATTTCCTTAGGATAAATTCTGTGAATTTCTTATTGGAATAATCTAGTAAAATCAAGAATAATTCTAGTATAACTAGATCAAAAGAATACAAACATTGAAAAATTTTTGGTATTTATTACTGGTTTCCAAACACATCATTATTCACCTGCCATCATTGCACAGATATTCTCACCAACACTGAAAAAACTTTTAATAATGAGAACTTTTGCTAACCTATTTAAAGCAAAAAACATGGTGAAATATCTTGTCATTAAGTTTATTGACTTGGTAACACAGTGGAATGTTTTCTTACAGTTTTTTAAATTTACTTCATTTTTTTCTCTTATGAATCGTCTTTTAAATTTTGCCCATTTTTGTTCACATGTGGCATTGTTTTGGCACCTCTCAACTTTTTTTGAATCATAGATGCTCTTTATATGTATCAAAGATGTCAGCCTTTTATCAAAAATTCAAATACTTCCATTAGGTGCTTTCTATTTTTGCTTTTCAGCATACCAATGATGTTTTTGGTAGTCAAATCTATTATAAAATTTTTTATGATAATTTATTTTATAGTTATACAATTCTCTCTTCACCAAAGACTAGATAAATACTTGTTATCTAGTTGTATTTGTTTTTCAGTGGGAAAAATTCAGTGGGAATTTAATTTGATGTATAGTATAAGGTCAGGATCTAAGTTGATTTGTTTATCAAACAGCTACTCTAACAATATTCATAAGATACTTTCCCCTTACCTATTGACATATGATTTAAAATAGGCCTGTTTCTGGCTTATCCACTTCATCTGTTTGTTTGCTTCTTGTATTGGCACCATTCAAAACTGTCTTTTTTATATTTGTTTTAATATATAGTAAGGCATTTTTCTCTTTTAAAAACATACTTGGTTTCTCATTTGTTACTTGTTTTAAATAACTTTGAGATGATTTTTAAAATCATGTTCCTTATTATTTTTAAATAATTATTTATAATTATTTATTATTTATTTTAAAATAATTTCCTTTAGATATTTTGATTCCAAGTTCATTTTAAACCATTAATTTAATAATTATTTTTTTAAAAAGTCTATTTTTGTTTTAATATTGGGCTGTAGCTTTCTGTTGTTAGTAAGCATTACCACAAAAATTATAGAGAACTATACTTCTTTGGAACATGAAATGCTTTTATTAACATATCTTGCTTCTGCTGCCTACAAATTGCTTGGTACATCCCTCTCTTGCAGTCTTTCTGCCCTCTAAGGCAAAACAAAACAGGCAAAATCAAACAAGAAACTGTCAGCAAGACCTAAAGAGTTATAGCTATATGATTTTGGCCTATTGAGATGTATAGATAGCCAATAGATGACATAGATAGAGCGATAGATAGATAGATAGACAGACAGACAGATACCATAGTATCATTTGAGAGAATCAATGCTGTTAGTTTGCCTTTGGATCAGTTCTCCCTTTTTTTCTGAATAAATAAGATACGGGCAAACCCCACCTCTATCCTTTCTTCCCTTCCTCACTTCTTCTGAAGTTAGAATGTATTTTCCCTAGTGTGTTTTCACATTTTAAACAATAAAGAATCTGTATTACAGGACCTTTGCATTATAAAATCATATTAAGTTTCATCCTATTTCCTTTTTCTGCCTTGCTCTTTTCCCTGCACACTATTGTTTTTGTGACAAACACCCAATGTTGATACATGTAATGCAGTTTTAGTGTGTTCTTTTATACTGCTGAACAGCTTTCCAGGATAAATTAAACCAGTTGTCTTTCCATCCTCTGCTTGAGGGACAGTTAGGTTGTTTTTTGACTTTTCTTTTTTGCAAACAGTATGCCAATGAACACCCTTACTCAAGTGTATTTGTGTCAATTTTTCTGTAATGTAGACACTCAAAAGTAGAACACATGGGTCATAGGACATGCATGTATTCAGAACAATTACTAAATTATATTATTCTGGCTCTGGGCAGGTTAGGTGGCTGGTACTACCTTTGGCACACATGAGAATCCTCTGGAGGGCTGGTTAAAACACAGATGAGTGGGCCCCAGTTCTAGAATTTCTGTTTAATTAGAGCCAAGGTGGGGGCTGAGCATTGGTGTTTCTAATGAATTCTCAGTGATGCTGCTGCTGACCTGAGGATCCTATTTTGACATCCACTGGGTTAGGTCAAAGCAAATCTCACTGGCTTAGAAACAGCCAAGGCTCCTGATAACTATTTCCATCATATGGTTGGCCATATGGCTGCAGCGTTTTAGGATATTATCTCAGAATTCGGAGGACATTTGTCCTTTATCTTGTGTCATCAAACTAATCCAGGATACTTAATTTTCCTTCTTAGAAGCATGCAGAATCCTATCACCACTGGTCTGAAAGTTCATGATGGTGTGCTCTTGTGTGGCTTTTTTTATCCGTGGTGCTTGGCACTTGGTGCATACTTTCACTCGGGAGAGTTCTGTCTATTCTGGGAAATTTTGAATTAGGTTTTTGATATTTTTATTCTCTTCATTCCCTCTGTTCCTTCTTTCTGTGACTCTTCATTTTTATCAGTTTATTGATCTAATCTCTTAATTTTCTTTTCTTCCCTATGTATTCATTTCTTTAGAGATTTTTTTTATTTTCTGGAAGATTTATTTACCTCTGTATTCCAACCTGTCTATTAATTTTACATTTCTGTGATCATGTTTTTTAGAACAGTTCAAACTGTGAAAAAATTATGAGTAAAGAGATTTCCTATATCTCCCACACTCATTCCTGCTATTTTTAGCATCTCATTAACATAGTGCATTTGGTACAATTAATGAACCAATAGTAAGGCATTATTAACTAACCCCATAGTTTATTCACATTTCCTTAATTTTCACTGAATTTCCTTTTTATATTCCAAAATCCCTTTAGGTAATCCCATTACATTTAGTTGTCACATTTCTTTACACTGTTTTTTTCCCCCTCCAGTACTGGGATTTAGGCTCAGGGCCCTGTGCTTACGAGGCCGGCATGCCCCCAGTCCTTTTTGAACAGGCTCTCGAGTTTATGTCCATGTTAGCCTGGACTGAGATCCTCCTGTTTATGCTTTCCACATAGCTGGGATGACAAGTGCATACTATTGTGCTCAGCTTTTTATTGGCTGAGATAGGGTTTTGCAAACTTTTTGCCCAGGCTGGCTTTGAACCTCAATCCTTCCAATATCTGCCTCCCAAATAACAAGGATTATAAGTATGAGCCACTACACTGGGATCTTGACTCTGCTTGACTGTTGACAACTTCTCAGGCTTTCCTTGTTTTTGATGACCTTGACAAGTTTGAGGAGGAGTGCTCAGGGATTGTATGAAATACCCCTTAATTGGGATTTGTCCTTTTTTTTTTTTTTTTTCCACGATCAGACTGGGGTTTGGAGATTTGGGGAAGAAGACCCTAGAGGTTAAGTGTCATTTTTATCATCTCAATGGTACATGTTATCAACATGACTTATGACTGATTTATTTTTTTGGTGGGTCTAGGGTTTGAACTTGGGACTTTGTGCTTGCAAAGTGGGCACTCTACTGCTTGAGTCACCCTCAGTCCATTTTCCCCTGGTTATTTTGGAGATGAGGTCTCGAGAGCAATTTGCCTGACTAGGTGTAAGCCACTGGCACCTGGCTTACTATTGCTCTTGACCTTGATCACATGGCTGAGGCTGTGCCTGTCGCTTTTCTCCACCATAAAGTCTCTCTCTGCCCACTCTGTCCCACACCTGTACTCTGTGGAAGGACACTGCTATATGCAGCTGAACATGCTTCAAGAGTTATGCTCTATCTCCTTGAAGGTTCCCATCATCATAGTTTTATTTCCCATGAGCTATTTTCCCCCAAAAACATTGTTTTAAATGACCTTTTGTCCTTCAGTTGTGGTTGCAATAATTTTTATCTTTCTGAGGATATTATGGTTGTAAAGTTTTCCTATGCTTTTTTTTACATTGTTTTGATTGGAGATCCTTCTCTTATGTTTGTTTTCTTCAGATAAGAATCTTCTCTCAAACATTAGTTGGTTCTTGCTGGAAGTTCCTATTTTAAGGCTGGGACACCAAAAAGCTGATGGGAAGTTCTCTGTAGGTGAGGTTTGTCAGCTTGGCAGTGGCCTGTGACTTCACTGCGTGGGCTCCTTTCCTCTGGTGGTTTTAAGAAATGTCCATACACTTGGTATCAGAGAAGTTCTCTGATGGTTCTAAAAGCTGGGCATTTGTCTCCTCTTTTTCTTCTCTCCTTCCCTCCCTCCCTTCTTTTTCTTTGTTGTGTCTCAGTCATTTTACTTTTAGTTTGTTTTTCAGACAGGGGTCTCATAGTAACTTTGCCTGGATAGGTTGCAAACTGCCATCCTTCAACCTCTGAGTAGCTGGGACCACAGGCTTGGCCCTCCTTTTTTATAACTTGACAATTGTAGGATTCTGAGATTAGGACCTCATACTTTCAGTGGCCATTTTTCAGCCTACTACACTGGAGACCCCACTTGTCAGTAACTAGTTTTCATTGTCAGTTCTTCCTGGAATTCTCTGATCTCCTGCCTGACTGCCAGTGTTCTTAGTATGGAGGAGACAAAGGAGACCATAAAGTCTACCATAAGAGGGTAGACTTTAAAAAATACTCCTGCATTATAGTATAATATCTCACCCATGCTGAATTCTGTGTCCCCAAGACCTGAGGGATTTTGCTTGAATCTCTTTGGAAAGAAAGCCCCAGTCTTGTTGGTAGAGGAGGGACAGTCCACAAACTTCCAGGGGTTGAAGGAATGGGCCAGAGGATTTGGCTAGTTCTTAAATAGATCTTTAACTGTTTTTCATGTTTGCTGTACCCCTACTTTCAATTCCTAGGTCTTTCTGGGACTCTTATTAGAGTGAATAGCCTGCTTCTGGACCTAACCTGTTGGTTTAGATTTCAACTTTCTGGTCTCAGTAAGGGACTACTTGTCCATGAACTTTTCAGCATCTAAAATTTTGTCTTTGTTGTCTTTGTCTCTGTGAGGTTTAATACAATTTAAAAGACTCCCTTCATTGATGTGTACATGTGCTTTGTGGGGGAGCTTGGGTTTAATTTGCCATTTAAAATGACATGAGGCTCTTCACCTGTGGTCCCCAGCCAGCAAAGTCAGCATCACTTGGAACTTGTTAGAAGTGCAAGTGTTCAGCAGATCTCAGACTTTCTAAATTATAAACTCTTGGGGCAAAATCTAATAATCTGTACTTTAAGAAGCCTTTCTGATGATTCTGCTATATATAACACTTGAGAGCCACTACTGTAGGGTATAGCAAATCTTTTCTTCCCCTTCCCTTTCCCTACTAGCACAGGGGCTCCATGAGGTGTGTGGATTGTTTGGCCCAGGAGCACCACGTAAAGCCTCAGTGAGACATGGAGGAGCCCAGCAGAGAAACTCACCACGTGTCTGTTTTAGAAGTAAATATTCCTTCCATGAAGGCCTCTGGGGGCATCCATTTAACTGGCAGCATGGCACACCCTCCCTTTCTATAATAGCTGGCCCTGTGGGGAAGAAGAGGAAACCAAGTTTGGATCTGGAGGTGGCACTAAACCAAAGCTCTGCTAGGAAACTTGAGAAAGTGACAGCAAGATAGTCTAGCCATTAAGGGACTGAAATTAACGAGGAGTCCTTGATGGTTCCAGAGGAGAGCAAGGAAATACAGATCATTTAGTTAAGAACTTCGGTGTCACTTAATGGCCCACTAGAGGCACAAAGGAAAAGATCTATGCAATGACTAAGATCCCTGGTAGCAGGTGTTTAGATTTCCCCGTTGGGTTTTGTTTATTATAACTCACAGTAAATAACATTACTCCAACCTTATAAGTACACTGTGTTTCTGATGGCCTGCAGTAATGCAAGATCCAAAATGGGAGAACTGAGAGCAGAGTTTGTGTCTTACTCATTTTGAGTCCTCCATGGAACATACACAGCAGCATTTAGTTCAGTTTAGGCACTCACCAAATAATCTAGACAGCTGACAGGAGGCTGCTCCCCCAACACATACACACAGCCAGAGAACACAGGGCTGGGCCTGAAGTTTACTTAAAACACAGATGAATTAATTTATTAGTTTTCATCAGTAGTATCATTAATGTACCTCACTGATAAAAACTAATAAATTAAGTCATCTACCTTTTAAACCAATTCCACACCTAGCCTGGTGTTCTGTGTCTGGGTATGTTACGGGAGGAAGCTTCTCATCTTAATTAATTACTTCAGTAAACATATACTGAGTGTTAATATGTGCCAGGTACTTCGCTACATGCTGAGGACATAAATCATCAAAGGCTCTTTCCCAAGGATACAATTTTAGCAGAAGAAACCGACACATCTGCAATTGCAGTACAGTCACTGAACATGATAAAGTAGTGGGTGTGGTGACATTGACTGGCTGTATGTGAGACAGGAGTAAGGTACAGGGAAAGCATCACAGAGAGGCATGGATGGAGCTGGAAGGCTAGAAGCTCTCTTGGAAGGCTATTCCTAACCCACTTCCGAGCTACATCCTCAGCCTAGAAGCATTTTTTTTAAGTTAAAAATATTTTTTATGTAGCCTTGAGAATGTGACGGAAAAAGCAGGGAAACTAAGCTAAGCATCTCTGGGCTTTGAACTATACTCCTGTGTCTCCTGGTGTGGGCAAGGCAAGCTGACCCAGTGCCCTGTCAGTCCTGGGGAGCTTGGGCCTGGGGCGACAGATGGGATGGCATCTACTTAGAATTCTTGAGCATTGAGGGGAGGAGTTGAGTACCTCATAAAGCTCACTAGGAAGTTTATCCCATATCAAGTATCCAAGTTATTCCGTGTGTCAGAACATGGCAGAAGTAGAGGGATGGAACCAGAGAGGCAGCCTAATTAAGAACCTAGTGTCAGTTATTGCTTAGAACTAGACCCAAAGGAATGACATTAATTAAGGTTTTCCATATCCTGGAAGGAACTCACTGAAATTTCATGTGCAAAGTTGACAAGGTAGCAGGAAATGATGTAAGGTAAAGGCAGCCATGGGCTGCTTGTCTGAGAGGATGGGGTGGCGGACAGAGGCTTCAACAGGGGTCAGTAGCCTTCTCACCTGTAGATGTCTCGGGCCATCCCAAAGTCCCCAATCTTTGCTATTCTTCCACTCCCGGGACAGGTCAAGAGGCAGTTTCTGGCAGCAATGTCCCTGGGGAGAAAAAAAAAATGAGAAAATGTGTTTTCTGATTTTAACCTGGGAAGACAAGTGTATAATATCCATCGCTAGGATCTTCACCTCCAATCTAAAGTTCAAAAACAGTTCTATTCTTTTTTCCTTTTCCCTATATTTCCTTTGTTATAGCTCAGTATGGAAGAAATAGATAGGAGAATTAATTCTAGACCTCAGAACTAACAGGGAAATGAGAAAAGATTGGGGGAAATGATTGAAAATGTTTAATGGGACAATAATAATGATAATAACTATAATAGGATCTGGAATTTATTGGCCTTTTTCTATGTGTTCTAGGTGTTTCATATCTAATTCTCACAACCATGTGAGATACAGGGATATAATTACCCTTGTATGAGGGTATAATTATCCTCATTTTATTAAAGATTTAAGCTAAAAGCAGGTAATACAGAGGCATAAGAAATGCTGTTTGGTGTTGGCTGTAGTTATGTACAGACTATAGGTTGGTTTTTGCCAGTTGTTTGTAGAAGTGTTCTGGAACAGCACGACTTCCAAGATATCCCATTCTCATAGATTAAGACATCTCAACTATTTCTAGTTTAGAAAAAATACGGCCATTATGGTTCTTATACCCATGCTTTCATCTAAAGCCTTTGCTAAGCTAAATGACTCAAAAATCACTTCTTTCAGGTAAGAGTTTAAGCTACTTTGTTGTCAGGCTCCAGATGGCCCGGTTTCTGCAGCATGGGTCTGAGGCATGGTTCGGGAGCCTTGTAAGACCCCACCCGCCTTGACTATCTGGCTGCTTACCCATTGACATGCATGTGGAAATCAAGGCTGCAGCCAGAAGTCTGGAATGGTCTCTAATAATATTATAGTTCTGTGCAGAAAAAGCAAGAAGTAACTTAGGGGGCACAAATGGTGTTTTCATGTTATCGAATGACTTCACAAAGGTTGTAGTCTTTGGTTGAGAAAGAATTTAGAGAATAAACAACTGGCTAAGATAGTATTTAAAAAATAGGACGTGGATCAGAGATCATGGCTTAAGAAACAAGAACAATGGGCTGGGGTGGGAGATAGGTGTTATTAACACCACTGGCCTGATACATAAGGTTTAAGATGAATTTTGAGGGGCAATTGTGTAAAAAAGTCTGCAATAAAACCATAAAAGCATAAAATGTATGACATCAAAAAGAAGAAAAACAGTTGGATATATAGCCATTAATTCTCCAGAGAAATATAGTGAAGTAGACCAGGAACAATATTTATGACTCCAGAAAGGTCTTTATGCTGATGCATATGAAATAGTAGCTTAAAAAAGTGATCTTGAATTTAATGACAAGGAAGTAAATGTAGTATCATAGAATGTACAAAAAGTTGATAGAGTGGTACATAACTCTTGCAACTGCAGTAAACCATGTCTGAAAGCAACGGATTTACTAAAAAAAAGAATGGGAGCACGTGGTTCTAGTGAGGGAGCTCCACTCTGAATTCAGAAGGTGTGTTATGGAAGAGCATGAATCTGAAGAGCAGATGCAGGGGGGAGGCAGAGGGAGAAGTAGAGGTAATTCTGCCATGGAAGTAAACAGTGAACCTCTTATCTAGTTGGAAGATGTAAAAAGGTGCTTTCCTAATACCAGTTACCAAATGACCCCTGAAGAAATTACGAAGATGGATGATTTCTACCAGAAGTTTCTTTTTAATTAAAATAGGTCATCTGATACACGCTTGATCTTTGACAATTTACTTTGTTAAAAAAGCTACACAGATCAACAAAGTATTACCCTGGGATCTAATTCCAACCTTCAGTAACTATTTACAGGTCTGGGAATTATAGTAATTGTGAGAGAATGTGATCCTCTTTTCTATACCAGAGCAAAGGATATCATCAGGATGCGTGGCCACTCTAAGAAAGCAGATTTCAGAATGTCAGAAGAAGGATGGGTGTGACCTGTTAGCCAGAAACACTGTAAGCTATGGTGCCAAACATGGGTGGAGATGTAAAAGAAGTGGTTTCAACGAGAAGGAAAGGGAGACATCTGAAGGTTGTTCTGAAATGAATCCAGACTTAAAGGATGTGGACAGAAGGTAGGAAGGTGGATCTGACCAAGGATGACTTCTAAAAGGAGCACAACCTTGTCTTGACTGAGCAATGACAGTTGAGATTTATGCAATGTTCTGAGTACAATGAAAGGGGCAGGACAGGACTAAGCTGCTCTTTGGCTTTGGATGAGGACATGGAACTGGTTCCTCTTTTGTTCCCATTATTACTATCAGGCAGACTGACGTGCAAGTTAGAAGGGTTATAATTAAGAGGAAGAACTTCAGACCAAAATTCTGAAGTGGCAGCAATGGGATGAGTTATTGTAAGAGATTTCTGACCTATTGTAGGAGTGACTTTGGGAAATTAGGTGAGTATATGTCCTTGATCTCTAGTGTCCCCACTTAATTAGGGAGAAAACATAGCTTGTGATACACACAAACACTTTCCTACTCCTAAGCTCATACAGAATCTCTACATTCTAATTATGATGAACATGCCGTAAGCTCTTTGAAGATGTGTTTTAATAAATAATTGTGACTTCAACAGGCTATTATTTACTGAATTAAAAGCAAATCATTAGGAAAAGATTTGCAAAGACCCAAATAATATATTCTACTTTTCCAGTTTCAGATCAAGGTGTCATCAACATTCTCAAAGAAAGAAACATGTAATCTGTGATGTTTACAGCACTAAATGTAGATGTGACACCTCAGTCCAAACAGCACTTAAACAGGGACCATATATGGAAATGGACCATATATGGAAATGACAGACATGCAGAAGTAAAGAAAGTAATTGTTGGACTTCATTTCAGAAAAAAATTATTCGACAAATATTTATGGTGTCCCTACTATATGCCAGGGGTATGAAAATGAATGAGGAAAACCCGGCCCCTGCCTTTGAGTGACCCATCATCAAATATGTGAAAAAGGAGTGCCTTTAACTTTCTCTTAAGAAGCCCAGTTTTCTGGATGGGAGAACCTTAAAGTGATCTAGGACTTGAACTTTCAAGATATAGGCTGGAGGCCCACAGAAGGTCCTGAATAATTCACAGGCCTCCAGCTCCAACCTGGAGATTGTATGATAGCCCATTTTATACGGGCAGGGGAAGCCCTGAGACAGTCAGGTATGCTCTCAAAAACAAACAGCTAAATCATTCAAACAGCTCTGGAGAGAGAATGTTCTGTTCTAAAAGGGGGAAATCTGGCCCTTGGGACACGCAGGGAAGTGTAGAGAAGCCTGTGGGTGGAGCAAGGTCACTATGACTCACCGGTGAATGAAGTGGTTTTCCTCTAGATACTGACAGCCACAGGCAATGTCCCGAGCCACGTGCAGAAGGTCCAGCATGACGAGGGAGGAGGCCTGATTCTATGGGAGACAGAAGTGATCCAGTGATGAGGCTCCGAGGGGAGAAGGGAAGATGGGAGAATTCTGGCTATTTAACCAGTGGTCACCACATTGACTTCCCTCTAGAAATCAATTGGAGGCTTTTAAAAAGTCAGATGCCTGGCCCTACCCTAGGCCCAGGAATCCATCTCACTGGGTAGGCACAGCTTTGCACTTTTGAAAGCTTTCCAGGTGAATCCACGGTGCAGTGGGTTGGGGATGCCCAAACCTTAGGAATCCAGCATGGGGTCACGTCCTTTCTCTCTTATTGTATTCTGTACATTCTTCTCTCTGAGCCTACATAAACATTTGAATTCTGTAAATCTATAAACAATGTTTCAAAAATCCTTTATTTAGAGATCTTAATTTGTTTTCTTTGTGGTGCAGGGGATTAAGCCCAGGGCTGTGCTCATGCTAGGCAAGTGCTCTACCAACCACTGAGCCATCTCCCCGGCCTTCAATATTTTTTAAAAATAATTTTCTTCAAGAAGATCTAGACTTAAAATGGATTAAAAAATGAAGAGCTTTCGGAAAATGCTGGACATTTAAGATCCATCTCAAGCTGTTCTATATGAAGTCTCTTTCATACAAAAGGAAATGTCACCTCACCTAGGGTTGCATCCCCTCTTAGCCTCTTGGACAGCGTGGTTGAGTGCCATGAAGTCTTTTCAGAAGGTAGTATTTCATCTTTTCCTTTCTTTTCATTCCTAAATCCCTGAAGTATGAGTAGCACCTCACCAGGGAGTGTCCTATTCACTTTGTTGTATTGTTCTATGTTTATTTTACCATGCCCCATGTAAACTTTCAGGTCTCTGAGAGAGGAACTTAATCTTTTCCTTCCATGGTATCCAGCACAAAGCTGGCGCGTCTGGGTGCCAGTGTCAGGTGGCTAGTTGGTTGATTACAGCTCTGCACTAGGATTTACCTAGAGGGGTGCACTTCAAATATATGTGCAAAAAAGCACTGATGGGCAATCAAATCAGACCCCCTGCGTTGGGGTCCCCCCCAAAAGTCCCTGTGTTAAAGACTTGTCCCAGAATGGTGGTATTGGGGACCAAGTGGGTCTAGTGGGAGGTCCTTAGGTCATTGGGGGCATGCCCTTGATGGGGATTGTGGGACCCTGGTCTCCAGTCTCTCTCTGTTTCCTGGCTTGAGATGTAAGTAGCTTGTTCTACCACATATTTTAGCCATAATTTGCTGCTCTTGCTGGAAGTCCAAAGTAATGGTGCCGCCTAATCTTGGACTGGAACCTATAGAACCATGAGCCAAAATAATTGTTTTCTCTTAATAAGTGAATTGCCTTAGGTGTTTTGTTGCAGTAATGTGAAACTGACTAACACATCCCTCTAAGACTATGTTGGTTGTTTAAGCCTCAGAGAGGTAGAAAAGCTGGTGACTCTGGGTGATGTGTGCAAACCAAAGGAGGACCTGGTCCTGGCTGTGGTAGGGCCTTGAGGAAAATTGTCTTCCCTCTAGTCTCTGTGTCTGAGCCTCCATCACTCACAGTTCCAGGACCCAGCTGTCTCACATGGTCTGGGGCCTGAGCACTGCAGGGACTACTTCTTGCCTGGCTTCAGCTCAGGGACCAGGGTTTTCAGGGCTCACTGTTCTACTAAGCAGTCTGCGTAGCAGCAACCATGGTGTGGGTGTGGGTTTGTGGTATGTACATGTGTGTGTGTGTGTGTGTATGCACTTGTGTGCACACACATGTAGCACCTCAGTGCACTGGTATTTAGGTCAATATTCTACTGTTATAGGTGAAAAAACAGGAATGGTTTGTTTGGTGTTGTAGCTTCTGAGGAGCTACTCCAAAAAGATAATATATACTAAAAAAAGACACAATAATATTGATACTCTGTCCCCTTCCCATTTTTTTTTGTGGTAATGGGTGGGGATTGAACCCAGGGTCTCATGCATGCTAGCTACCACTGCTTTTCACCCCAAAGCCCCTCCCTTTTTACTAGTTAGAGATGAAGAATGACAGGACGTGGGGAAGGAACTCATCCACCAGTAAAAAATGAAATTGGGGTATATTTTATAATCAATGCATACAAAGATGAACAGGGAAGATGAAAGAAAAAAAAGCAAAGAGTGCAGACAGGGAATGTAAAATACAAAAGGCAGCAAAAATTTTTAGAAAAAGTGATGAGAAGTTCGTGCTCTTGGGCCCTTATCATTCCTGCTTCCTGAAGTGGACTGACTTTCCTTGGCACTGGAGACCCATTCATGTATTTGGAGCCAGCATTGGTATTGTTGAAGCCAAATTAAAGATTAAAACATGAGCATAGTCCAAATCAGAGGTTCTCACCTGCAGACAGTGGACCTGCAGGAAATTACCTGTACACAGCATCTTCTACTGAGCCATTACCTATAAATATTACCATACTCCAAATAGATACAGACACTACTTGGCCAATGGCCTACACCTTTAATAAAGAAATTACTGACTTCTGAATGGCTTTTGTCACTGTTGGCTGAATCAATGGATACTGAAAGACAGCTGTTACCTGTACCTGGCATACAGCAAGCTCTCAAGAGCTTGCTGAATAAATGTTGGTTCTGAGAAACTTTTGACATTAAAAAGGGGCCTTCATTCTTGAAGAGGTGGAGTCCTGAGGCCAAGCAATGTTTTCATCAGTACTCATAAATTTTGTTTCCATGGCAGACCTGGTTGATCTGAGCATCCATCCTGTCCATTGTGATTTTGCCTCTGTTCCATCACTTCATGTCAGTATACCTGTTACCTGAATGAACTCGGAGCCCCTGATGCCATCTCTAAGGTCCTCAGATCCTGATCTAAGGTCTGTGGAACTACAGCGTCTCAGTGCTGGCAGGGAGTGAGGACAGAGCCCTGTCTATCTACACTCCAGTCTGTTGTCTACACATAGAGACCATCAGGCAATCCCTGAATCTCTGAGTGATTCAAGCAAATGAATCCTGGAGGACTCAGGCCAGTGAGCTCCAGAAGCTGGAGGCACAGCTCTACACACTGTCTCTCCAGTACACGTTTCTTCACCCCGAGTTCCTTGGGCTCCTTCCTGCTTCATTCTGTAGTGGACTCACTGGTCTTGGCCTCCTCTGTCCACCAGAAATTGTGCTCCTTTTTTACAGTCAGGCTAATGCTTATCTTTCTAAGCTGCATTTTGTGACCTTGTGTATCATGGGGGAAACTGAACGATACCCCTGAACCCCAGCATATTTGCTGCTAAGAACATTAGATTAGCACAGGTCACCTTGGAGCACAGGACTTCAACATGTGAAGCTGCCCTAATGTGCCAGGACCTGAAGAAAGACAGGTCACCTGGGATGGGTGGGGGTGGGAGATGGCCAGCAAGATGGTTGGGGTGCTACCTGGGTATAGTTCATGGGGACTTGGGTGTATAAACAAGGAAAGCCACACAAAGGAAAAATGGGACCAAGGGTTATAAGAGCAGGTTTGGGAGGTGGGACCCTAATCTGAGAAGTGGCTCTCCCAAGGGCAGGCAACTTTCTTGTAGGCATCCCTCAGGGAAGGGCCTGCTATTAGAGCTCAGAATGAGGCAGCAGGCCTAACCCTCCTGAGGGTGGCACTGTTTGGGTGGGAGACAGTGGGAGGCATCAAGGATATGCCTTTCCTGGACTGTTTGTTTTCTGGGACAATAGTTAATTGTCTTTCATCTTCAAAACAGAGGTCACCTTTGCCTGCAGGAGACAGAGAAGCCCTGCTCCTCACTCCTACCTCAAACTTCTTGGACTTGCTAAGTGATTGGTTCCCAGACTCGCCTTGCAAAGAGCTCCCGCTCCTTTGTATTCACAGTACTTCCTTCCTTCAGCCTCATGAATGTCCCATGGGTACACCAGGGCTATGCCTCCTCCCAAAGTGTGATCCTTGAGTTCCCCCACATAACCTCTGCCAGGATACAAGAGCCAGAGGCTCTGCCTGACTTGGGTGGGTTGTGGTAGCAAGCCAGAGAACTGATGCTTAGACTCTGGCAGAGATGTTTCTAGGGCTGGCAGTATTGGCTGTCACCTTGGCTCTCATGGCTTCCCAGAGAGGAACAGTATGGGAGGCTGGAGAGGACACTGGACCAGGAATCAAAAGTCCTGAGTTCTAGTTCCAGCTTTTCTGCTCCCTGTGTAGCTTTGGCAAGTCAATAGCCTCTCTGGGCCACAGTTCTCTCATCTGTAAAGTAGGGGGAGATCTGCACTGTCTACTTCACAGGGTGGTGTTGGGAATTGTGAAAGCTGTGAGGACAATAATGCCGATGAGGATTATTGTGAGAAGAGGTCAGTTTTTCTCTCCTCCTTCCTCCTGCTGGGTCTTTTCAAAGGGTCTTTTCTTAGGTGCCAATATGGGACAACCAGGGGCCTGTAGAAACAGTAGAAGGCTCCTAAGGTAGAGGTATTTTAAACTGAACCTGATTGAAGTGAAGATTAGAACAGCCATCACATTCCAGGGATTCTGCCACCACTCTGAGTCCCTGTGAGCAGTGCGCTCAGTTCTTGGTTTTCTGTCGCAGAGTGGCTGCCAGGCTCTGCTTCCTGGGGTGCAGAGGATGGTCACTGTTCATGCCATACAAGTCTTCCTTTTGTGGTTCCAAGGAAGCTCAGATTTTAACTGGGGTCTGCTCTGCTCCAGTTCCTAGTGACCAGGGCCTCCTGGAGGCCCTGCAGAGACAGGCACTGGACTCTGGGTGGCTGGACTACTGGGCTTTGTAATTTCAAACCATGTCTGATATGCTCCAGCCTGCCACATGGTGTCTGATGGCCATGCAGTGTATGGATCTTGGGTTTCCTGTGTCCACCCTAGACCTCTTTACTCCCCCAAACTCTCCCCTTATCCATAATACTATAGGTGCATATGGCACCTTCCTAAATATTCCAGCACTTTCTTTTTCATAGAAAATGACAAAATCAGGATGTTGAGAAAGAAGATCAGTGGGTTCAGAATGAGCTGATGGAGAGTGAGTAACATGGCTGGTATGAAAATTCCCCTCTGAGTGTGTCTTGAATTTGATGTTCCAGAGTCACCAGGACATAAACAGGGAGTCAGGCTATGGAATACATTGTGCAAGCCTTGCTCAGGCTTCTTGGGGCTGGGTTCAGCTATTATCCAACCTGTCCTGGCTATTCCTAATGTCCAAGCCCCAGAGTAGACTCCTGGGATCTTGTGGAATCCACTGCTTCCCCGACTGCCCCCCTGTCCCCTGCTCCTTTCCTGGCACAGCCACTGAAGCAAGCACTGGCTCTCACTCACCGGGCGAGGGCGTGTCTCCCGCAGGAAGGACTTAAGGTCTCCGCCTGCCATGAGCTCCAGCAGGATGAATCGGGGCAATGCCTGCAGACTCACGCCAATGCAGCGCACAATATTCTGGTGGTTGAATTTGCTGCAGGGGAGAAGGGGCAAGCGAATTTAATTGAGCCGATAACCTTAAGCAGGAGAAGCAGGATGCAAAGTCATGCTTTCAGCAGCCACATTGGGTAGGTGAGTAGATAAGGGGTCCCTGCTGAGCCCCAGGTGACCTTCCTGTTCAGCAGAGGGGAAGGCAGGGCAGGCCCCACAGGAGTTCAGTTTGCAGGCGAGAATTTGGTTGGGGTGGGAGGACATTGAGTGGACTGAGGCTAATGAAGCATGTGTGTTGGACAGGTGAGCATCTTTTTCAGATATCAGTGAATTAATTCATGCTTGAGCTCTCTGAGGAAGGCCTCAGGCAAAAGTGGAAGGCTTAGGCTCCGGAGAAGGGCTGCATGGGTTGCCAGGTCACAGTGTGTGAAAGAGCCAGGAGGAGGGGGTGGCCTCACTGGTCCCTGCAGTCTCCTATAGATGCCTCACAGGGAAGACTGGGTTGGGATAAGAGACCTGGAGACTTAGGTTTTCTTGTCATATCAGGATACACAGGGCAGTGGGGCTAGAAAATTCCACGTATGTATATACCACCCACACCCGCCCACACACACCCATACCCACACCCACACACACCCACACCCACACACCCCCACACCCACACCCACACCCACACCCACACCCACCCCCACACCCACCCCCACACCCACCCACCCCCCACACACACCCCACACCCCCCCCACACACACACGCACCCACACCCACACACCCACACCCCCAACACCCACACCCCACACACACCCACACACCCACACCCGCCCACACACACCCACACCCACACCCACACCCACACACCCACACACACAGGAGGGTCACCAAGTAGTGATACTGAATGGTTTGGCTCTCCTTGCATGTAATCTCACACTTTCTAAGTTTTATTAAACAATCATATATCCTATTTTGAGAGAAGGTGCTATCCTCTGTGTCCTCCTGGTCTTCAGAGCTCACAAACATCGCTCACACTGCTCTGGCTTTGTTCCCCTAACACTTCCTCCAAGGGATCATCCTGGGTCACCCTCATTGATCAGGATGTTTGTGGGGGCATCCTACTGCAAGAGGGGGCCATAAGCCACCTCCATATCTCAAGTTCAAATATCCTCCTCCTTGTGTGCTGTCACAGCAGATGCCCCCCGCCTCCCCCCAGAGCCTCCATCACTGAGATTTCCAGAACTACAGGAGGAAGTGCAGGCTGGCCAAGACCTGCTAGTGTGGATGCAAGGTGGGGCAGCCTTCCATCACATTAGGGTTATATTTCCTTTATGCTCAGTCTATGATCTGGGCCCAGAAAAGGGTAGGGAACTCCAGAAGAGTTGCTTTCAGTGAGCTTCTATCTTCTGCTGTCAAAAACTAGCATGCTCTATTTCTGAGGAAGAAGTGAGGAAACAAGGAGCAATGGGTGACAGCAAGAGGCTTGCTGTACCCTTGTTCCTTCCTATTATTGCTTATACTCTCTCTACAACAAAGTTAGAAATAAGGGCAAAATAGTTTCTGCTGGGTATTGAGAGGGTCGGGGGGAGAGGGAGGGGGCGGAGTGGGTGGTAAGGGAGGGGGTGGGGGCAGGGGGGAGAAATGAACCAAGCCTTGTATGCACATATGAATAATAAAAGAAAAATGAAAAAAAAAGAGGCTTGCTGTAGACAGAATAATTAATATCAATCAATTTATTAGTCCACCCAGATATGTTCTAAGACAACCATCTGGGGTTGCTCCATTTTAGGGAGTCTTCTCTTGGGGAGGGAGGATATGCTGGGGACAATAGCATTTCTCTTAGAGATGTCGATCTCTTAAAAACATCTCTATGTTCTTCTCAGGAGTGGGGAAACAGACTGGGGGCTCTCTGTGGCTTTACCTGATGATCAGGGCTTCCATGAGGAAATCCAGCTCGTCCTGTTCTGAACACACCTCTGGCAGCGTCTGGGCACAGAAGGGAGGGTAGGAAGGAGGAGGTGGCTGTGAGCTGAGAGTTGCAGCCTGTAGAGACCTCAGGCCAAGGCCAGGCTCACACAGGAGCTGCCTCTTACCTTTACTGCCACTTGTAGGGGGCTTGGATCGTTGGGCATTCCAGACACCTGGCCTTCATACACCTCCCCAAAGGCGCCATGGCCCAGACCCCTGTGCCAAGGACAAAGCAAGATGAGGCAAAGTTAAGTAGTCCACATTAAAGAGACAGCCGGGGCCCCTGAGTCCAAGGGTCACATTTAGAGGACATACACAAGACAAAGACTGAGGAATTACACCTTTAACTTGGTTTTGTTATGCCATCCTGGGTCTCCATTTCTTTATCTGAAATCTGATAAGAGGTTCTACTATAGTTTGAATGTGTCCTCCAAGGTCCATGTGCTAAAAATCCCAGTTGTGAGGTATTAAGAGGGTAGAAATGGAACCCAATTTCCTGCTTAGAGGTGGAGCCTTTGGGAGGTGATTAGGATTAGATAAGGTTATTAAGGTGGAGCTCACATGACTGACAGAGAGAGAGAGAGAGAGAGAGAGAGAGAGAGAGAGAAGATGTACACACACATTCATGCTCCTTGTCTTTCACCAGGTGATGCCCTGTACTGTTTCTCTACCAGCAAGAAGGCCATTCCCAGCTGTGGCCCCCAGACTCTGCACCTCCAGAACTGTAAGCCAAACAAACTTGTTTCCTTTATAACTCAGTCAATCTGTGCTATTGTGTTACTGGAAACCAGGGATTCATTCAATGAAGTTAGTGACTCTTAAGATACCCACTAGGGACACAAAGTTGAATAAGACATAGTCCTTGCCTGGAAGAGGCTCATGCTCCTGGGGACAGTGACAGATCACTATCAAATACTTGCTGTGGAGTGTTGTGAATGACAGAGGAATGCACAGGGAACTCCAGATGTTCAGAGGTGGGGCATTCAGAGGAGTGGGAGGGGCCAGGAACTATAGGAGACTGGTGTCTGAATAGATTTTGAGGAGAGTCCTGGTTCTTCCCATCAAATCCTCCTCTCACTGCATAAACCCCATAGGGTTTATTCTTATATAGGATGTTAAAATAAACCAGCACCTTCACATGGCTCTGAACATTAAGCCTTGTCCCACTGGGAGGCTGGGGTGCCCTAGGGTTGGCTCTGCTGATCCTGTGTGGCTAGAGGAATCCATGATGCTATGAAGACATCCAGCCCCCCCACCCCCTTGCTGCCATCCTGGGCACTTACCGAATTAGGGTGATGTTTTTCCGTGGCACTTCCTTCAAGTCACTGATGGAGGATGTCTTGCCGGCAAAGCAGTAGTTGGGATTGTAATCAGTCATGATGGTGGAGGTACGCAGCTTGCTCAGCTTGTACTCGGGGCTCTGCAACTCCATTTGCATGGCTTGCAGCTCCTGGTGCTTTCGGCGGTACACTGTAGACAGACAGAAGTCTGCTGCAATGGGGTCTGGACCAGGTGGCCTGGCCCTGGAAGTCCAGTACAGGCCACCTCCTCCAAGAAGCCTCCCTACATCTCCATCTCTTTCCTTGAATTCAAAACCTTTCCATCACACTTACTAACAAAATGATTATACAAGTAAAAGTGTCCCGTTAACCAGTGGGACATGGCAGCCTTGGTGCAAACCCAGCATGGACGGGGTCCTGGTCAGTTGTGCTTCCCATAGCAAGAAAACAGTCACACTGTCTTGGGCACACAGTCAACGGGTGCCCAAAGATCTGTGCTCTGTCTAATGTCACCTCTTACTTAGAAAATGAGTTCTCTGGACAGTATTTCCTGCCCCACATAATGGCGCTTGTCACAATGAAACAAATTCACCAACACAAAATGCTTTTGAAAACCCCTACAGCGCTTTGGCACATGAGTGGCTGTTATTGCCATCACAACTTCATGCCAGTACGCTCTAAGAGGCACTCCAGGGAGACAGGGGAAATGCAGGTGCAGAGGGTGGGTTCTGCAGGCCCGGACAAGTGCTGCCCATGCCACCTGCTAAGTGCTAAGTCCCTTCCTCTGCCAACCGTGAGCACAGGATTTCTTTTTCTTTTCTTTTTTGCTAGAGGGGGAGTGGAAGTCCTAAGAGGAGACAGCAACCGAGGAAGAGAAGGAAAGTGGAGGGTTGGGAAGGTGGTAGGCTGCCACCGGGAGTGAGCCAAATGACAGAAGAATGAACGAGGAGCAGACAGGTAGAAGTTAGGGTTGTCCTTGCTCCCCAGCTTCTCCATCTCCTGCCCCTTCTGCAGGAACCCCCCAGAGTCTGATCACAGGAGTTAATGATCCTAAATGTGCAAATTGCCAGGCAATGAGTGTTAGCTGTTATTATTCTGTCCCTTTGAAGGACGCCACCATATGGGGACGCAACGCACACTACCATCTCCCTGTTCCTCCATAGATTCCCTTGTTCTTGGGGGCTGGCCTGCCCATGCTCCCAGAAGCCCATTATTCTGCCTATCTTCCTGTCCCTTCCCATCTGTCTTCGGCATCTTACTGCCAGCAGTAAGCTGGACCATGGTTCATGGCTGGACCATGCTGAGACTCTGTGACCTCATACCAGCTCACATTGGCTCACAGGCCAGATAGAATTATGCTCAGAAGCCAGCTTTTCATTCTTTCTACTTGAAGGGAGGGGACCTGGCTAGTGGGGCTTGAATGTTACACAGGAAGTGAACCCAACCAAGACTGGGCCCACGAAGTACATGAGAGCAGGGAGTGAAGTCAGGGGTGCAGGGAAAGCCTTGCCATTGTCTTTGCCACTGAAGAGTGAGTGTCCCTGTCCCTTTAAGCTCCCAGGAGGCCACTTTGGGGCTGAGGACAAGCATCAGGGCTTCCTCTAAGGAAACCCCAAGTGCTCTGGTGGGTGGAGGGTTGGGAGTTTCTGTTTTGGCTTGGTCTGGGATGCTTTAGTTGCTACCCACCCAGCTCCAGGGATTATTAGGACAGAATGACACCTTGGCATCCACGGCACAGCCTGAGACACTATTCATCTCTGCCAGATATACCTGCCTGCCTCCTTAGGAGGCCCCAGAGCTCTAACATACTCACCAATCATGATGCCGGAGAATGCCAGGACAAGGGCAGCCACCAGGGCAGAGGTCACAACGGAGAGGATCAGCGAGAGTGGCAGGTGGGGCTCTGGGGTGGGTGACACTGGAAAACAGGTCCGGACAGGGCACTGACAATTGTGCTTATTCTACTGAGTTGGTCCTACATAAGAAATATCCTCCCTAGCCAGGACATAAGCCACTTGCTGCTTTCCATCCCTGGAGACCTTGTCACACCTCCCTTTTCAAGGGACTGTGGGCACATACTAGGCTTATCCTGATCTTACAGGCTCCCAACAGTAGCTTTTGGGTGGAGGGAAAATTCAATGGGAATGATTATCAGTCCTGAGTATTGATCCAAAGCATTAACTGCACAAGTATAGGATGAGGAGGGAAGAAGAAACAGAAGTGAACATAGAAGAGACTTGGGGACCTTAGGTGACTCCACACTCAGTAGGATCCAGCAGTAGAGAGCTCCCCCAGTGATACCTTGGGTACCAGGATCAGGCTGGCCAGACCACACCAGCAGGGGAGGACCGGGATGCTTATAAAAGTAAACCAGAGTTGTCCTGGAACTATGGAAACCAGTTGCTCCAGCCCTGGCTTCCTCCCCCTCCCCCTTGCTGTTCCTTACCAATGCAGGAGACACCATCCTCTGCCAGCACTGTCCCATGGTCACAGAAGCAAATAATCTTGTGGCTCTCAGGGTCCATGTGACATTCGTCTACTTCACAGTGACTGCAGTTTAGGTAATGCTTGATATTTACTTCCCCGTGGCCTTCCATCACTGATGATAAGGAGGGAGGGTCACTCTTTGGTTGAACTTGAAGACTGCCCTGTACCCCCATTCTCTGCCTTTGAGCTTTGTTGCCAGCTGTTCACTAGGGGTTGTCTGATCCCTGTTCTAGGCCACTAGATGCACATCTCAGTGTAGGGAAGTCTCCCCATGCATCTGGTGAGCAGAGCTCAGACTGAGGATGTTCCATGTTTGTGTGTAGGTGGGAGAATCCACATGAAGGATCCTTAGGATGGCTGACTCAGGGATGCCAGCTATTGTTGCTGCATTTTCTAGCACCAGACTGTCTGCTTTCATGTCCATGAGAAACCACACATCCTGCCTTCAGAACACATGATGAGATGAGAGCCACAGGAAGACTTGTCTACAAGGGACTTTTCATGCCTTGGGATCCTGGACACATCAGTAACTGAAGTTTTAGCTTGGTGGGAAAACTGGCTAAAGTTTGGCACAGGGGGTACCTTTTAAAGCAGGAGTGTACAGGACACCCAGTGGACTGATGAAGGAAACCCCATCTTCCCCATCCATTTCGGGGTCATTACTTGAGGCTGCATTGCCACCTGAGGCAAACCAGAGAAGAGTTGGACACAGAGGTGGGCGCCCAGATCTTAACACGCATGCGCATTAGCAGGGCATGCAGCTCTGGCCGGAGTCGGGGGTCTCGGGAGATGTAGGGGCAGGGGATTTAGGGAGGGAAGGGAGGATCAGGGCACAGAGGCTGTACTTGGGACTTGGCTCAGTAGATGTTGGGTAAGTGGGCCATTTTCCCCTCTAGATTGGGGTCAGTTCTTTGGGGAAGGGTCTCTATTATTCTGCTGAGACCCCGAAGCAATCAGTGTAAGAGTTCAAAATAGTTCTAGTCTCTTTAGGTTAAAATACACTCCTGGGGCCTCTTCCAGGGCTAGCCTGGACAGCAGCACTGAGGAGGTTGCTCTCCAGTGCCATTGGGTCAGGTTTGGGGAGTGGGGAGATGCGCCCCTGTGCCTTCAGGCTCCTGTCCCTCCTTTCAGCTGGGGTTGGGTTCTCTTGGGGCTCCCCCCTGGGTTCCTCCCACCACACAGGGATCAGAAAAGAAGAGCACATGGTTAACACAAGCACCTTACACACAGCGTCAAAGCAACACAGACACAAACGGCACAGTGCATGCAATGTGTCCTAATCTGGGGGGGAGGAGGAGGGGAAGGAAGATCCATCATCCCACAGCTCCCCATTCAGAAGACTCTTCTGAAGGCAGCTAGGGTCAATGGCAGGCTGCTTTTGGAGGGCTGGGCTGGGCTGGGCTGGAGGATAGTGCTCTGGCAGCTGGCAGGCTGGGCAGGGAAGGGAGAGCAAGGAGCCAGTGAAACTGTAACCAAGTCCTTTATGGAACTGGCTTGGCCAGGCTACCCAGAGGGAGGCGTGGCACTGGGGGAGTCTGGACTCCAGAGTGGGTCCTTGCTGTGGCTGACTCAGATGACAGTCTGAGAAGCCAAAGCCTTTGTTTCTTTGGCTTCAGGGAAGATCAAGGATCACTTGGGATCTTGATGCTGTCACTAAGGAAGCCTTGAGGCAGGATGCTGGCTCAGGAGCCAACACCCTGCCTCTGGCCGGCCTAGCCAGGCCAAGGGATGCGTGCAGTCACATCACAGTCCACACTGGGGAGGAGAGGGGAGAAGGGTGAGCTGGGTGGGGACAGGAGGTGACAGGGAGGGGAGGTACCTAGGACTAAGAGGGGGGAGGGAGTGACACCTTGAACACGAATCATCTTTACCTATATATCCTCCGCCTCCTCCACCTGAGGAGCACCCCCCTCCACCCCCTCCGAAACCCCCTCTTGTCTCCCACCCCCACTTCTTCATGGCCTGGGGGCAGGAATGTCCTCCGGCAGCACCCTCCAGCAAAGATTTTCCGGCCCAGAGTAAGGAAGTGTTATCATTCCAGCCGCCTCCACCACCTGCAAGAAAGATGAAACACTTCCCTGAGGCTGGCGAGTTGGAAGGAGGACAAAGTGTGCTTTGAGGGAGCCCTCATCTGCTCCAGTTCCTGGGGCTATCTTCGGGGGAAGACCTGTTTGGCTTAGCATGCTTGTGTAGAGTGCACCTTGTGCCTGCTTCCTTAGGGATTTGGGGACAGGTAGCATGACACTAACTCCTTCTTGCATGGCTGCCAGTCTCTGAAGTGCTTCACCTTCATTTCATTAACTGCTTCCTATCCTCATAAGAGGTAGGGCCCCTGTCTTTGCAGCCAATTGTCAAGGGCCTTCAGAGGTCATTGCACTAGAGTTTCTTGCAGGAATCCTGGAACAGGCACCAGATAGCCTCATGGGCTTCCTTGTTTGATGGCTGTGAAACCCAGGCCATGGACCTCCCCACTCTGAGCCTCAGTTTCTTCACCTGTAGCTTGAAGATAATAAGAACCACCTCATGATATTAATGTTAAAGAGAGAGTGAGCATGTGAAATCCTCTACAAAGGATTGTTGAATTTGAGAGGTGAAGGTGTGCAGGTGGCCTCACGATGCTTTGGCTGCTAGAAAGAGGGAGCTGGGTTTAAAATGTGAAACCAGCTTGGATCTTTAACAGGGCAAATAGAGCTGGGCGGAGGCCCTTGGGCTGATGTGGTGCTTCATCAGCTTTGTGAACTGCAGGGTTAGGATGTTGAGCTTGGCATTCAGGGCTGGCCGTCAAGCCTCAGGTCTGCAAGGCGGCATCCTGGGCTCCAGGATGCCCTACCTCCCTTGATATTGGCACCAAGAGCCAGAGCTCCCAGCATCTCAAGGTCAGTGACTAACATACCTTCAGGGGCGTGACCCCTGAAGGGGATCTGTATGAAGCCCACACAGTCTCTGGGAGATTTCTGGGGGAGGGTGGGGCTTTACCTGCGGCTCCGGAATTGCCGTTCAGCCCTAGAACAGAGGAGTTATTCTCCAGTCTCTCTGGGTGGAATGTGTCTGTCTTGGCTCCATAGGCCCTGCCGCCACCGCCGGCTGCAATGATTAGGGGCACTGGCACTCCATCCTTCATCTGGCCAGGGAAGACATTCAGAGATGGAGACACTGAGCTAAGCATCCTCGAGGGAGACCCTGAACACTGGTTTAAGTTTGACTCTTTGTGAGGTTACCTGTCTGTCTGAGGTGGTTTGTTGGCCTGAAACTCATATGGGCAGTAACCCCCATCAGCGCCTGTATCAGTTGGAGTTCAACCAGAGAAACTACTAGGGTAGCTGGGCATGGTAGCTTATGCCTGTTATCCCAGCTTCTCAGGACGGAGATTGGGAGGATCATAGTTTGAAGCCAGCCCAGGCAAAAAGTTAGCAAGACCCCCATCTCGATAAACAAGCCAGGTATGGCGGCATGTGCCCGTCATTCCAGCTACACAGGAGGTAAAGGTAGGAGGTGCTAGATCTTATCTGAAAAATAACTAAAGCAAAAAGGGCTGGGGGCATGGCTAAAGTGGTGGGTACCTGCCTAGCAAGCAGGAGGCCCTGAGTTCAAACCCGGATACCAAAAAACAAACATGAAAAACCTACTAGGGTATATATGTGTATATATCTATTAACAGATTGTAAATGGAGCTGGAATGGACCTTGGAGGCTGCTTACCTCAGCCTCTTTCCTGAAGCTCTTCCGAGGTCTGATTGCTGGTGACTAGAAGCAAGCTGCCTGCATTCTCCTTTCTCACCACTATAAGGCATTACTGGCTCTGACCCCCACAAGTTCAGGATTAAGTTCTCAGCATCACTGTGCTTAAGGAAGCACCTAGCAAGAGGCCTTTGCTAGTTTCTGGCCTGGCTGCAATGATGTCAGAAAAGTCCACCTGGGACAGACATCTGGAGGGTGACCATCTGAACTCTGTGGCAGAGGCCTGGTGTGGTGAAACTGGGCTGCCCTTTGTTGAGCAGACCACATGTCCCTCTGGGCCTCAGCTTCTGGCTTCTCATCTTTAACTGCGGCTGAGCATTGGAGGGGTTTCTCTCGCAGCTGTCCTGAGACTATAACACCACGATGCACAGACCTCACAGCATCGAGAATCTGGCTGAGCAGACCTTGAGCTCACCTTAAACACATAGGTGGCTCCACCCCCACCACCTCCTCCTCCTGCCCACTCGTGCACACTTCTGTTCACGCGGATTTCTTCTTCTATCACGTTGTTCTCTCCAACGCAGACTTTCTGGATTAATTGGTTTGTCTATAGAAATAAAAAGCACATTGAGTTTGCACCCAGGCCAGGGTTTGCTGCTTCCCAGCAAACAGACCTTATGTGTCTAAAGATAGCATCTAACAAACTCTCACATAGCTTCTGGTCGAGTTGAGGAGACAAAAAACACACACAAATAACTGTCACATTGGGCACTATTAGGTCACAAGGAAAGCTTGGATATAAGATGCCATGACAAGTGGGACCAGTTAGGATCCTGTGGACTCAAGAAGGAAAAAAAAAAGCCCTAGGTGGTGAGATAGGCTGGAGGGAAGGTGAACTGGGGTAAGTGGAGGGATTGAGTTGGATAGTCAGATCATTGCAGGAGGCCTTGGAGACAATCAGAGAGCCATACTTTGTCTCTAGGCAGTGAGATTTTTGGAGAAATTACAGCTCTGAAGCATAAAGGAAAGAATAAACAAACAAACAAAAATCAAAAACCAGAAAAAAAAATCAACCAACTAATCAAACAAATAAACTAACAAATAAGAAACAACAGAGGAAGTACATACTCAGATTTTATTCCCAGCTCATCTTTAGGAAAGTCATTTCTCCATTTTGGACATCTCATTCCTCCTATATAATGTCCCATTTTGTGTCTCTAGAAATCCCTGGCACATCCCTAAATAAAGCTCTGTCTGCTATGTAGAAGAGGGAGTAGATCTTGGAATCAGACATTCTGTCTGATGTAGAATGACAATCTCTCCGATGATGATGATAAACAGGTGGGAACAATGACATCACAGGTTGTTAGGACATGTGGTCACACAAGTTAGGGATGGGTAGGTGGCTGCTGTTACTATTTTATTAGATTCACTTTTGGGCCCCACAGCCTCCTGGTAGGATCTCAGGGATCTAGGACTCCCTTGGACTGTGCTAGAAATTTCTGTAATAGAATTAAAAAATCCTGGAATAAACAGGGCAGTGCCTTATAGTCACACCTGCCTGTCAGCCCACACAGCTCAAATGAATTGTCTAAATAAACATCAGCCTGACCTCAGAAGAAAATGACTTCTTTCACTTAATGGGAAGAAAAGCCAATAAAACATCAGATTTCCACTAAATGCTGCGTAACCAGCCAGTAGACACAGCAATTCATCTTGTGCCACTCCTTATGCTAAAGCATTTAGGAGTGCCAGCAATGGGTACTAGAGAAATTTCCAGATAAGCAGCCGAGATGCAATTTGTTTTATGGTATTTTGGATTTAATGATGAAAATAATTTGATATTTTTTAAAGAGCGGATTTAGTGTGGATGGAAGGCTCAGAATTGTTCTTGTGGTGAGTAACATTTCTTTTATGTACCTGCAGCGCTGTGTAGCCTGGTGGGTAGACTACTGGGATGGTGGCCTGGGGCAGGTGTGGGTGGCAAGGGGTATGCCCTGGGGCAGGGGGAGAGGATGTGTGCTGTCAGTTGGACAAAGAATTTTTTTTTCTTTTGAGACAGGGTTTTGTGTTGTAGCCTGGATTGGCCCTGAATGCAGGATCCTCCTGTCTTAGCCTTCCTAGTGCTGGGATTCTAGGTGTGTACCACCATACCCAGCCAGGCTGGATTTTTAATGGCTCTTGCCAGAGTTTTGCTGGGCCATGTTGGGTGAGCACTTCACATCCTCAACTTGCCTCCATCTGTAAAATGAAGAGCTTCCCAGTCTGAACCATTCAGACTGCTGAACCAGTCTAAGAAGACCCTCGCTCCCCAGACCTTGCCCTGGAGAATCTGGAGGCTGCTGGGATGGGGTGAGGACAGTGGGTGACCTTTCAAGTAACTCAAGCAGGACCCCATGCCCATCACCCATGGCCCCTGCTCCAGTCATCTGTTTTAAATCAGGTGTGGGGAAGGAGGAAGGATGGTCTGTTCTCAGCTGCAGCTCACGGACCCAGTAGCAGCATCTTCAGGAGCTGAAGTACTTCTTTACCTGACTCCAGGACTCCACACCCTCTGGAGCCCCCTACCACCTCTCCTACTCTGCTGAAGATTCCGCTTCTTTTTTTCTGACCTCCAGAATGTCAGGGATCCCCATGGCTTATCCTTAGTCCTCTATCTGTACCACACACTAGGCCATCTCAGCTTATCTCAACTTTATGCTGATTTCTCCCTAATTTCTATCTCCCCACTGGGCCTCTCTCCTGACCTGGCCATTGCCTGTCTCCTGTTGTTCACTTGTTGTCTCCACCTGACTGTCTAGCAGACCTCTACAACCAGCATGTCTGACCTTGACCTCCTGATCTGGCCCCAACTTGCTCCTTGACTGCTCCCTCCTTCCAGTGGCTCAGACACAGTTCTTAGAGTTGCTGTTGATTCTTTTTTTCTTTCTCTCAATTCCTCATCTGATCAGGTAAGAAATCCATTTGGATTTCGCATTCAAAATATGCCCAGAATTCAACCACTTTTCACCACCTCCACTCTTACCATCCTGGTCTCAACCACCATCATCTCTTGCCCAAATTAATGCAATAGCTCTTGAATTCATTGCTCTGACACTTCCCTTGTGTCTGTGTGGTCTCTGTCACAACACAGAGTGAACCTTTCGATGCATGTTTCATATTATCATATTATATCACTGTGTATCTCAATACATTTCTATGGCTTGGACATGTCCTTACAGTGGCCCGGTCCAGCCCATTACCTTGGACCTCATCTCTTATTTTCCTTTCCTTTTGCTCCCTCCATTCCATCCTGTAGGTGTGCTTCCCATCTCAGGGACTTGGCCTTTGCCAAGATAATCCACCCTTACCCCTGCTTGAATGTAAGCTCCCTATGAGCAAAGATCTCTCTCTTGTTCATTGATATAGCCCAAGTTCCTATACTAGTGACTGGCACACAGTAGATACTCAATGCATATTTGTTGAATAAGTTTGAATGAACTGAGAGCTGCCTGGCACCTGGGCTGGCCCTCCATGCCGGGTGGGAGATGGTAATGACAGGATTTCACATTTAACAAGGAGACATTTGGAAATGTCTAGGGGCATTTTGGGGGTCATTTCTGGGGGCACTAATGGCATCAAGTGGGTAGAGGAGAAGGAAGCTGCTAAACAGCTTATGATGTTACAGGACAACCGCCCCAAAGTACCTCTGTTTAAAATGTCTGATTTAGACCCATGCCACCAAGGTGAGGTCTGGAAAGACCTGGAGGAGCAGAGGCTGGGTGAGGGTGTATGTGGTGTGTGTGTGTGTGTGTGTGTGTTTGTGTAAGTAAGGGGGCAGTTTCCAGCAGCTGCAGCCAACTCCATGCATAGGCTCTCAGGGCTGGTCTGACACACAGGAAGAAACTTTCATAGATGTACAGTCAAACCAGCAAAGCTGCCAAATTTTGCAGTTGAATTCTTGGAGTTCACTCATTCTCTTGCAATCATCTCTAGACATCATTTTCCCAGTGAGAACTGAAGATTGAATTAGTGCCTGAAGATGTTCTTTTCCCCTCTTCTAAAGAGAGGTGGATGTGTGAAGAGACAGGGAAGATGGGTTACTTTCTCTACCTGCTCACATGCTTTGTTATTCCTGGCCCTACCACCAGAGGAGGCTGTCCTCTGTCTTTGGCTGAGAATGGCCTCCTGCCTGCTTGGGAACTCTCCCTGTGTACCCGCAATTTTAGAGCTAGTAGGTTGATTAATAAAAATGATAAAGCACAGAAACCCAAAGGAACAAGTAGATTACAATTGAATTAAAAAAATAAAGGACGTGGTCTTGTGAAAAGACATAACTGATTACAATCCAATCAAGTAAAAGTCCCTTGCAGAAGTCAATGCACTCTTTCTGCTTAGATGAAAGAATTACATTAGCGCTCAATAAATTCCTGTGAAAATTACAGCAGCCTGTAATTTAATGACTTAATATATTATAACAGGTTGGAAAGTCCTGATTATAGTTGCTAAATAAAAGTTTGAGTGCAGACATTTCTTAGGCAGGAGGTTGTGCTTGTCAAGCTTGGTCCTGTCTTACAACCCTATGAGGGGATGGGCCGGGGGAGGAGAGCTAGGGTATACTCTTGCTTGCTATCTCCAGGTTCCCAGCCTAGAGCCTGGCTCTTAGGAGCCCGAGTTTATTTTGTGGAATTGAACTTCTTTCTTGGTGACCCCTGTTCCCTAATCTGTCCTCCCAGATTTCTGGCACAGTTCCCAAAGAAGGCCCTGTTCTTCCCCCCTACCCCAGGCTCCCTGGCCTGGCCCCCTACCCATGCTAAGCTGTGTTTCAGGTGAGGCTGCAGTTTGATCCAACCAAGACAATGTGTCCTGTAGGGTGCTGAGTTCCTGCCAGCACAGTCAGCACAGTCAGAGTCCTACCACCCCGAACACTGTGGGCAAGAGGCAAACAACTGGGGTGCTGGGATTTGCATGGCTCCTACTTAATTAGTCCTCATCAGTCCATTCTCCTGGCCAGTTTAACCCACTCTGGGCTTTCTTGGCTCCTGCTGTTGGAGTTCACCCTCTCTGTCAGCTTGACACCCTGGTGAGGTCAGAAACACAATGGCAGGCCATCTCTGGGATGGCAGAGGCTTAGCCAGCATTGTACTGAAAGTGGAAATGGGAAAAAGACCATAGGAACCGAGGCCCAAGCAAGTGCAGGGAATACCAAACACAGGAGCCCAGAGACCTGTGCCACTTTGTGAGTGACTTCTGGCAAGTCCCTTTACATGTGGCCTCCATTTCCTTCCTCCTCCTTCCTCCTTCTCTCCCTCCCTCCCTTCCTTCTTTCTTTCTTTCCTTCCTTTTTCTTTCTTTCTCTCTCTTCCCTTCCTCCCTCCCTCTTTCCTTCCTTCCCTTTCTTTCTCTCTCCCTTCCTCCTTTCTTTTTTCTTTCTCTTTCCCCCTCCCTCCTCCTTTCTTTCTCCTTCCTTCCTTTCTCTCCCTCCTTCCTTCATTTTTTCTTTCTCTCATTTCTTTTCTCTCTCCTTCCTCCCCCTTTCTTTCCTTCCTTTCCTTTCTCCTCTTTTCTTTTTTCTTTCTCTCTCCCTCATCCTTTCTTTCTCTTTCCTTCCTTCCTTTCCCTCTTTCCTTCCTCCCGCCCTCCCTTCCTTCCTTCCTTTCTTCCATTCTTCCTTTCTTCTCTTCCTCCCTCCTTTCTTTTCTTTCCTTCTCTTTTGTTTTCTTTTATTCTCTCTTCTCCCTCCCTCCCTTCTTTCCTTCCTTCCTTCCTTCCTTCCTCCTTATTCTTTCTTTCTTTCTTTCTTTCTTCCTTCCTTCCTTCCTTTCTTTTCTTTCTTTCTTGTACTCAGGGCCTGCCACTTTCTAGGTAGGAGCTGTACCACTTAAACCATGCCCCTAGCCCACTCTCCATTTTCTTCATCTATGAAATGGAGGAATGGGCTATATAGTTTTCTGGCTCTCAGTATATGCTTTAAAATTTTTAAAGTTTTAATCACATAAATAATAACTAATATCAATAATAATATAACTGTATTAATACATTCTTTTTGTAACTATTTCATACATTATTGGTAAAATTTCCCCAATCCATTCTCCTTCAGAGAAGTAACCACTGTTAACTCCATCTTTTGGAATTTTTTCTGTGCATTTATGAGTCTGTGATTTTTTTTGAGCCAACCTCAAAGCAAATGCTTCTTTTGTTCTTTCTTTTTCCTATTTATAATATGATAAGACACCAGTATGTTAGCAAGTCCAGAAGTGGGATTCACCTCATTCTTCTGTGGAGAAGGATTACAACTAAACCATTCAAATAGGATTCAGTCTTTTAGCTTTAAGGGTCAATCATGAAAGCTGTGCTTCAGCCTTGGTCCCTGTGGGGAAGTAAAACTCCAATAAGCCACATGCCACCTGCATTTTCATACACCCAAATGGCCCTGCAAAAGAGGGGCATTTGCAGGCAGAACTAGGGACAGAATCTGCTGTCTCTAAATGTGAACTTGCAGCGGAGCTTGTCAGCCCTAGGTTCCCTCTGAGACGCCTCCCCTGGTGCTGGGTGAATGCAGAGGACAAACCCCTGTTCTGGGCACTTACACTGGGACAGGCGTCTTCCCCCTGCTGCCCGACCAGGATATACAGCGTGTCGTCCTTCTCCAGGTTGAAGATGCCCAGCACAGACACGCCATGGGACCGCGTCATGGTGTTCTTCCCACCTTTCCCTCCGGCAGCTCCGTAGCCCGAGATGCTGCAACAGGACAAAGGTCATTGGCTCCTTCCATGGTAGGAAGACTGACCCCTTCCTGCCAACCCAGTGGTTTCCAGGGGGTCAAACACATCACTGTCATGTCTGAGAGCTCTTGTCCACATCAGCCCCATGCAGCCAATAAGAGGGATTCTTCTCCCCTCTGATGGGAAAGGACAGTCAAGTTCAGAGAAGGGCAGAGAGTTATTTTAGACATAGAGCTAGGAAGGACTGATTGGGAGGAGGAGGAGGATGAGAGAGAGAGAGAGAGAGAGAGAGAGAGAGAGAGAATTTCCTGGATACCTAGAATGCATTATAGATTTCCCAGTTTAAGATCAAAAGACTCATGATCTTAGAAGGTAAGGTCCATGTTCCTTATCTGTACTGTGGAGAAAATAAGAGAACCTCCATTCTGTTTCATTAGTGTTATGAAAATTAAAGGAAACAGACATGTAGTCTTAGAATTGTGGCTGGCACATAACAGGCACTCAGTGAGTATTCATTATTAGTAGTATGAAGGGTGGTAATAGCAATAATTGACTTGGTACAAGTTTTAAAGTATCCTTATGGGATCTAGAAATGAAGAGAGTCTACATACAACGACTGAGGAGAACATGTTTATGAGCACAGACTGTTTATTCTCATCCCAACACTAACTCCTTCTGGAGTAGTCTGTGTACACACAACAAACAACCAATCATGATGAAAATAAAAACAGAGTGCAGGGGTGTGGGATTATATCTGCTGCCTCTTAGATTGTTGAGACAAAGTCAAGCAAAGATAGGGGAAAAAAGAGAACTCAATTCATGGACCATGTTAGAAGAGTGCATGTCTTGAAGACAGCTAGAGTACCAGCTAACAAATGCCTCCCCAGAGACCAGCTGCCAGGGAAAAAAACTTGGGAGGATTTTCATGTCCCTGTGTATTCAGATCCAAGGACCTTTATGAAAAACTAGGAAGAGATGAAAGACAGTTGTGTCCACGTGCACACACCATGGCTTCTGCACTGACAGCTCTAGAAAATGTCCGGTGTTCAGAACATGTGAAGGGTCTCCTGGGGTTCTCCCAAGGCAGAGTAAATGTAGAATCTTATGTCCATTGTCCTGGCAGCTGCTCAGGCACTGATCAGAGCTTCTTAAGTGAATGTTGGGAAGTGTCAGGCTGTGTGGACCAGAAGAGAACTGAGATGGGCTCTAGGGCCTTGAAGGGCTATGAAGAAACTGGGGAGAGGGTCATAGTTAAGAAAAGAGAAATCTAACCATAAGAGTGGGTATACTGAGGAGGCAAAGTGGAGGGGCTCAGAGCCTCCAAGATGGGAGTGGGACCTTTTCCTACCCCTGTTCCTTCCAAGAAGCCCAGCCTCTTCCCTAGCAAAAGAAGAATCTTATATTCTTTCCCCAACTCACATCGTTGTTCAACATCAAAAAGAGTGTGAACATAATAAAAACACATTACAAACATGTACATACATATGAGAATAGCATAAGGAAGCCCATTAAATGGTGCATGGAAAAGAGGGGAGGAGGTTTTAAGAGAATAATAGAAGGGTTAAACTTTGAATCAAAGTGCATTGTTCACATCTATAGAAATGCAATAAGGAAACTCCTTTGTACAATTAACATGCACTAAAAAAAGAGAAAAAAAAAAGATAGTGGCATGACAGCTCCTGACATTGAAAATCCACAAAAAGTATGGCTCATTGGGTGCTCAGGGTCAGGAGGGAGCCTAAGGACTGTGACAGGCATTGGAGGTGGTGGGTGGGTTGAGGGCTGAGGTTGGCTGTGTGGTAGAACTGACAGATGGGAGGGCTCTCAGACAAGCAGAAAGAATAGGTAGGCGTCAGGGCTTGTGAGAGCAGAATTCAAGAGGCAAGGAGCCTCTGGGTTGTCTGACTGCAGCAGGTGTCTAGAGTGGGGAAGACATGGGTTTTAGTTTTGGAGAGAGAAGAAGAGGCCAATGACTGAGCATCCTCCAGTGAGTATCATGCAGGCTGACACACATTTGGTTTCCCCCTCAATAGCCATAAACAGTAGATGTTATTAATCACATTTGACAGATGAGGAAACTGAGACTCAGCAGGATTAAGTAACTCATCTGAGGCCACACAGCTGGCTAGTGGATGACTTGGCCCAAACTCACACATTTCTTCTCTTGGAGGCCACTTTCTCTCCCGTGTGCACCTGGGAGACTTACAGGGTGCACAAAAAGTATTGTCTGGGAAGACACTCCTATATCCTGAGTCCCTCTGACCTTGGCCACCACTCCTTATCCAGCAGAAACTGGCAGGGTGATGAGGACAACTGAAGGTGGAGGAAAGAAAGGCTTATTTGTGGAAGGTGACAGGAAGCAGAATTATTTAATTCAGAGAAGGGAAGCCTGAGCAGGGGACGATGGGGACTGCAGTGTGGCTTCCAGGGAACATATAATTTCGAGACAGAAATGTGCCAGAGCCCCAACTCCGTCCTTTTCACTACTCCATACTTCTGGGGCTTGGTCAGTCTGTCTAAAAGGTCATTTCAACCTGAAGATGTGGTATGCTTGGAATACTTCTGCCTAAATCCTTGTTCTGCCCATTCCTGCTTGTGGCTGAGGGGTGAGCTTTACCTGCTTATTGCTGTCTGCATCATTTGCATAGTCATTTGCATCAATCTGCATGCATTATGAATCATTCTGAACTCTTTCACATGTTTAAATTTAGCCGAATTATTATATTTTAGAAGTTGTTTTTTCCTGACACCTTTTCTCTCCCTAAGCCTTCTTTCCTATTTTTCCCACTCTCAACCAAATCTGACTGCCAGCCCCCTCCATATCTTGATCAGGTTCTTGACAGTTCCAAGCCACATGGTGATTCTCGTCCTCGCTGTGTTGACTATGTGACCTGAGGCAACTCAGTCAACCCCTCAGAGCCTCCTTGGATTCCACTGCCATGGAAGGAATCAAGGACAAGGACCCCTGCCTCATCGGTGGGGAAAATGGTAGATTTGGAAACACTGCAGACTGATGTGAAGTCAAGGTAGGGCTCTGCACTGGGGTCAGATCTGTGCATTCCAAAGTCCACTGTATAGCTTGACAACTGGCTGGTGGCCTCAGCCCCACATTTCCATGCTGGTCTAGGAGCTGCCTTAAAGTCCTGGGGAGAAGGCAGCAGGCTGCCTAGACTAATTGGGGATTTGGCAAGGAGTGGTCCCTCCTCATCCCCCTGGGCCTCAAATCCCACCATTAGCGCTTCACTCTTTGGAAGCTTCTAATTGCTACTCCCATGCTGATTTGTTTGAAGTAACCACAGCAAAATCAAACCAAAACCAACCAAACAAAATGGCTTGCCTCCAGTCACATCTGGATCCAAATCTGGATCCCGCCACTCAGGGCCGGCGAGGGTCCTCCCTCCAGGGGCTGTCCTGAACTTGACCCCAAAAGCCAATGCCTCCTTTAATTTTGTTCCTGTGACACCTTCCTTCTCTCTCCCTAGTGCTGGCCCTGCCAGTCTTATTTACTAGGTGTGTGACTTTGGGTAGGTATTTACTCTCTCTGAGCCCCAGGTTCCCTATATATAGAAGGGCGATAATAATAGTACCTCCTTGAAAGATAATTGTGGGCATTAAATAAGATAATGCCTATAAAAGACCTAATTCACTACCTAGAGTGACAAAAGGTAGCTCTCATCAGGATGGATTCCAGCAGATGAGCCTGTCCATTCCTTTCCTGGGGGTAGCTTCTGGGAGGCAGAGGGGATGAGTAAATGAGAGCCAGGCAGTAGGCAAACCAGAGCCTGGCCAAGGGAGCCTGGGGTCAAGGCTGTTCAGTTTTACTTAGGACCCACTTCTGTGCAGTCAGTGTAACATGAGCCAGCCCTAGTGCTTCTGAAACCTCTGGACTCTTGGAACACAGTGCACAAACCCAAGCCAGAGTAATAACCATAGCCTGGGTCTCTGAAGCTCACTCCCCAACACTTGTAAACAATTTATTTTTGATGGTTGAAAAATAACAAGAAATTAATATACCTGCCACTCAAGTGGGGAAAATGACTCACAGTGATTCCAATTTACTGGAAATTACAAGATAATGCTCTCAACGAGTTGATGCTGCAATTTTTTTGTTTTTCCTCATCTAAATCCATGTCCCCTGGTCAGAATGCATGTTTATTGGGTTCGCATTTTGTATTATTGACTGCGAGCTATTGTTACCTGATGTAATTGACTTGTGAATCTTTTTTAAATAAAGAATTAGCAGCAAATCAAAGTGGCTGCCTGCTGGATCCTGAAATGACAGCACAGCTGGTGTGTAGCTGCTGGCAGTACTCCTTCTCACTTAAGGGGGTCCAGGGGGGAGGAGAGGAGAGAGACTCCCCACCAGGAAAGCATGAAGAACATCCTCCAGATGTACAGCAGGACTGCACCCTGCTCTAGGCTCAGCTCTAACCCTGATGGAAACTTGGTCAAGTCCCTCTCTTCAGATGTGTCAGTTTCCTCATCTGTGTCTTTGGGATCTTAGAGCTGGCCTTCCTATCCCACTGGATTACTGTGAGAACATTACTGTGGGTGAGTTTGTCTAGAGATTTCTCTTCAAATAGTCTACTGAAACCATCAGGTGACACCCCTGGGGGCCAATGTTGAAGTGACCAGTTGTGGAGGTATGTGTTCCTTGGAGGGGCTGCCTGGTTGCATTTCTCTTGCAAGGTTCATGATCCACTTCTCCTATGAGCTTCTGACCCATGGAGCCCCAAGTGTGGAAGAACACCAGAGATTTCAGATTTCTCAGTGGCCCTTCTCTACAACCCCTCACACTGCAGACGGAGCTACTGGAGAGGAAAGAAGACAGTTTTCAAGATCATGTGGTGTGTTGGTGGTAGAAGGTGGACCCAAACTCCATTGTATTTGCAGGCATTGATGTTTGTCTAATCTACCCCTCACTTTCACTTCTCTGTGCCCTTTATGGTGATGACTATCTGTTCAATTGCTTTGGCCATTGGTCAACCTGTGACATCTCTTATACTGTTGTCTAGAACTTGATTGACATTGTGGACTGTTACTGAAATTTCCCTGTGAGGCTCTGGTGTCTAACTCCCCTCTACAAGTCCAGAAGTACCTACTGAGTGCCTGTGACACAGTAGGGGACCATGGCTCAGTGCCTGGCACACAGTGGGAAGTTCATGACTGTTTGTAGATTGGGCTGAGTTACGATGTTACCCAATTTACATACACTGTCCCTGGAGCCAGGTAAGGGAATGAGTGTCATTGATGGAGATCATCAGGAACAGCTGTGGCCCAGGTCAGCTGGCTCCAGCTGGGATCTGGGGACTCCTGTACATTATGACTGAAGAGCAAGTGAACTGTGTGGAAATGCCATCAGGACTTTGGTTGTGCTCGACAATATTTTTCTATGTGATTTCTGCGGGCTGGGAAAGAATGTTGAACCTAAGAGAGGGAGGAAGCAAGGAAGGAAGGCTGGAGGGAGAGAGAGAGAGAGAGAGAGATGAAGAAGGGGAGAAGGCAGAGTCTGAGGCAGCTGCTGAGTGCTGACAGCCTCTGTGTGGGGTGCTGCACACACTCTCCCTAAATTCCAAACCCCATAGTGTCAGAGGCTAAGGCTCTCGACCCTACCCAGCACAAATCCCTGACCCATGCTCTTTCTGTGCTACTCAGTGACCTCCTGTCTCTCATTCACAGCAGCCACTCACTGGACACACTCTAGAAGACACGGTCATCCTGCAGAAGCACAGTTTAGAAGTCCTCTTCCTCCCACGAGGTGCCTCTCTCACTGCTACTTAACTGTTCCTTCTCAGTCAAGCGCCCTAGAGTAGCTGTCTTTGCTTCCTTGAGCCCTCAGCAAGAACTGTGGGTGTTGTCTGGGTACTGGGTATTGCCCTTCTTACTCACATCTACCCAGTCCTCAAATCCTGTCTATCCCACAGCTCAAGCCTTTCGTGCCCCTGCCTCTCCTCTCCATCTTATAGTTTCCCCTGCTCTGGTGTACCCTTTTGACTCTTGCCTGTATGACAGCATTTGCGCCTTCCACCTGTCGCCTGCAGGCTCATCACTCACTCCACCTTCTGCTGTCACCAGAGGGAGCTAAAGGCATTTGGGAGGTGAGACTCCAGCCTGGCAGCCTCAGCATCCACAGCTCTGGAGGCACTGGCCCGCCATGCTTCCTCTGCCCTCCCGCCTCCTTATAGGGGACTCTCGTTCCTCCGCCTTCTGGGATGCACTTAGGTTTCTGTCTTCTTGAAGAAGCCACACATGAACTCAGGCTGAGGGAAACATTTCCCCCTGGCTTCTGACAGTGGTCACTATCCTGTGCCAATGTCCACGTCAGTTCTTCCTCCATTACAGGGTACTGTTTGTCCTAGGCTGCAGCTTCTTTTGGGCAGGGACTGGATCTTACTCACTTTTGTGCACTCAGTGTCATGCACAGTGTCCGAGAGGTGCTTACTATGGCTCACTGAGATTTCAAAGCAGAAAAAGAGTAGGTCCAGACACCTGGACACAGACTTGGATGGTTTGTGCCAGTTTGCTGTCTCCTTGTCCCCATGCTGTCTCTCCTCTCCCTCTTTCTAGGCTTCTTCCTTCATGTGAAGGGCAAAGGAGTAGAGAGGGTGGGAGCTGGGCCTAGATAAAGGACCAGTTAATGTTGCTTTCAATGGCACACAGCACTGAGGAAGCCCCAGGGCTGAGGAATGGAGGCCTCAAGTTGGCATACAGTAAGTTGTGTTTGGTGTTAGCACACTTTTTTCACTTCCCTGATCAATAAGAGTCATCCTAATACCAGCTCTCAAGTGGAAGCCAGACAGCACTGACTGAGTGCCACACTGCCAGAAAAAGGTGGATTCTGCAAGGCAGGCCTTCCATCCTTTCCAAGTATCTTTTTCCCATGTCCTCTCCTGTGTGCCCTGTTTTTCTCACTAGATGAATTGCAGTTACTAAATAATAATTACTAAGGAGAAAAAGTCCTCCAGAAAAGGGCAATGACTTCTCAATGTGGGCAATCTGCTTGATGACATTTTGATGGAGTCTGAAAACCAAACTATTAACTCTCTGATTCTTTGGTTATTAAGTTACTGTGACCAGTGGACATTGACATAAAAGGTCAGGAATATCTTTTACAGCCCATTCTTCAGTTAAAACACAAGTATTTAACAACAACGATGACAAAAACTCAAACCCAACGATTTTTTAATTTTGTTTGCTCCATTTTGATATGGTGCTATCTTAGGCCAGATCATAATGTTCCCTTTACTAATTGAACACTTTAAAGTGTCCTGCTTTAACAGAAAAACAGCTCCTTGTATATGTTTCCAATGAAGCAATCACCAGATGATGCTGGGGGCTGCAAGATAGTTTCAAGATTTCAAAGAGATACATGGAAACACTCCTCTAATTATAGCAGGGATTGTATCAATGCAGTGTGGCCCTTCATGCAGTTCAGAAACTTGAGTAGACTACGAGATGGCTGTGATTAATAATTAATGGGAAAATGAATTAATTATTATTTAATAAGTGTAAGTTTATCTGGCAGGCCAAATCTTTTAAAACCCAGGACCAAGCTGAAGAAGTCAGAATAAAGTCATGAGAAACAGAAAAGTCAAGAATTATGTGTGTTGGATGGCTCAGTGCCTAGAAATGCAGTTTCCTTGTTCCAGCTGATTTTTCCGTCCCCAGAGGAAGAGGCCAGGGAGCTCCTACCCCATGCAGGCACTGTGCTAGTCACTTGTACACTATCACCACAATCAGTGGGTGAGTGTTAACACCCCTGCCTCATACAGATGGGAGATAGACTCCTCCCCTGCTTTCTTCTTCATATTGCATTTCGCACACAGGCCACACCGCTAATATCCCTCAGGTGGTTGAGCTTCCCCTCCCAGGCTCTCATGCCTAGGGGCTTCCTGGAGGTGGGTGGTGGATGGTTCCTATTTCTACTTTCCTTTCCTGTCCCTCCTCACTTCTGCACGCCTTCTGGAGTCCAGATGTGGACATCGGTGCAAAGAGAATAGACTCTGAGCTCTCTGGGTTTCAATCCCAGCCCTGTCACAGCTGTGTGGCCCTAAATCTGTGGCTGAGTTTCTGTGACTATGGTTTCCTCATATGAAAATATGAGAATATCAATGTTCACCATAATTGTGTCACCCACCTCACTGGTAAAGAAACAGATGGTCCTCAACAAGCTTTCAGTCCTCTGCTCCCTGCTCTTAGGCTCAGAGTGTCTGCTGGCAGGAAGTAGGAGGTCTGGCTTTCTTGGTGTTGCAGGAATAGGGTGGCTGATATCTTTGGGACATTTTCTGGGTAGGTGGGGGGACTTGCAGCAGCTAATTTGATCGCAGCCAAGTCTTGTTATCATTCCTATGCAGAATGTCATTTAAAGAGCACTTAGGATGCTTTCCGAAACCACCCCAGGGATGGGGCTGTCACAGGATGTGTTAAGGGAAATCCGGGCAACCCAGAAGCCCCTTTCCTTGGGAGGTGCAGTGGGGGCTGCAGGAAGGGAAGGAGAGCTCACTCTTACTGTGCTCAGCTCCTCGGGGGAGTTTGCACCAACACTGCAGAAGGGCAAAACTTCCCTTTTAGACAGCCCAGCAGCATGGTGCTGGGTGGAAGGGGTTGCAGTGAGGCCACCTTCGATGTGTGAGGTTGGAGGCTGTTTCTGGATTGTGTGGTATGGGGGAGGGTTCCTGACTCTCTGAGCCTATTTCCTCATTTGTAAAATGAGGCCTACAGCACTGTCCATGTCTGTGTCATAGGGCCCATGTGAGGACCACACGGTTTATCTAAGTCCGGGGTCTGGTGGAACTCAACGGTTCTTAAAGGCTATATCAACATCACCTGGGAACTTAGTAGAAATTCAAGTTCTCAGACCCCTCCAGACCTACGGAATCAGACCCTTGACACCTGGTTTCCATCAATAGCTTTGCTTAATGCCATGGCCTAGAGGTGACACAGCAGAGTCAGGCCTTGCCCTGATGGAAAACTGTGGGGCTGTGGTTAAGGAGAGGATGAGCATTAGAGAACAGATTGCTTTAGGTATAAACAGTGAAAGCCCCGGAAAGGGTAACAATATTAGCTTTCATGTGCATCATAGTTTTTTTTTTTCTCAAACATTTTCACATGCATTGTCTTGTTTGAAGAGCATTAAGTAGCATTCAAGGAACAGTCTGCCATAATTACGATTATTAGTAATAATTCTGAAGCTAGCTCATGCATGCATATCATCTCCAGTCCGTGAGCTCCTTGAGGACAAAGGGCACATCTTCCTTTGTTGCCATATCCTATCTCCAGCCCTTAAACCCCACAGTGGGCCAGGGTCCGTGGCCTTTAGTCTTGGCATGCTTGGGCACTCTAGAGGCATGCACCCCCTACAGGACTCCAGACCTCTCCAAGGGAGTGGGTCTGCTCCTCCCCCACCCCTCCTATACGCACCTGTAAGTGTCGGAGGCTGGCACTTTCCAGATCTGGATGCCTTTCAAGGGCCCTTCACTCCCCACCACCACACTCAGGTTGGTATTCTGGTAGGCATTGTTGCACTGGGCCTGTGTAGGGCCGTGGGGCCCACTGGCCCCACATGTGGTGAACAGCCATTGAACTGTGGCACAAAAGGAGAAACTGTTACTTACTTGACCTGGCCCTCCCTCCTTCACGGTCCTCCCTGGGCTGTCCTGCGGTCTGTTCCATGGGCTCAAACACACGTTCCAAGGTGGCATCAAAGTTGGGGCAAGAAACACTGGTTAGTCATTCAAACTAAGGACTTCTGTAGAGAGCTTGCTGTGTGCCAGACTCTGGGTCAGATGCCAAGAGAGACAAAGATGGAGCAGACTTGCACTATAGTCTTAGAGCTATTGAGAGAAACCAAGAGGGATGTAACCAACCATAATACAGGACAGTGGGGAATGGGAGGTCATAGGAAGATCCAGCTAGCACTGTGCTATTGGAGGTCTGAGGAGTGAAGTCCTCTTGCGGGTGGGGCAGGCATGGGCAGAAGCTGAGAACTCTTCTTTCACCATGTCCAGCACAATGGTGAGCAAACCACAGATGCTTGATCTGTGCATCTAACCTCCTGAGGTTTTGGTATCTGAATATAGGAACCTTCTAGCTTAGGATAGAAAAAGTAAATTTGCCACAGTGTCAGTTCTACAACCCTGCTGTTGGCCCAGGGACCCAGACAGATGGGAGTAGGAAGTCTTGCACTTTCTGGCCATGGATCCATTGGTTAGCAGCTCAGCAACAAGCCCTCCAAGGGCAGGGCTCAGCCTCCTTATTATGACCAAGCTGGGTTTGCAAACGTAGTGAGTAGCTTGTAGGCTTGCTATGCAACAGAGAGTATCAAAAATGAAAAACAGATCAAGTTTATCAATTTTTTTGCCTTTTCTTGGGCCTTCACCCATTTCCTGCTGTGCTCTGTGCTTGCCCAATGTCCTTAGATGGCTTTCTGAAGGTACCACAGAAACACGGCACAAATCCTTCTCTGAAGTCCCATCCCCCTCTGCTGGGCTGTTTCCTTTAAGCTTTCTATCTTTTCAGCCAAGCCAGATCTTAGGGAGTGCTCGGATCTCTTGTGAACCACAACTCTAACATTTTACAATTTATAAAAACTTTAAAAATGTATTCTTAATAAATTACTTTTACTTAAGATAAAAAGCCCTCATTATCAGATTGCCACAATCATTTCTCTTTAAAGACAGATTAAGTCAAATGAAAAATGATGGAACAGTTAATTTTTCAAGCAGAAAATGATGGAAAAATTAATTTGAGTGTATATGGCTTTGTTCACCAAAACATTAAAGCAAACATTTCTTAAAGACCTTGAACTAATTTAGTAACAAAAATGTAGGAGATTAATTTGCTTTGCCAATTATAAGCAATCAGATTAAGATTATGCAAGGCAGGGTTGATAATCTTAAAACTAGGCCAGCTGTGGTGGGCTTTTGTGACTCGGCCCTGGCCCTGAAGTCAGAAGATTGACATTCTAGAGGGTGTCAATGCATACAGCAATTCAACACCGAGTCTCACACTTCCTTTTTTCTCTTCTCAAATGAAGATGTTGATTTCTATTTGGTTTCCTGAAGGTCATTTCAAGGGCTAGGAGGTAAGGAGTCCATTCACTTTTAGAATGAAGGGCGGATGGTTAGCTTTCTATGTATTTGTGTGACCAAGTGGCAAACCTGTTAATTCAATGGCCTAGCTATTTACAGAACGTATTTTGGCAGAATATGTTTGGGCAGTTGCCTTTTTACCTGCTCCAGAGCCTAAATTATACACGTGGTCTGTGCCAGAGGCGTGAAGTGGAAAGATCAAGGGCTTTGAAATCATCAAGAACACCTGGGTTTGGGGGCAGCCTTCTCACCAATCCATTGTGAGGCCTCGATCCAGTTCCTTTATCTTTGTAATGGGCACACTGGCATGTTAAAAGAAGCAAGGGGGTATGAAATGTCACTGTAAAGTCCCACACTCCAAAAATGTGAGTTATATCAGTGGCCCTTGCCAGAATCCAAGGTTGGCGTCCCTACAACAGGAAATGTGGCTAAGGGAGTTTCTGTGACTATGAGTCCCATACCAGCAGCATCTGGGAGTTTGAACTCCTAGAGTTGGGGGTGAGACTGGGGCCAGGGAGGGAAAGAAAACTCAGAAAGTGAGTTTAAAAATTCATTATCTCCAGCCTGAAGCCCACTGTGCAGTCCGGATGTGGAGGGGTCACCTCAGCCTGAGACAGAAGCAGCTCACCTTTAGTGGGACCTACTTTGAACTTCAGCCTAAGTTAACTGAAATTTCTCAGAAGGTTCTGAGACATTCCCAGGGATGCTGGGCTTTTACTTCCTGGCCAGGTGGAATATCTAGTGAGGTAGGAAGAGGGCCAGGGGCTTTGAATTCAGATGGATCAAGTTTTTTCTTCCTGGATTTTGCTCCTGACTAGCTGTGAACTCTTGGTTATAATATATGACCTCTCTGAGCCTTAGTTTTCTAATCTGAATGGATGGAAATTATACCATCTAGTACTTAGATTTTCTATGAAAATTACATGATGACTTATGCAAAGGTTAGCACAATATTCCTATTAGAGATACATAGCAAACACAGTTCGAGAAGCGTGTATCTTCACGTTCGATTTCTCACTGAAGGAAGCAGATGCCAGTCTCAAGATTTACGCCCCATATCCCATGGCCGTTTCTCAATAAAGGGACCAGTGGTTTCCCAGTGCAATGGACATATATTAGTCTCAGGTGGTTTCTATATACAAAATTCTGTTTTGATTTTCAGCGATTTCTGATGAAAGGTCTAGAGAGGAAACTCTTAAGTGGATTCCATGGAAACTGAGGATTTGCCATCTCAGGTCAGACTCATGATTCATCCAGCAGGAGTTCTGCTGCTCCCAGCAGCCTTTGAGACATGGTGGTGCTCCCTGCTCTGGTGCATGGTTCTGACCTCCATAAATCTGCCCAACTTTGCTTGGAAGAAATTTATGTTTCCCACCAACACCAGCTCGTGGAAATACTGAGTTTCTGAGTTTATTGCTTATGGTGTGAAGGCTGTCCTGCTTCTCATGTGTGTGGGCTTGTTGTGTTCAACCTTCATCCTGTTGGTTCTCTTTGTTATTCTGTCTGGAATCTTATAGCTACCATAGAATGTCATGGTAAGCAAGGACCATGGAGATCACCAAATTTGGTAATTCCCAAATTACCCTTAAAATACAGATTCTAGGGCTCTTGAGATTCAGATTCAATGGATACTACGTGGGAATGGGGAGGCAATATTTGTAGCAAATAAAACCTTCCCAAGAGATTCTGATACTTAACGAGATTTGTACACTAGTCCTACCTACCTCGTCCAAATGAATAAAGAACATTCTAGAAAGAGGAAGTGACTTTTTTGAGCATACCAGCATTGAAGAAGGAACCAAAATTGAGAATTACTCCTTCTGTGTCCATGGGTTCTTTGGTGGTGATCAATTCCTTTCCACCATTCTGCCTCCAAGACTTCCAGTCTTTTCAGATTATCCATATGCAAATCCCCTGTGTTCTCAGAACCTTCTTTAATGCTAGAATCTGCTTTCTGAAAGGATCTGCCAGAACTATGGGTAGCTGTGACATTGCATAAGAGGACAATTGCTACTCTGCTTTATTTCAAGTGTCTCTCTGCAGGCGCTTGCTTGGAATAGACTCTAATAATTTCCAGATCCTTGCCCAAGGAGCAGGGGTATTGCTCTGAGCCTGGTGGTATTAACTATTGTGGGCCTAAGAAGACCCCACAACAGGCACCTGGGATAGGAGATGCTAGAAGCAGGAAGCATTTGGCAGGTACTTCAGGCTGGGTAGGTGTGAAATTGGTTCTAAGCTAAGGGGAGTTAGCACCATGAGAGGAGAGGAAGGTGCTAGGCTGATTTTCAGTAGTACCATCAGAGTAGAAGGCATTGGGGATGACCTTGTAGATTAAAGCAGGTGGATTCAGAATCTAAGAAGCAAGAGAATTAGCAACAGTGGCTCCAGGGATCAGAAGTCAAGGTGAGCTTTGATCCCCAGGCAGACAATGTTTATTTCTTGACTTGTTTTATCCTTCCTTCTGGGTATGTATAGGATGACTGAACCTTAGATACCCATGAAGGGGGCAAATACCTCCCAATATTTATTGGGCAGCTAGTGTGGGTCAGGCACTGTGCTTTCATGCATGGATTAAATGTTTTTAAACTTGCTGAAACTTTGTAGTGCTGAAGGTAGTGTTACAGGATTCCTTTTAACAATCAGGAAATTCAAGTTCAGAGAAACTGAGTGACTGGACTGCAGTATACAGAGTGAATGGATAATTGGTCAAGCCAGGAATTAGATGTCAACCTGCCAAGCCAAGTCCAAGGATTAAAAAGATGCTAGGTCCACCAAGAACAAGTCCCCCTCCTGAGGATGAGGTTTCTTTCTTTTCAACCACTGAGCCTGGGGCTCAGTTCAAACCAGGCCAGTCCATACCAATGCTGCTCAGGCCATCATGAAGGGACACGTGAGAGTCTGGACAGGGTACCTTGGTGGGTGGACTTTCCATCCCAGATAGTCCCATAATGGCCCCATTGGTAGTTTAGCCTAGCAGAGTGTAAGCAGTACTGAATTATGGGAACCAAGTGGTCAGGGTAATGGATCTAAGTCCTGGAAGTGGCCACATGGAGCCAGGTGATCTCAAAAGGACTCCAGTTACTAGATTGTTTACAAGGTCAGGAAGCAGGGATGCAAGACAGAGGGACTGTACCATGTTTGGGAAAAAGATCAAGGTCACAGTGAGGCAGGATGGAAGCTGAGCTGCCAATCTGAGGGTGTAAGGGTCTCCATACTTCCCCTACTGAGGGGCTACATTGGTCCTTGAAGATTGGCACTTCCTGGGAGGAGCTGGGATTGAGGCAAGAGAGGGAGGAAGTCCACTTCTTCCTTCTTACTTAAACAAACAATCCCTATTTCATTAAAAGTCACTTATGAAAAAAAACAAAACAGCTTTAACTTGTTCTTACACACACTACACATTGGAAACATAGTTTAATACTCATTCACATTTCAATTGTATAAAGAACTCACCAACATGGAAATACTGATTGGTTATAGACAGCTACGTAAA